CAATTGACAAAGCAATGAATCATTAAGTAAACCAGCGTTGTCAATTATATCGATTACTTCGTTGAATCTATTTAATAAAATATATTGTTTTGTAGAGGCAAAGATTTAAAATAATTTATTAAGCTCGTTGATAGAAAAGTGACCCTCAAAATGAGCAAATTTTCAGGAGAGCATTTTTTAAATTCTGAATTAAGATTAGTGAATATGTATAACTTCATTTCCCTTCCATGTTATACTTTCAACTATGTCTGTGTTCTTTAAAACTATGCTATGAATTTTCAAAATTTGAACATCGCAGCAATGATATAGGTAAAGTTTATCTCTTATCAAAGATTGTGACATTTCCACAAAAGAAAAATTATAAATGTGCCTTTTCCCAAGATATATTAGTCCTTAGGGTCGACCTTAACGCTTATCTCACTAAAAATCCTAATTTTTCACTCGTGTCACTTCTCTATCAACGGAGCGATATATGTCAGGACCTGAACACTGTCTGGCCGGTCTGGCAAGACAAATGTCTTTCGAGTAGAAAACTGGGAAACCGCAAGGGGGAGATGATAGGAAATCGTTCGCGAATGTTCAGAAGGAGAAATATGTATATCTTTCTGAAGAGAAAGATGTTATATATATCGATGTATTATATGTACGTCACGCTAGAGAGGCCCGGGTCTTGGTTTCGTGCTGCGGGACCCACACACAACGACACACAACGGTGCGCACCCTGAAATAAGGTAGCCCAGGCTCCGGCGACGAGGAGCCGATGTGGGTGGTCCAGGAGAGATTTGCCTTCCGCTAAATATCGCCTTTGCGCCCACGACGTGGGTGGCCCTCTCCGCTGCTGGCAGAGGGGAATCCCCCCTACCCCTCGCCCCCGTCCCCTCCGCGCCGAAGAAGTCACAAGTTGTCTCTTGTCCTCGTTCCTCGAAGGCGATGCTCCACGCGGTGGCGCGACCGAAATTTTCATCTTAACGCGGCGCGGACGCCTTTTATTCCGGGAATCGATTCTGCAAACACGATCGCGCGACACGATGAGAAACAAGGCGCACGTGCTCTCGCTCGTCTTAATACGGCGAATCTGCAGTACTTATCTGTATCGGATCGAGGAACGACGATGCTACGGAGAAGTTGGTCGATAAAAATTGATAACGTTAAATCGAATGGCGACGAGCTTGTTCCGCCTTCTAATCGAGAATATAGACAAATTCGATCTCGCGTTATATATACTCGTAAAATTTAATATATTTTCTGTATTAAAAAAGCATGAGAATGGCGGGAAAGAGAAAGAAAAAAGACTGCAGCGCGGTGTAAAAAGTTCGTGGTCGACGCGATCGACGCTGCTGAACGCGAAGAGCAGCATCGCGCCGATGTCGCGACGCGAGGGCTAGAACACGCGTGCCGGGCGGATCTATTGCGAAAGGCACGGGAGAAAGGCGACAAGACGCGTGTGGTCCGTCGGACGGCCGACGATGAGTAGGACAGGACCAGAACGACGACAGTATCTTATCCGAGGCACCAGCCGACCGATCGATCAATGGCGAGATCGATGCCTCCTCCGGTCGGCCGGCCCGATCGGAGTATCGCGGCATGCTTGGCCGCGCAAGTATTTTTCACCCCGCAGGCGGTGGCGGCGGCGGCAGCGGCGACGGACGGCGGCGACGGACGGCGGCGACGACCGGCCGGCCGCGCCGCGCCGCGCCGCGCCACGCCGGCCGGATCCAACGATAGATTCGACCTTCTGAGTTATCAGCGGTTTTGCAACGAGTATGAGATTTCTCGATCTTCTAGATCTTCATTTTATATGTTGCTACATTCGACGGGAAGATTCGACACCCAATTAAACAATACCTGATTTTATACGTAAATAAATAAAGATAAAATTTTTCTTAAATATTTCAGAGATGTTTTTACTGCATAATTGTTACATGATATAAATATATGAACACTAAGAAAAATACTTTGCTGCTATATCAACAAGACTTATATTATAATGGAATGCACATTTTGGTGCATTCTTTTTGTTTGATGAAAACAGAATTTTAATAGAATTTGATATTTTAAAGCTATAGATTGATGACTTAATTAAGAATTGGTGAATAGGTATGTATTTTTGACTGGGTCTATAAAACTTCGAGTTTATATACACTGAAACGTTTTCTTTCTCACTAAAAAGTTGCGCTGACGTAACTAAATGAATTTATTGTAGTATTATTGATATTAAAATTCTGGTATATTTAATAGAAAGGAATTAATCATGCTTATCTGTTAATTTCTAGAAAAATTTTGATTCGATCATTTTCCAACAAACATACTGGTCGAATCCAGCAGATTTCTCCAACTTATGCAATCAGATTTTTTCCAATGAATAAATAAATAAATTATTATCCATTCGCCCTGTGTGATAGAAACGTTTGCGCTATATTTGAAGCATTGGTAGAAAATATTTATATTTATTAAACAGCAAGTGCGAAAAATATGTCAACATTCGTACGTTTCGTCTGCTGCAGACACGTCTTCGTGCGATGCATTATGAATTCCGACGTGCCTCTGTTATGCGCGCATAACAAGGGTGCTCGATTCTCGAAATCATTATCGCTCGTCAAAAGCCGATCCGGCGTTACGACCCTAAAGACAGGTAGCCTGCTTGAAACGGTCGCACATATGGCGCACCCACACCCCGTGACCAATCGCTAACACGGTCATATCGGCCGTCGTTCACCACGCCGCGCCGCATGCACGCATCCACTAACACGGCTTTAAACAGCGTACCTACACACGCGACGCGAAACCCCGCTTAAAACGCTCGTTTGCATTCTCCGAATGAATGAAGATATTGGGAGAGAGAGAAAGAGAGAGAGAGAGAGAGAGAGAGAGATCTGTCTACAAGATTCGATACTAAGACATATAATTACCGTCAATTATCCCGTATAATCAAGTTCGCTCCCGAATAAATTGACGAGATCGCGAGCGCGATTCGTATAACGATTATCATGCAACTACTTGACATTTGATGGTTTTCTTTAAATGAGAAATCGCAAGAGTTCCCTTCAAATGAGGAAAGAACCGATTAAAAAGAAATAAAAAAAAAAGACGTTACCTCCAGATCCCGCAATGTCATTTTCACCTTCGACGCCAACCGGACCGGACGATATATAACGCGCGTGCTCGTTCGCCCTGAAATTTTTGCCGCGAGTACACAGTAAACGCGCGACGACGCGGCGCGGCGGCGGCGGCGCGGCGGCGGCGCGGCGGCACGTGGGAAGCGCGGGCGCGGACGCGGCACGCCCGAACGCCGCGCCGGGGACTACCGCCATCCGACCTCGATCCCGATCTCGATTTCGATCTCGATCGCGCAAGCGACCGACGGCCGTCCGGCCGGGCCGTCGGCCGGCCTCCTCCGCGGGCCTCCTCGGCGGGTTTTACTTCGTCGCCGACGACGAAAAATTGCACAACAGCAGGTTTCGTTCGTCGCGGCATATCATATAGGAGAGAGAGACAGGGCCCGGGCAACCTAATGCTAATGCGGCTACCATTAGCAAGTAGTGAATCGAATGCAAAGTCGGACGTAAGGTGGGACCACACAGGTCGCGCTTGCTCGGCTCGCTTGCGGAGGGTTATACGGGGCCAGCAGATGCAGTGCCCCATAAACAGCGGGGCGAGACCACCCAACGCGCTTGTTCCTTCGTTTCGTTCCTTCGTCTGTTTCCTTAATAACCACGATAGCCTGCCTGTTACCGTGCGGGAAGGTGTGCAGGCGCTCCTCTCTCTCTTTCTCTCCCCTCCCCTCTCCCTCCCGCTTCTCTCTCTCTCTCTCTCCCCTCCCCCCTCGCGCGTACGTACGCGCGTATAGTGGATCAAATCGCAAGAGTGGCTCGCTCGCCTCTCTCGATCCAAATCGTTTTCGAGCTTTCGTAGGATGACGTCGCTCGACCGGACAGGAGGGTGGCAGGGGGGACCGGGAGGGGGATCGGTGTGTAATTTCCGGTAATTGTCGAGTCGCTCGCTCTCCGATCGATCCGGTCCCCCTTGAAGACGTCGTTTGGTACGTCGTTCAGGAAAGCTTGATAAATTGCGCGGCGATTGTCCGTCTCGCCTCTCTCGAATCTTCGAGATCACTCTTATAATCGCACGTCGATCTTTTTTTTTTTTTTTCACGGACAGCTCACGACCCGCGCGCGGTGTCGAGTCGTCAGCTCTATCTCTCCTCCCTTCGTTCCTTCACTTTGCACGGTTGCGATCGTAACTTCGACATTTTCCTTTTCTCCTCAGTTTACAAGATCGCTCTCCTCTCCTTTTTCCTTTCTTTTTCTCTATTTCTTCCTTTTTTTTCTCTTCTTTTTTATTATAGACCCTGAGCTTCTGGGAATCACGCGAAGGGCTAGCTGCTCTAGCGTGATGACCACCCGCGTTAAGTGCCGAATATCCGAGCTGCGAGATATATTTTTGGTAATCCGAAACTTACAAAAAAGGTCACCCGAGAGATCTTCTCGGTCGCCCGTCTTCGTCGCGTTTCTGCTGGTAGCACGAGGAAGTCTTTCCGAACGATTAAGCATCACTTGCGTGCTTAGCACCGTCGCGCTGCTTCGTACACGCCACTCGCTCGCGCGATGTGAACTTTTCTCACACGTAATTGCATTAACTGTATAGTTGTCAATTTCGAAAAAAATTATCGTAATACGAAATTAACAGATATTTGTATCGCAATTGTGAGGACTCTATGCGAGACTGATTAATAAATTTAAGAAGAAAAAAATTATAAATGAGAAGAACCAAAATAAGAGAAAATAAGATAAATCATTTTCTTTCATTAGTAAATGAAATTATTAGTTAGTAACTTCAAAACGAAGCGTAATTCCTCCGACTGATTGTGAAACGCAATCATTAAGCGGAATCTACCGACCGTCACGAGTACTCATCGCACAACCATCGATAAAGAAGTTTATATATGCAATGTTTTTCCACTCGATATATTTTTCCAACATTGTAAAAAAATGTTAATATTATTACTGGATGCAAATGTGTTTATTTCGATATTATATAAGTCAATGTTACAGAATGTCAATGTTACATAGCAGCGTAAATTTTCTTAGCGAAATCGATATAATCATAAACGACTGGATGACAAAAAACGAATAGCTATTAAAATAATAAGATAATATGTTTACTTTTTATATAACCACAGAGATGATTAAACAATATTTGTAACACTGAAACATATCTAGAATTTAAAAAAACATAAAGCACGGCTATAGAGTTAAAGTAATTGTCGATCAGATTGTCGTAAAAACAGAGGCTATAGCTCGCCCACAATGTTTTACTTTTTTTTCAATTTATTGTTGTAGATATTCCAACATTGTAAAGATATGTTATTGATAATAAAATATGTGATATGTAATAAGATAAGTAAGATATGTTAGATATGTAATCGTTTCTTCGTCGTTATGCAAGGATAATTGTATCTAAATTGCCTCACCTACTCAATTCTACGTGTAGATTATAATTATTTGCAGCAAATTATTTAATATTATTTCCGTATGTTTCTCTCTCTCTCTCTCTCTCTCTCTCTCTCTTTCTGTGCATCGTACATTCTCTTTCTGTGCATATAATACATTATTGCGATATTCTCATTGCCAAATTACTTTTAACTAAATCATTTTCATGAACGATTGATATGAATCCTTGCCATTATAATTGTCGATATCGAAATAAAAAATACATTCTAATGAATTTTTTTATGCATACATTGCTGACCAAGGAATTCTTATTACACATTATTTGTCACATCTATGACGCAAGCAAAGACTCGTAAAATGAGACTCGTTGTTAATTCAAGGATATTAAGTCATTACGTTTAATGAGAGATTTGTCTTTACAAGTCAATAAAAGTTTAATAAATCAAATAAAGTAACATTAATAAAATTGCAAGCACGTATACGCTTTCAAACAGAGGTTTAAATCAAATCTACAGCGAGAGAGAGTGGGGGAATTGCGCGTTAATGCGAAAATGCAACGTAAAACTCAAGCGTTTTTGTTTTGTGGTTTATCGTTTTAAATATATCCCGTCTCAATATATATACACGGAAACTTCCATGTTTCGAAAGATGATGATGGAACGCGCGACAGGGTTTTCCATTACGCAAGTAATCGTTACGTAAAGTAAAACCGCCGCGTGTGACAAGGATTACAAGGTGAGCAATCAAGTCCAGAGGATAGAGCCGAGGTCGGCATTATAGAGTCGGCATTTGTACGGTCCTTACGGGCGTGGAGAACGATCTTAATCGACCCTATCCCCTTCCCTGGACTTGTTCTCCAGGTAACGCCGTCGGTACGCCCCGGTAGAGTCGTATTTGTCCTCCAATAATTTCCACTCGTCCGGCTTGTTGTCGATCAGATGATGTGAGATCTTGTCGGCCGCGTTCTTCTGCGCCTCGCTACATCCGGCGCAGTCGTGCTCCAACGCGTCCGGCAGATTCTCTAAAAGGGGGTTGCATTGCAGATTATGATGCACATATATATATATGTATTACGACATGCTTTACGTTGATTTTGATTACTTATTAGCAAGTACGCAGCAAAGGAGCGAGAGTGCCGTATAGAAAATGCTAATTGGATTGATTTCTCAAATGTCAATTTTTTTTCAAATCTCGATTTAAAGAATTTACAATTATAAAAGAGGGTGCACGTATATTAAAATTAAAAAAAAAATTGTTTTGCTTTTACTGAAAACGTCCCGAGTCAGAATATACGCGAGCTACTCGTATAGTTAACGGATTAAACTTTAAAGGGTATAGAACTTGAAAGGATGGAGAACGGGCGCTCTTCGCCGTTCGACGTGCACACTTACTTTTGAGCTCCGCCGCGTCCGGGGTGCAGGGATTCCGATCGAGCAGGCAACCCACGTATCCGTTTAACAGCCTGTCGTTGCTTATTATCGCGTCCACGTCTACATTGTCGAATTTCGTGGTGTACATCTCCTCGGCGAGGGCGGAGGAGAATGTAAGAGCGCACACGGTGATAAGGGCGACGACTAGATGTCCCATCGTACCGGACAAGATTGGATGCGTTGTTCCTGATTCACTGCTCATGGAGCTCATTACTTCGGATGTCTTATAAGGGGCCTGGACACGGTTCGTTAGTCGCACGAAATCGTCCTCGTGTGTCCTTGCCATAATTTATCGAGAAAAATATGCGCAATGAAGCCACTTCCTGTGCCGATGCAGTAGATGTTTCTCTCTGAATGTAGAATTTTTTTATAAATTTTTTTTATTGTAAAATTAATTAAACATTCCTAAAATTATATACTATTGCTTTCTAATTTTTTAGATTATTATATAAATTATTATTACCGTAAAAGAATAATATTATATAGATATTTGCTTATATTAATTATTATATACGTAATTGTGCAGATAATTAAGAATTTAATTTTTACATCATGACTTTATATCATAACAACTGTTGTAAAATTTAACGAAACCTAACGTATTTAAAAATATTTTTGACAGCTAAATGAATAATTTAAAAAATGTTAAAATGTTTTTCTGTCCGAAAAAGGAAATAAATGTAATAATTGTAATAAATAAAATTTCTTGCATGACAATATGACAAGTGTAAAATATTAATCCTATAGTAGTATAACGATCATTATACTCGTGTCGAATACAAAAACGTATAATAAGTAAATGAAGCGCATAGCGAAGAATTTATGTATCATACGTGAAAGGAATTCTCGTGTTCCAATTCTTTTTTCGTATTCTATAGACGGCGTATTACGTGTGCGTGACCTCGACTTTTAGACAACTCGCGTAAGGGACGATTGTATCATCGTCCGGCTCTCGTTATCCCCGTTATTCCCCGCAAATATTTCCTTAATTCGTAAATTTAAATTCCTCGCTCGAAGTATTTCGGCCTTGCATAAATTACTAGTAATTGTAATGCAATATCATTCTCTGTCGCGGACAAAATTGATTCGTAGAAATCCCCTCGTGTAATTGCTACTCTAATCTCAGCGTATTTTTGAGAAGCACGTAATCACGATGTAACATGAATAAAACAATTTACAAATAATTTAGCAAACTTGTGACATTTCCCCGTATTTTTAAGACACGTATTTTTAATTTTTTTTTTAATTCTTTTTGTACGCGTTTCAAATATTATATGTATATATAATATCTAATATAAATATTTCCAATATTTTTGTCTTAACGATCGATAGATTTTACAGATTGCGTCAAGAAAACTCGCGTCCAGGGAAAAATCGATTCAATCCGACCGACGGACATTCGTCTGATTTCAGAGATCAACTCCGAAAGTTTCGCGTTTCAATAATCCGCGACAAAGTAGCTTATCAGCGTGGACTTTTGATTTCGCAAAAGGAGAAAACGATGCCCGGCTTGGAGCGGCTTAATCGCTGCGGCCGTCTGATCGAGGGGGCACGACGGGATTTCCTGAAATATTATCTGAAAAAATGTCCGACCCTATTTCACATCTGCTACGATCCGATAGGCACCCATCGGAAAGCGAGGGCCTTCATCGGATTTCTCTTCGGATTTGTCGCAGCTGTCGTGTTGTACGAGGGCATAATCGTCGATCTACGATTTGACACGTATACCAGTATCTCTCTGGGAGCCATCCTTGTCGCGATGCTATCGATAGGATGCGCATCATCGATACAGGTAATCTCTTCTCTTACTTCACTCAATTTAGCTCATTACCCTTCGTACCCTCTTGTGTTACCTTACATTTATTTTATTGACGTACTTGATTAAGCGTCAACGGTGATACACTTAATTCTCTGCGAGAGATATATTCTTCGCCTTTAATAATCGATAATTATGAAAACTATGTTGATCATATTGTGTATTTTTATTGCTTTCTTGAATTGTCGATAAAGTCCTGCAAACTGAAACGGCGCGTGTGTATGCCTTGTTAAATATTTCACGAATCAAAACTTGCCATATTTTCTGTGAATTCAATTGCGTCGTAACGTGTATTAACGTACACTCGCGTCACGCACGTTGCCTTGTCCGCACAATCCGATTCTTATATCGGATTACAAATATTTGTCGAGTAAATGCGCGGTTCGACGAAATTTCCAACGATAATAAGAAAATGTAGTTACGTAAGCGGTTTATACATAAACTTTAAAACGGTGACATTTTTACTCAATTATAGTTATGTTTAAAAAATACATAATAAAACGTTTAAAAATAAATAAGGATAAGTCGTTTCCAGTTATTACTATAGTTAAAGAATCGTTCTGTCCGTCGTTCCGTCGTTTTGAATAGGTGAGATGCATCTGTCTTTTGACAATACCGACCTTCCTCGGCCGATCCGGACGCAACGTTTTGAGGGCTCTCGTTCTGGGATACGTAATAGCGGGACCGATATTCAATTTAACGTACAATGGAAAGGAGGTGGTGAGAACTTTTGCTTGCACGATGCAATTGACGTACAATCTCACCCAGACGCGCTTCGATCTTATGTTCAAGCCGTTTCAGCAGGTATCTCGCTGCGCTCATTAAAATAATAATGCTATAAGCATGTTCAAACGTTGAAGATCGTCAGTTGCTCGTGCGACGAAACTTCGCGCGAAATCGACCGATATAATCCGCGAAATCGAAGTATCTAACAATACGCAGGCGGTGCTCGCCATGAAAGCGGATGCGAGCGAGCTGAAGGATACTTTATCCTCGGTGAGAGATCTGATGAGTCCGATAGTCGAGGAAATCGAAGGCGAGGAGGAGATGCGGAGGCTGAAAGAGGAGAACGACTATTTGGACGAGCTCCAGGACGATACGAGGAGAAGCGACGAGATCGAGGAGAAACATGAGAAAGAGATCGCGAACGCGAAGTCCGAGGCGGATGTTTACGAGGCGAAGTACAAGAGGAAGATTGAGGCGCGCTGCGAGGAGCAGCTTAGCCGCGGCGCCGAGCGGTGCAGGTAAGAGACATTTAACACGGACTTCATCTAAATAACATCGACGGGGACTTCGTAGTCGGCGAATAATCGAGACACGTTTCTCGTGTTTCGTAAATAGATTTCTAGGAATTCATTCCCATGTAGATTCGGTGAACGGTATACAATATATGGTACCGATGGTGCGCGATCGGCGAGAGATTCTTTGTTATAAGAAAATAAACCAAAAAGCATAGAATATCATAGACCAGTATTCTCACAGCGCGCTTCTTATTTTAAGAAATCACCTTAAGTAATGCCTTAAGATGCTAATACGGCTCTTACATGATTGGCTTATAACATTTTAAGACAGCTCTCTTAAAACGGATCTTAAATATAATTAGAACCGACTACGAATATCGATCATAGATTGATTCTTTTGTTAATTTTCGGGAAGAATCTTGAATATGAAAATTAATTTCATTTAGTTATGCAGTTCTTCGTAATAATTAGGTGTTGCGAAAATACCACTGCTTTAAGATTCACAAACGTGTGACATTTTTTAATTTTTTGAGCACTTCTTTCTTTTAACTTTACGTTTTTAATTCGTTTACATTGGCGTTAATGATGTTTAACATAACGAGGCTTTTCAGAGATATGTTTGGTAACGCTTACGACAAGTGTTACGATACGGTGACGGTCTTTGCGGCCTGGCTGCTCTGCTGGCCGATGAAGCTCACCTTCGTGTGCAATCTGGTGCAGGCCCTCGGTGGTTCCAACATCTGCGATCCCGAAGGGAAAGTGGACGCCGGTGTCGGCGAGGGTTACGTCGCTTTAAAAAGTGAATGTCATTCGCAGTCGATAGAAATTTAGAAAATTGAACCCATTGAATTTCTCCGCGACGTTCTCGCGAGATATTGTGTCTCGTCTTCATGAAGGGGCCAGGGATTCGTTCAGCAAAAGTCTCAAGGACGCGAAACTACAGTATAAAGTGAAGAAGATGCCGGTGATTCTCGACCTTCACGACGCCACAGATGCTGCTAAGGCGGTGATGCACGAATTCAACGCACGCAGAAAAGTCTTTGAGTCAGTGATGATGATTATCAAAAGGTATATAGCAGGAATACAGATGATTCCAAGGACTTGGATAAGTTATGGCTCTTCTTAGAGTAAAAATACAAGAAAATTGTGTGAAGAAATTTTGACGAAGCTTGTTTTTTTTTTGTTATTCGCGTCTTTATTTTTAAATATAATATCGTTTTGTCGACCGTTTATTTGTAAATATAAGAAAAATATTCGGCTCTATTATCTTAAAATTTATCATTACAGCATACAAAACATACTTTATATATTTATCCAGATGCCTGTCCTTTGTTTTCCTGAGAATCATTGTAAGTGCTCAGACGTATCACGAGAAATACCTGAGCGAGATCGAGCATGATAACGTGTACGTTACTCCGTACTTCCGAAAGATCGACGCGAGACGGAAGGCTCGCGGTAGTCTGACTTTGCTGCCGCTAAAGAAGATCGAGAGATCGAAATTCGTGGATCCGTATAGCCTGCGGCCGAGCAAAGTCGAGCGAGTGCATCTGACCGGGCAAACGGTGAAGTTGATCCTCGAGATAATCAGCGTGACGACGTTTGTACTGATGGACAGACTCTTCTTTGAAGCGCTCGATTTGGTCAGAAGACACTCCTACATGGAATATACGCAGGTCCGAGATTCGTGATCCTTGTTATTTTCAGTTAGATTCATTTGAGTTTAATTTGAACGAGCCCGAGATTCCATCGAAACATTTCTACACAAGTTTAATTCCAAATTTTCGCCTTTTTTCTCGTTTGCGGATTTTCTAAAAAGATTAATTTTGATTAATTTATCTAAATGTAAAAAGAAGAGAAATTCGCATTCGAGTTTTCGTTTTTGACCTAAAGAAATAATGTAGCTACAGCAACGGCCAGGAAAGCTTTAATAATAATAATAGCAATTAGCATATATACAAGTGGCTCGAGCCAAGTGCGGTTTTTCCCCACAAAAACGTTGCATAAATGATTGTTTATACTTTTGCTCTGTCTTGAACTTTAACTTGAATTTTTTCTATAGGCGGGTCATCATGACCTGGCCTTGGAGATTCGCGGAATCGGAGTGATAGCCTCTCTTATACGTAGCGTCATCCGCGGATTCAACGTGAAGAGACGAATTAAGACCGTGGTGACCAACAGCGCGTGCTTACCGAGAGCCAGCAGAGTACCGAATTACATGATCCTCAAGATATACTTGATCTACCTCGCCATTTGGATGTTGCTGTTCACCGCCGCTTACACCCAGCGATTGCGTCGCGTGATCTGCTCGTTCTTCTACAGGAAGCGCGAGAAGAGACGTGTGCTGTATCTCTACAACGAAAGCCTGAGGCGCAGACTCGGGCACGTCAGGTAGAGAAGGGATTAAATATCTCACGGTTGAGTTCGCACCTTATTGCTTTGAGTTCTCAGTTATTATTAAAAAAAAAAAAAGAGAACGTAGGAGCTACTTTAAAATAGAAGCCAATTCAACTGCGATTCGAGCCTTCTACGAATAAGATTCAATTTGTTCCACATCGGAATATGTACACATCTTCGAGCACCGTTTATTCTGCATGATCGGAACAAAGTATAACGAGTTTCACGAATAATAGTGCTCGAACCATTTTCGTGAAAGAAAACTTGGATATCGGAGTCGGATTCAAATCCTTCATGCTAATGCATGCTTTAATTCCGCTTCCGATATTCAAGATTCATGCGAGCCAGGATCAAGACTCTGGTCAGGACTCGTCGGCTGGAGTACGACATGGACCCGTGGGTCGCCCTGAGGCAGCGCTGGCCGGCGCTCTGCGGCTGGTTGGTGATCTTCGCCTGGGCTCGTCACAAGTGCCTCGTCTGCGGCGAAGTGGAACCGCGGAGAGGTCCTCAGTTCCGCAGATGCACGACGCCCGGATGTCCCTTCGTCCACTGTCCCGAGTGTTGGGACGATATCGGCAGGATTTGCTACGCCTGCACGGACATCGGCGAGACAGACGACGACACGGACGAATTTGACATACTCGCAATAGGATAAAAGGGGATTGCGCTACTATATGCGCGATCTCGTGAATGTTTCGCTCGATACGCGACTTTTGTTATATCCCGAATACACGCCGAATTATCGAATATTATCAGATCAATCGGCTTTACATAATGCATATTTTTTATCTTACAAAAGAAGTCACACGAGGGAAATATAATTGATATAAGTTTTAAGAATTTAGATATTAGTTTTAGAATTTTACAATTATTTACAATTGGAACTATATCAGTTTCCAAAAATTTGAAACTTATAGTTTCGATAAGTTCAATTTTCTGTTCTGTATAGGTAATGTTTTTTATAAGATGTACGTAAAAACTCACACAATTCAAACCTGACTGATTTGACAATATTGATGTTCAACAGTAATATCGATATTACCGAAACGTTATCTTTATGCCAATGCATGGCATGTACATAACATAATAATTGTTATATTTATACCAATCGGTTTATATTTCGTTTCTTAGATATAAAACAAAAAATATAATATGAAAACATCAGTTATATATATTGATTTTTAAATGGAATTAAATTCAACATTCGAGGCGCGATTCTAATATCCACGTATTTTTTTATCATCCTCAAGCTCTGCTTCGCACATCAAACTCGGGAAGCGAAGTAAAAATAATCCTCTTATTATCCTTCGTCACTACTTTGCCTTGAACTTTGGTACTAGTATTTATTACGATTAGCGCTAATCAGTAATCGGAAGAAATTATTTGTCATATGACGCCGCGGGCGAAAATCTTCCGCTCGGAGATAGCTATTTGTTTTCGCGCTGTTTGTTTTATAGGTCTCTCCCGAGTAAAAAGAGTCGCACGATTAGGATTCAAATGAGGAAAAACGTCAGATGATTCCGCGTACCATCGAGTAATGGAGATAAAACACAACGATAAGTGCACGCGCGGAATATATCATGACGCATGTATATTATGAACGATATTTTATTTGCATATGCGTATACATACGAATCGTGTCGAATCGCAACTAGAAGGTCGATGAAATAATTAGTATTGTCTCATAATAGTGTTGCATATATTTTCTTCCTTGTTGATTCCTGATTAGATCTGAACGCCTTCCTCCTTAGCCATATCCTCATACTTCTTAGCGTAGTTCCCTTCCGGATCGTACTTCGCTTTCAGCTCGTTCCACATGCTTCTCTTATTAATTATTAGATGTTTTATCACCTTTTTCACCATCTCCTTCTGGTGTTCCGAACATTTTGAACATTCATCGTCTAACGCGTCGGTTATATGTTCTGCAATTATATTATTTATTCAACGTTAAAAATGCAGTCAAATACTTATTGCCTTGATAACTTCAGAATCGATTAAATTTTTTTTTGCAATTCTTTATATAAGTTTTCAATATATCTGTATAAATTTCAAAATTTTTCAAAATTTCTAAATAATTCTAAAATTTTTTAGAAAATTTCTGAAATTTTGAATACGAATTGTGTGGAATATTTCTCAGAAAGTCTTCTCGAATCCTTTATATATGTGAATTCTGAAATATTTTTAAGATTTCTCATTTTATAATTTCCGAAGAAAATTTACAGAATCTGAAGACATTTAAGAACTTTTCACAAAAATATATAACGAATTCTTATAAAATATTATAATAATTTTTTTCATCACTTAGAACACTTAGGAAAGATAACTCCAATCATATCTTAACACCTTTGACTGCTAATCATAACTCATGCTATTAGCCAAAAGCACTGCATTAACATGTGATTAGAAGTCCTAACAAATTGAGTGTTATTAGTCAGTTGCGTAGTATAGCGATTAAATGTTTGTTAAAGAAAAATATTTTCCAACCACGTTTAAAAAAAAAAAATTTCCATATTTCTCGGATAAGAATCTTTAACATGTCACTTCTTACGTCACAAGTTTCAAAGATCTAAAACATCTCTGAGAAATATATTTGTATAGCTGCTTTTGAAAACAAGAGAGAGAGAGAGAGAGAGAGAGAGGTTATTCTATCTTTCTAATATATTTACAATCTTCCGACATCTTGATGAAGATAAATGATTATAACGTATAATTAACATTCTAAATCTAAGCTCACATACACACACACACGCACGCGCGCGCGCAGATGAATAATCTATTTCAATTTAAGTCGTTTGAAGTTTTTTAGTTCTTTTTTTTTTTCGATTAAGACTGCATCTATAATCGTGGGTAGAAGCCACACATGCGCAATACTCACTTTTTAATTCAATAGCTTCAGCAGGGCATCTAACGTTGGGCTTGTCCAGCAAACAATCGATATATCGTTTCAGCAGTCGGTCGTTATTAAGAATTTGATCTACATCTATATTGTCGAATTTATCAGTGTACTTGTCGTCTGCAGCGTACACATAGACGACAGAAATAATGGCGAGCAGGCAAAGCAGTGCGAGTTTCATGGCTGTAACAATCGTACATGTCTAATTAAACGCGGTCTAACGCGAAGCTCGAATTTCGGGAAACTGCAGATTTGTGGCGCGAGTAATTTTGAAAAAAATCGCACGTAAAAGTATCATATATGTTAATGGCATATAGCGAATCTATATTACCGATAATTTTTGTACCACGAAAAAACGTCCGCGAAAAAATGAGGGAAAATCGACGCGTTTCTTGGAAGAATATCATTAAATTTAACACATCCGCTCTTCAATAGAACACCTTGCGAAACCGATTCGGTGCTTCTTCAGAAATTAAACATGGAAACCGCATTTGCGAAACACGTAATGACACACAACGATTAAATGTCGGAAGTGTTGCGTAAAGAAGACATTTGCATTAGTTGATCATGCGTCGTAATCGTGCGACGAGGAATGAGAACTTATAGAGACACGTGTAATCTTTTCAAATTCAATCCCTTTTAGAAGAGCGTCACATATAAACTTGCACAGTTTTAAATAACCAATGCAATTATCTTCTTTTCCGAAAGTTAACACACACTGATCTACATTCGACGGCGCGGACCCACGAGCGCGATAATAGTTAATTTTCTGCGCAAATCACATCAAGTTTTCAAAGCGACGGAGTAGCGCCGCGACTCTGTTTCTTTGAGATGACTGACATAGGATAAATGCTCACCTAACACGTATTATTCACGATCTGATGTAATTGTACGGATAGACCAGTGTTGACTTGAGTTTATATACGTGCGAAGAGACGAACGGCGGGTGGGAATGGTACCGATTTATTCCGCGAATTGCACTTCATCGTTAACTTCACCTTCGCACTCGTCGGTGAAAAACGCTCGCTGCGTCATGGTCGGTTTTAATGACGCATTATAATTTTTCTTTCCCCGCTATAAAAAACGGAAAATTTAACGCAAATGATTATCAAGTGTCATTGCCACAACGCTTCTTCTTAGAAAAAAAACCACTTGACAATTTTAATGCGTATGTATAATTTTAAAACCCATTTTCTGTGAATAACTCATTATAGGATGCAGAATAGATTGCTCTTTTTGAGAATCTGATAATTATTATATATGATCATTTTTTTCAAATTACTTTAAATTACTAAAAGAAGGTGACTGCTATTTTAAAAAGAAAAGAGCTATTTTTCATTCTATTTACCTACATCGATTTAATATTATCATTAATTTATGTGTACGCTAGAAGATAAGTATTTATTAAACATGAAAACATAGATATAAATCAAATTCTTAATAATGACCGACTGTTGAAGCAATATGTCAATATATCATTATTATTGCAATAAAAAATTGGATTTTATTCGATCTTCAAGGTTTTATAATAATTCACTGACTAAACCAAGTGTCGTTGCCATAACTTTTTTTAAAAAAGCTTTTTCTTAAAAAAAAACTACCTGACGTTTTCAATGCGTATATAATTTTAAAATCCATTTTCTGCGAATAACGTATTTATTACAGGAGTAGAATTTTGTTTTTAATCTGATATATAGTATATGATCATGATTTATTTTATAATCCGCACTTTTTTCAAATTACTTTAAATTACTAAAGAGGTAGGACTGCCATTTTAAAAATAGAAGAGCTATTTTTCATTCTCTATTTACATCGATTTGATATTATCATTAATTTATGTGTACGCAGAAGATAAGTATCTATATAATATGTGAAAACATAGACGTAGATCAAATTCTTAATAATGATCGACAGCTGAAACAATATGTCAATATATCATATAAAATTAATAATTCTTTAAGATTTTACAATGATTCGCCAATTAAATTAAGCGAATAATTTATTCTTGATTTCTGTCATCATGTCAAGTTTTGAAAAATGTTTAGCTGTAACATTTGAAAACATGGGATAAAAGATAGAGCGGACATTTTCTGGAAGTAATATCGCTCGAGAAATGAAATAAAGAATAAATTATTCGCTTTAATCAGCAAATTATTATAAAACCTTGAAGATCGAATTATTAACTTTATAAAATCCAATTTTTTGTCGCAATAATAATGATAAAGTTAATAATTCGATCTTCAAGGTTTTATAATAATTTGCTGATTAAAGCGAATAATTTATTCTTTATTTCATTTCTCGAGCGATATTACTTCCAGAAAATGTCCGCTCTATCTTTTATCTCATGTTTTCAAATGTTACAGCTAAACATTTTTCAAAACTTGACATAATGACAGAAATCAAGAATAAATTATTCGCTTAATTTAATTGGCGAATCATTGTGAAACCTTAAAGAATTATTAATTTTATAAAATCTATAGTTTTTTATCACAAAAATTTAAATAGATAATAAGAACAAATTGATCATCTTTATATAACGTATTATTTACAAAAATATCTTAAAATACACACACACACACACACGCACGCACGCACATACACACAAACACACACAACATATTTAAACTGAAACAGGTATTAGAAGCATAACGCGTTGCGTTTCGAAGAAACGCAGGATTGTGTGAGACAAATATAATTGAAGGATAGCAGATAATTAGAAAAAAAAAGCATAACACGTTTTTAATCTAACAACTTAATTAGCTGTGACTTAATGATTTCGTTTGGAAGCAAATTAAACTTATTACAGTAATCAACAGTATAATTATTACCGAACGTGTACTTCGCACGAGACTTTATCTGGCTATTGTTCGGCTGGGATCAACGTAATTAATTTGTATTTGTGTATGGGAGATCGACGAGAAGGAAGGAGCGAAACAAGAAGGAAATAATATTGTAGAAATCAATCAAATGAATCCTTCTTAAATGAAAATATCGCATAATTTATTTCACAATATGTTCGATGAATATCCGTATTGGAGTACATCATAAGTAAGTTGTAAAGAGCTAATTTGTTGTTCAATTGAGAAAATAGTGCGCACAGTGTAACACGCGTGTCGAATATCATACAGACAATTTATTGTGATCGAAGCTGTACTTCATACGCGTCTTTATCCGACTACAGTTGTTTCATAAGAATTGGTTTTTTCTCTCTCTTCTGAAATTTCGATGTTGATCCACTATATACAGCTAAAATATCGACTTTATGCACATGACGCGAAGACGAGACCTTTAATCTCATTGATCTCGATCGTCCATTGGCAACAAGCCGTCCCAGTAATATATATACGTATATATATATAATCAGCTATGCACCACCAAATATAGTCGGATAAACGGGAGAGGTATTTGTTTAATATCTATACAAAATATGAGCGAGTCGCATTTATATTTCAGCGTCGCCCTGCCATACAAATATTTTCCCTCGCACAGATACGCACGCAGGCACGCGCACACAAAAGAGAAAGTCTGGATATAGAATTTGTCTATCTACTTAAACCTGAGTAGGTCTTTATTACTCGTATTATTATGTACAAATAGATAGGCTCTCTTTTTATATCTACATTAGGACCTATATATACAATCCACCGTGTCCACCTCTATTTAGACTTATACAATTTTAATAAGCGTGAAAATTTCAGGGACAACCGATTTAAATAATATTTAACAACATATTATCGTACAGCTACAAAATTCCTGCTTTATTGTACTTTAAAAGTAAGTAACGTAAGAGCATGTCCCGCATATTCCGAAAAACGATTGCTCGCGGTATTATCTCATGTTTTGTAAAATAAGAATCGTAATTGTTCATACCGGACGACCGTAAGGGGTTCATTCATGAATCGGATCTCTTTAATGACATTGAAATTAAAAAATATTTAACGAGATTCGTTTAAATTTCCTAGTTTTTATTTATAGTTATATGATAATATTGATCGATAAATTATTTGTTAACCTTGAATGAAAGAGAATACGTCAAAGTACGGCAAAAATAAAGATGGTTCCCCTCAATAGTTTCTATACACTTTGTGTATATCGCTTTGAAAGAAACGTTTCAATGAATGTTTCTTGTGGAGGCAGCTTTCGTGATATCACAAAATTTAACACACGCCTACTGGTATTAATTAAAAGATTACTTTCGTCGATGTTGACTTCGGATGTGATGGAAAATAATTACGATCCCAAAGCCTCTTTTAGGTCGATACTCACAGTTGTAAATATAATTTTCAATCTTTAATTAAGCGCATAATTAATTAGAGATTGATCGTTATTCAATTATTTGGATTATTCATTTGGACAATTCACAGATATCTGTTTCACGAATCTGCATTTGAAAAATATGTTATTACTTACTCTTCATCTTCACTTATTAGCTCCAATAATCATAGATTTATTAGTAAGGTCTTGACTATAATTAATGAAGCTTTTCTGTTTAATATTTCGTTTATAATCTTATAATTAAAAAAATATTCACATATCTAAAATCTAATTATTTAATAATTTATTATAATGATTATAAACACTATATATGATTGAAGGTGTATTAGAAAATAACATTAAATGCTCGTAATTGATATACCTGAGACGCTCATAATCCAAATAAATAATGATCAAATCTATCATTTATCAATCTGAGATAGTCGAAATAATTATTAAGTAATTCATAAATCAGTGTTTTATGAATTAATTGAAAATAATGAATCTTTGTAAAAATTAAAAATAAATTCACGAATGATCAAAGATCTATGATTATTATCCTCAAATTATAATCAACTATGAATACCGCCCTTAGATGTCTCCCTCACTTCTATCGAAAAATCTGATTTAAAATTTTATCGTAATAATAATGATAAAGACACTTTATATGTCGCAAAATTGTATTTCTTTGTGCTTCAAATAAAGCATATTATCATTAAGAAGGTATTCCGTCCCTTGTCGTATATACAAATACTGTACAAATAACAGACAAATTATCCAATATTGTACATCTTATATTAGTTGAATATATGAATATTCGCATCATTCTTCGTCAATAAGGAATACTTTAAGCCCAAATGAAATCTTTAATTATGAAACATTATATAGTGTCGCGTACATGATTATGTTTTCATGCTTTGAACATAATTTGCATGGTACGCACAATGTTATATTTTAATTATGAGGATTGTCAATCGATTTATCGAGATTTATCACTCTAAATTTTTTGTAAAATAAGCAATCTCTTCTATGTTACAACTAGTCCTCTCGTATACATCAATATTTTTATAGTAATAAATAACTATCTAATAAATAATAATACTAATCAGAATAAAGTAGCCCATTGTGGAATAATTTCAGGCAATAGATTATATTGGCCTAAAAAGCTTCAATATTTTTAATATGCTGCTTTGTGTACCACAGGAATTTTGTAATTTAAAAACAGAGACACGTGAATAATCTGGACGTTTCCTTATTGCCGAATATGATAACAATTTAAAATTTAAGAAAGAAGAGTGCTCAACAGGTATTATCTACACACGGAAATAACACAGTGGAAGAATTAATTGAGCAATACGTTCAATGGCTCTACGTAGGCAGTGTAAGAGATTCGTTCAAACAGCATTCAATTGAAAGTGACAAATAAAACATTTTAAGGGCTGATTCTACTAACGTTTGTTAACCCTAGTTATACCACACTTATGTTTTATATCACTTATCGTATCATGATTAACTTTTTTTCAATCGATCATAAATGAACTAAAAAAAAAATATATTCACTCAGTTGTCTAAAATTGTAATAAGTACCGAAAAACAATCCTTTCTAATGCTCGAGAAAATTATCATATTGTGATTAAATTTTTTGCTTAAATCAATCGTAAATGAACTACAAAAATACGTTTATTTATTCACAATAGCATTAGTAAATAGAATTCTATTTACTAATTCTATCAATAATATAAAATTTCAAATTTCACTAAGATTTCAGAAACTCCAGAGTGTATAGCTAGAGTTATTCATGCTTACAGCGATAAATTAAATTGTTTGTTATTCTTGATATTTACAGTCAGCCTAAGAAAGGCTATTCTATAAGAAAAAGAACAGAGAAGCAATTGAACACTTCCTGAGATTTTATCATCATAGAATCGGCCCTGAACTCATTGCCAGATATCGTAGATGCTAAACACGTAAATCGGGCCTGATTGCGAATCTATCTGATCCTACGTCGAACAATAGATCGCGTTATATCATAGCAATATCACTGTGTAAAAAGTATCAGCAACAATGAAACTACTACACACATGCACGCATGCGATTTCTCTTCTTCTTCTTTTATCTCGTTCCCTCACCTTATGCCTGTCTTACTTAACTGAATCAGACTTAAAAAATTTTAGTTACATCTAAGACTTAGCTTGTAAGATTAGAGATGACTTAGAGTGGCAAAATAGTCGCAAATTTTTACACGTTTGATCAATTGGCTGTGATCCAACCGTTAGTTACTAGATAATGAAGAATTTTGCTTTCTGGTTCTGATTGAGGTACAATACTCGATCTCCTATTACCGTTTAAATATTCCTGTGACATTAAAAACAATTTATTAGAAAAATTGTTGTACAATTGCAACAATCAAGAAAAAATTATATAATCGACATTCATCACTTACTTGTAATAATAATGTCTTTTGCGTCAAATACTGAGTCGGCTTTAGATCAAGTTGAATACATAAGGATTTTTCTTGCTTCGTTAAAAGATGAGACGCAGCCTCCAATTCTATATCACGCTCTTGGCTAGAAATGGTACCACCGCTGTAACTTTTTTCTTGCAAAGAGTTGGGGCTGGAAGTCGATTGATTGGAAGTGTTTGGATTGCTATCCGACTCCGCCCACTGATTGGCTGGAGTCGTCGTCCGATTGTGACTGGCTTGACTGACTGTGGAGCTGGCTGAGTCTTGCTTTACAGTGTATTTTCGGTCGGTGGAAGAGTAACTTTTTTCTTCTTCTCTGTAAATAAAAAAAAGTGTGCACAATTCCTTCAATCATATATAGATCGGGTCTTTAATTTAATTTTAGGATTTTAGAAGTACGACAGTAACCTAACATGTTGTAACAATACCAATTTATGCAATTTGAAGATCATAGCCATGACATTAATGAAATCAATAAAGCAGACAAAATTAAATTTGAACATAAAATAGACAGGGGTATGCGTAATAATAACGAAAAGTGACAATATTTATATAAGTCCCACTACAAATAATACAAAAAGTGACGATATTTATAAGTCCCACTACAAAATATAACATTTAATCCTAACAAATATGACTCTCTCACCTTCTTTTTGAGATGTTGCGGTGTATTGGTGTGGACGGCCCACTGCTGCCCTAAGTGAAATGCAAACTGATACAATCTGTTCACAAATTCCTGGCAACACGCACCATAAACAGTAGAATTAGTTAAAAAGAAGCAAAAGCTAGTATATACAGTATAATTAAGAGTCTCTATTTTTTTTATTTTTGTTGTGCATGTACAAATGTACAAAGAGAATAAAAGATGTAGAAACAGAGTATTTTAACTAATTTTCTTTTTATATATCTATTCACAATTTCATACAAAAGTATGAAATCGATATAAAATATAGAATTATAGAATTTAGTTTTACAAATGAAAATAATAGAATTAGAAAGATTGATATGTATCTTATTACACATGTAAATGTCACACACTCATGTATATAGAACACACAAATTCAATGTTAAATATCTATGTGTAAATTAATACAGCAATACAATTAAAATGTTGAATATCTATACAAAGTACACACAAAAGTATAAACAAAGTATAACGATTCACAAGAAGCGCAATACTGTCACATTACTGTCCAATACTATTTTTCAGATTAGAATTTGTCACACAGTGACATCATACATCGATATGTACTGAGCTTCAGCATGCGTTAGCATTTATTGTTAGTATAAAAGGCTATGATAATATTATCATACTTTTGTCGTGTAAGTACTAGCTTTTGACTAGCTTTTAAACAAATAGCTTTACACATATATGAAAGTATCATGAAATAACTCCCATTCTACATCCATACAGTGTAATAACAAGACGGAAGGGTTACAAAAAAAAAATAAGAAGTGCATACTTACAGATTTCTTTTCAGTCCAATGATCCACTGTGTCGTTCTGTCTCTGAGTTTGCGCGAGAACTTGCTCGAAATGAGCGCACTCCTCGTGCCTCGTAACGCCGTTCTCGCGGTATCGATAAAGCTCCGAGAGCCGTAAGCGCAATTCTCTCTCCCTCTCGAGATTTGTTAGGAACTGTTCGTGCTCTTGTGCTGTGTAAAACTGTGCGAATACACGCATTCTGTCCCTAAATTCTCTGCATTAAATAAATAAACGAAACGTTTTTAATACGTGTTGCGAGCGAGAACGGAGGAAAATTAAATATCTGTCGAAGTATTTCGCGAGACATATAAAGGAAAAAAAAAACGCATTAATGTAGACCGTACTTTTCTTCCTTCGTCCATTTTTTCTTCACTCCCTTGTCTTTCCTGGACGACGCGAAGAAAGCCGACACAAGCTGGTAATCTCTCACGACGCGTTTCCGCCTGGCTCGCTCCCTGAGATTATTGGTGTACATATCAACTTGTGCTAATTTAAGTGCAATATCAAGATCGTCGTCCTCGGCAGGGTTCAGGAACAATGAAGAAACGAGAGACTCGGCCTCGTGATTGTAATCCTGAACAAAAACATTATAATCATCAAACCACATTTCTCTAAGAAAAATCAAATCGTGTTTTAAGATTTTTGTCCGAATACTTACTCTCTCAAAATCGTCTCGTTGGGGCATGTAGCCCAACTGCGCGGCTTCTTCCGGGGTGATGTCCAATGGTGGTAGTCTAGACGTGAGGTCAGGCGATAGAGGACCGTGATCGGACTTCGTCTGATCCGTGAGATTTGGTACGTAGCTATCCGTGGGTGGCCATGTATGCTTTCCGATGTTCCCATTGAGATACCTAGCGATGTACTCTTCTTTCGCTTCTGTAACAATAAAATCAATCCTGTCGTAAAACGGGATGCCGGATGTGCATAGAGCAGTTGCCTGCCGAGCGTAAGATCCGAGTTCAATTCCCCGGACTTGTCATCCCACATATTAAAACACTAGAAATTTTAGAACGGAAAAATATGTCATTGTGACATAAGCAAAGGTACTCAAGACATGTATTTACTTCCAAGATAACTGAAACTTGCGATATATTAGTCTTTAGAGGACAAAACTTCTAAACAACAAAATAATATAATGCACATGACGACGCCTCTTTGAGGGACAGGAGACAATTTATGTCTCCTATTTTCCTAAGAAGCGGCATCATGTGCAATATAATATTTTATTGTTTAGAAGTTTTGTCATATATGTATGTGAATTGAATTAGGATCGAGCGAAAAAAAAACCGAGATTCTTTGAAATTTATGGTAGTATCACCTTCTGGCGTACGGGTCTCGATATGTTTGCTGATATCCTCCCAGTTACCAAAGCCAAACTGTTCGATCGCGTCCAGAAGTCTCAGTTGTTCTCTGGCTGTCCAATTGCCACGACCATTGAATATGCTGATCGTACCAGAGTCCTGAAATGATGTGTGCAGAAATACATATATTAATGCCGCAGCACTTCTGCAACGTACAATTTTAAAGTTGGCCACAATCGATACATACCATAAATTGATAGGCATGATTATTTTTATGTTGACCAATTTCAGCACCGGCGGAAAAACACTGAAAGCAATTTACAAAGTTAAAATATCTTTTAATTATATTCTCAATTTGGCATGTATACTTTTGATTATTAAATTTATCTTCTTTGCAAATATTTGCCAGACACATACATTTTATATACATACATTCAAAGATAGATTCAAATTTTTAGAATGCCATTTCTTGTCAAGCACAAATAAAATGCAAAAATTTAAATAATTCGAATGGCAAATAATATTGCTGGCTTGTGTTATTACTGCTTATTGAGAGGAATATTTGTATATTGCAATGCATTACCCAATACTTTAACCCTTTGTGGTCATCTGGAGATTCCAAAAAATTTTGAAGAATTTTCTATTGTTTATATATTATTAATTACATATTATTTCATAGTTATAATTCAACCAAGAATTAGAATAATAATCATATTTTTGTACTACATAAATACTCTTTTATACTGCAATAATTTCACACTTTTTTCTTTTCTGAAAGTATCATATCTGAAGTTATAATTCTTATTTAAAAAATTTTAAAAATTATGATTAAGTAGAAAAATTAAAACTTTTTACTTTCATGTTTGTTTTAATATATTAAAATTAAAATGTGTTTATACAAAGCCGCTATATTTCTATGTTCTATAATAAATTTAAAGTATGTTAAATAATTTGTTTGACTTTAAAGAACTGTGAACAACGGCAATCGGTTAAATGCGTTGGGATCATGCTACCTCCGATGTGACTATTGGGGCCTATCCAGGACAAATTTGCATACTTCCATAATGAAAATTGCTTCCATATGCATAAAGAAAATTATCCAATCGCATTTTATATGTGTTCTTGTAATAGAAATGCAATTGGATAATTTTCTTTATGCATATACAGCCACGCAAGTTTTTGTCTGGATAGGCCCTTACGGAACTTTCAAGGTTTCAAAAGATGTGACCACGAAGGTTTAAAAGTACCATTTTCATGCTGACGCTCATTTTTGGCGTCAAAAAAACAGATCATATGATTAAAACTGATAAATATCAGGCGTCAATTTTGATGACGTGCCTGTTTTGACGCCAAATATGAGCGTCAGCATAAAATCGTACCTTAAAATTCCCCAGCTAAAAAAAAGTGTGGAGGTAAGTTACATGACTTTTTGTATCTTTTAACATAAAAAGGGTTTCGGCCACTGCCATCTTCCAAATAATAAATAATTAACAAAATATAATGCAATGCAATACCAAAAAGAAAGTAACTGGAAATATCGAAGAAAGCGCTGATTTATTTTCTGTAATAACGATTTAATCGGCATTGAGGTTATGTCGCGCAATACATAACCTAAGTAGAATAAACATTTTATACTCTTTTTACAAAAATAATACAGTAAAACTTTATTCCTTTTTTTTTAATTCCAAAATGTTTTTTAAAGTCCATTCTTTCGTATAAACATAATTTTTCAAATTTCTTATATTTTATTTGTTATTAAGTTACTTGGAACTCTGAAAAATTCAAGAATGCCTACACATTAATCATAAATTTATTCAAAATTTGATCAAGTTCCTGTATTACGTGAAAAATCTGAATAATCTCCCTAGATAATTATATTCAGTGTTTAGCCCTCCTAATCACCGACTTAAAATTATGTCAAAAAATTACAGAGACGTCACAATTCAAAATATCCGCCAGTACGCCCACGTGCATTTTAGCCTTCACCGGTGTTTCATTCATAGATTCACGAGTAGAACAAAAGGCGGTAAAAGAGAGGAAGGAAATAGAGGGCGAGAAAAGTGGAAACGCATGCGAGGAAACGTATGCAGAAGTGGGTCCGACCAAAATTACTGTTAGTACGAAAAAAAAAAAAAAAGGGAACGAACGGAAAGAATGAGGGTGAAAAAGGGAGCACAGATATCGGGTCAAGAGGGGGGGGGGAGGGGAAGGAGGGTAAGTTCGAAAAACAGGAAGAGGCGAGGCTATCACGTGATCCAAAATGGTCGTCCGAACGGTCGACCCACCTGCAAGCAAAGGTCGAATTCGGGGCACTCGATGCAATTGACACGTAGGCCCGCAATGTCCTCCTGGCAATAGGTGCAGTTGTACTTCGCGTACAGATCTGAAATGTAGAGGCCATGTAACGGTGGTGGCGACAAATACAGTAACACGGGAGGCAAGGGTGGCGCGAGAGGGTGTGTATCGGCTCCCGACGCCGCGCCGACACGCACGACGGCATACCCACCCGCCATTATTGTCTCGCTGGATCCTTCCAGAGCTGTTTCGGATGACGTCACCGCATACCATCGAGCCGTGAAAATTTTACGATATCACGAGATGCCGAGACGCGGTGCCGTCGCCGTACGAACCACCATCTTTCCGGTAGTCACGCGTATACCCCGCGCGCGCGGGAACGCCGCGGACTCGCGACGCGTCCTCCCCCTGCGAGACACACGTTTCCGCGCTCACCCCGTCGTACAGGTACAGACAGGCGTGCTTTTGACCCGCCGCGCCGCGAGGAACGCCGACCAGGGGGGAAAAAAAAAAAAGAGAGGCGGCGGAAGGGCCCGTGTTTACGGCTGTTGCGTCGCGCGACCAGTACGCATGCGCCGGACGTTTCTCAGCTGCTCGCCACTGACCGCAGCACACCGCTCCTGATCATCCTTCGAACGTGGTTCTCCGACAACTACTAGACGGAGCTCTCGCCTCTCACTTCTCGCCCCCCCGCTCGCCGTGCCTTGCCCAGCCAGCGCCATTGGCTACGGGTTCATTTAGAGCACTCCCGAAGAGAGTTTTCCTGGCAAATCACCGGTTCACGCGTATTGGCTCAATCGTACTCTGTAATAAAATGGCGGAAATTCAAACTGTGAAAAATCTGGTAAAATTCAAACAGGAGATTCGAGAGTACGTGTATAATTGATGAAACAATTTTAAATGTAATTAGTTTTAACATTATTTTAGATATTGATGTTAAAATGACAGTTTCTCCAAACAATATTGTGCGTTTCTAAACGTTTGGTTTCTTAGTAACCGATCAAACATCAAACAATAGAGATAAGATCCATATCTGTTTTATTTGTCAACATGATGTTGAATGGAATTGCCATTAAATCAAGAATTTCGAAGAAAATCTTTATGAGGAATGTGCAAACGGTAACATAATATAAAGTAGCTCAGAAATTTTGTTGCAGTGTATATCAATTAAATATTATTATTAATATTAATATTAATATGTTAATATTAAATATTAATATTAATATGCATCTTTATTGTGTAAAAAAAATTGTGGATTTAAAACATATTTTTCATATATTAAATCATTGAATCTTAATCTAGCTCTTAATCTAGCTGTTATTATAACTTATAATTTAATTTATTAATTAAATTGTACTATTGATTTAGGGCCAATATATACCTATGTGTCAAAGCTGTTAAATAAAGTTGAAGATATAATTATACACAGTTTTGAAGGAACTCTTATTATTAATTAAAATAATTTATATTTTTTCTATGAATAAAATTTCTCAAAAACTCAAGTTTATATATCTTTAGATAAAGCAGAAATTATAATAGAAAGGAGAGAAGCAAATCTAATAAAGTTGACAATAAATATTGAATTTTGGAAAATTCAATATCTTCACATTAAGGATCTTTAACTCAATTTAGATACAACGCCTGTACAATGCTGCATTATCACGAAGATTGTTCGGCACAAACCAACCGCTCCTAGAGTACAATAAAGAGTTCGAGAAATTTAAATTGAAGCAGGCAAAGATGCAGGTACAATTCGGAGGAATCTTAAAAGAAATCTTGACTTAAGAATTGTATCGAAAAATTTTCGTATTAATACACTCATCATTTATTTCACTAGTGCGACGACGGGCGTCCAACCTACTTAAAAGCCGGCGCACGCGATAAAGCACTGTTCAACTTTACGGTAGCTTTGCTCCTGTTTAACACGATGATATCGCTCTACTCATATGGGAAGCTCTTCTTAAGTTTTTACCGATAATTTTATCACCGATAATTCCTCTCTTTAACTGCACGCGTTGAAACATGTTTTAGAAGTTTCAGATATTTTCTGTTTTGGGAATCAATTAAAATTTGTTAACTAGAATATCAAACAACTTCACTTTATGTAAAACATCTCGATACATCTAATATATTACGCACGCATACATACACACGCTGCACTACATATGTCATATGCATTTACGTATATTTATGTGTTCAGTATCGTTCCCTAACTTTGGAAAAGATTTAATAAGGCACTCGATTACTCTCTGCAGGCGTCGATATGGAAATTATTCATCAGTCTGTTAGATATTGTACAACGAATTCTCCGCGCGACGGAACGTAGAAATTTACAATTCATTTCAATTTCAACCTCACTCTAAATTTAACATCTAATTTGCCACAAGTGTGATGCGACATACCGTTATCGGAAATTTCTATATTTAAGCAATACTAAATGCAAAAATCGATGTGAAAAGACAACAGTACAACTCATAACAGTATAATGTTAACAACTTATGGACGTGAATGTCCGCAATTATAATGTAAAATACAACGAATACAAATGTAAAGCCATAGCTACAAAAATATATCCTTGCAACTTTGTTTACTGTACATAACTAACTTTTTTTTTGGCATATTTGGCATAATTTTGCACAATTCCATAAAAATTTAAATCATATTTATGATACGTATGTAACATGAAAAATTGTATAGTATTTCCTTCAGACTGTTCTCGCTATCATAAATATCGCGCATAAGCACATAGAAAAGTCAATTTTACGCTTTCCAACTTGATAATGCGCGAGCGTGTACATTAAAAAGTACAATATTTCTTGATATCACAGAAAAAAACGTATTTACAATATTATGTTACAATATTACACACGTGTTCCGCTAGTAACATTCGATAAAATTACCTGTGAAACATTTTAAATAAAATTTCCTATACCTCATTCTTCTGTATTCTCAGTATTTTTCTGTGAGCCTTCCTTCTCACTGGAACATTTACGTCATTTGAATTTATATTGGACTCGTCCGCAGCCGATTTTCTTTTACTTTCTGACGTATAAGTATCCCTGTTCTCGTGCAAGTTGTTCGCATATTCCTTCTCCGAGGTCTCTTTCCTTCGTTGCATTAAAGCCTTCAGAGCCTCGAGAAGTTGTGCTAATATCTCATCGATCGGCCGTTCCATGTACTTAGCTACGATCTCATCGAATTGATCGTCCTCCTCTGAAGTTAATTCACGCTTGAGATACTTAACTTGATCTATTATTTCCTTGAGAGTTTCCCTACTATCTTTTTTCACCTGACCGTCACCTTTTGCAGAATAATCCGTTTCCGTGCGCGAATCGCCCTCAACGTGATTTGTACCGCTCATATCACTCGCCGTTGTATCAGTATCATCGTGTATGAACTCTTTCTCAAATTCCTTAAACTGATTTATTATATTTCTTATCCTTTCTCGTACATTGATTGCTTGGGTGTACTTATTGATGGTTCTATTGCCTCTAATGTTCTCTTCTTTAGCTTCTTCCTCGATCATTTCCACATCAGTTTCAAATAACTCTGCGTCAACTTTATTTTGTAACTTTGCAAGCTTTTCCGCATCTACTTTTACATCCACAATTTCGTCTTCTTCTTCCGTTATATTTTCAGATTGTTCTAGATCATCTGATTTTATTTCCTTGATCTCATCTTCTTTTTGGGCAACTGATTCCTGTTCACTAAATTCATCATCTTTTACGTGTTCTTCCTTAAGTTCCTCTTCGATTGGTGTTCTGTCTGTAACGGTCGCTGACTCCTTTAATTCCTGTTTCAATGTGTTTATCTTTTTAAACAAATCTGTTACTCCTTTCTTCTTCATTCGTTTTACTGGAAGTGTTATATTATTTCGTTCATCCTCGATCTCTTTTTTCTGTTTAGCTTCTAACATCTTTTCCTGAATCATTCTTTTAACAGTTTTTTTAACACCATAAGTTTCTTGAATTTTCCGTACATTCATATTGTTTTTAGACTTTTCCTTAACACTCTCTTCTTCGATCTTTATTTTTTTGTCAGATTTGGCATCAATAATGTTAGAAACATGTTCAAAATCTTCCTGAGAATCAATATTTTCTTCATTTTTATCTCTTGAATTCGACGATAATTTATTTACACTTTCCCATGTGGTAGTATTTTTTATAAATGCGTTTTCATCTACCAAATCATCAGGCATTTCTACTTGTTCCTCCATTGTATCATTTTCTTTTGTAGCCACTTCAACATCCGAAAAATTTCGTTCAACAGTTTGTTTTACCTTCTCATCTATTTTTGAGTCTACAAGTTGGTCAACTATTTCTTCTTCAAATGACGTGCTCAGTTTTATATTTTTTGTATCGTTTACCTGGTTTACAAAATCTTTTACAGACATACGTGATCTTGCTTCATCAGGGTCATATTTAATATTCAATTTTCTTTTCAAAATAAATATACTAGGCTTTGTTTTAATTCTAATAGGTGGTAACATGTTATAATTTAATGTTATATGCGAAAATGCATCGATAAACTCAATGATATTATGTGTACTGAGATAGGGCTTTATATTCTGCGAATATTTGCTTTTTCCTTCGATTAAGAGGTGAGTAAACTGTAGCATTTCAGGATCATCAATAGTGAGGTTCTCTTGTTTCGAGTAACTGTAACATAATGAATGTTCTTGCCATTAAAAAGTACTATAATGGAAATAGCATTAGTGAGAGAAATTAACATTATTATTAGACAAAATAACGTACATCCAAGAAGAATTGGTCTGCGTAAATCTTGATACTCCAGTTTGTGCAGTTAACACATCAATATGCACATGCACTGGCTCGATAGAATTCTTCTCAAGTCTGTGTAATCTAGCGATTGCCAGACCTCCAGGGTAATTAGAACTGGCCACACATAATAGAAACATGGAGAATATGGCATTTAATGCAAGATGACCCAAGACTGCTAACGCTAGAAAATTATTCCACGTTGATTTTGCTCTGTTTTCCCATCTAATTTCCAACAAGAAACGATTTTTCAAATTATTACATTATATTATATACAGCTGCAAAGATTCATAATCTGAAGCTTAATTCTCCATCATTGGTTGTAAAATGATCTTATAACTGTAAATTCTAGAAGAATTTAGAATTCTAGAATTCTAGTTTTATTGACAAAAGAAAAAAAATTATGTATTTAATTATTGAAAGAAATATCATATCAGTACTTTTCTGTATAATTTGATTAAGAACAGAAAATATGTTAATAATAATAATAATTGTATAATCATTTTATAATCCACTGTTTAACAATTAAAGTAATTTAAAGAAATCATGGTAAAGTAGAATTACTGATGGATAATTAACTGAATTCGTAATTCAAATAAAATGTACTTACATTCTGTGGCAAGCGGCAGCTGCGCCAATATTCAACAACGGGAATACATATATTATAAATCTCAATTCCTTATGTGGTAAAAACGAAAATAACAAGACGAATATGATAGCTGGAACAGTAAGCACGCGAACTCTAGCATCCCAGAACATTCCAACGGGAATTAGAAAATATGAAGTTGCCAGACCTCTCGGCAATGCTGAATAAAAATACCATAAAAATGGCGATGTCTATTCATGTATGTCAAGTTTATTTACTGTTTTATATATTGAAAGATTATACAAATATGTATTTAAGGATTTTTAATATCTCGGCAATCGGAAGTGTCTGTTTGAGAATTTACAATAGTTTGGATAGTTAACGCATATTGTAATATGAAATTCGAAAGTACTGGAAATCAATCACATTTTGTGATGTGACAGATCGAAAATAACTTTTTTGATATTTTGAATATTACAATCCAAAATTTATCATCCAGATTTACCATCGAGATATTGAAAATCCTTAACGGAAAAGCTTATTACGTCTGAAAAGGATACACCCCATTCGCCGCTCTTATTGAGAATAGTGTTAAAGTAAAATACTTCGCCTTCTGGCCACACTAAGCGTCTCCAGAATATTGAATCTATAGTAACAGTAAGTGCTAAGAACACTACACCAGCTGGAACCGCAATTTTAAGTAGTCTAAAAATTTTTATAAAATTATAAAACATTATTGTGTAATAAGCAACGTAATTGAGAGAGAAGAGTATTATATAAAGTATTAGATATATATATTCTTTTTTTAATAACTGAAATCGGGCTTATGTCTTGACGATCCAAGGGTATTTTCGTGTTAATGTATTTAATAACACATAACAATTAGAGATTTGACTTAAGAAAAGCTTACAAATCTGTGCAGTTTTGCAGAAGACCCCATGATGATTTTAATCATTTCTGTTTGTAATCTTACAGCCATATTAGGAATCAATGGTCCATATATATGTAAATACCTTTGTACGGAAAGTTTCTGGCTCGCTATATTGTATAAAAGGAACAGTCCCAAAAGTATGGCGAGCTCCGCTCTGAATATTATTATTGCTGCAGCCGACGACCAGATAAACAACACGTGATTTTGTCTCAGCCATCCGAACAAGGCCACTAATACTACAACACATTAAAAGGAAGAATATGTGAAATTTCATATCGGGAGTTAAGCGTTTTAAGATAACGAAAAAAATACACAAATTTAGCAAAGACGTAAACACATAGAAAGTTTTGCTTTATTTACCTAAAGGCATAGCCATGATGTTTGGCAGTGGACGACTAAGATAGTACATAAAGTGATACTGTGTCACGGTTATGAAGATGAACCACTTCGTAAGCTGCACTCCGAAGATGTTTTCTAAAGCGTGCCTATACAGCTTGAGCGTAGTTATTACCAACAGTCCCAATGTTGCTCTTACTTAAAAGAAAGAAAATAACATTAAGGCTCTTTATTCTATAAAAATATGTGGAATTATTATATTTTGAAATTATGTACCAAACTTACCCACATACTGAGCAAAAAATTTATTGAGCTTCAGGTAATTAATACATGCCACCAATGGTGAGGCGAAACCAGATACGACGATAGGCCCCAAGAAAGAACGCGGCACAACTCCAGGAAATTCATGATGATCATACTATTGGAGAAAAAAAATTAAGTACGATGTTAATTAAGAATCATTGGTGACGCCAAATAAGAAGTTCAAATGACTCGTAACAGCAAAACAGTATCCTTGTGGCATCAGCTGGTCCACAATGGCATCAGCTGATCCACTTAGTAAATACACAAATGTAGTTGATTATAAAATTAGTTACAAGGTCAAATTAAAACCTCTATTTCTAGTTTTTCAAATAAAATGCTATTTATCTATTTCAACATTTTAATTTGAAGTTTATACAGATAATAAAAATATCTTGCAATAAAAGTCTATTTTTGCTTCTGTCTTTCATCATAGCTGATTTTCGAATCTCAGCTGGTCGTTTTTTATTTATAAATACAAGATATTAAAGTCTCCTCAATATCTTTTTCTTTTAAATATATACATATGCACACAAAACTAAATCGTGTACAGATCATGTGTGTTCGCCGGAAATGTTCGAAGCGGAGAAGAGTAACGGCGTTTAAATTATATAAGAAATGAAAAAAAATGAAAATTTGCCCGTTAAATGGATTATGGGATGGCATCAGCTGATCGCGAGTTTATAAATACGCGTATCTGGTACTAAATATAATGCGGCACTTTTTGCGCGCTGGCTGGCCCGATCGCGATCAAGTCGGCCGAGCGGGGCGAGCACAACGATCGTCCCGAACGACTCGGAATCCTCGGATCGGAACAAGCCGATATGACCGTTTAACGTTTCAGTCATTACCTCCGTCAAATTGAATCCGTGATAGAGGACATCGTGTATCGCCTGCAGGTTGAAGCTCTCCTCGACTTTCGTGAACGGGCAGTACAGCAGGTGGATCACCGACACCAAGATAATCACCTGATCCATGATCACCGTTGTGCGTTCACGCAGAGCATACGTTGCCACCTGACGAACTCACGGCCCTCGTCATGATACAAATTCGACGTTGTCGGCGTGAAGGACACTTTTTCTTTCGTTTTCCCCAAACACACCGCGTGTCACGGGGGGAACGTTATTACGCGGCGGGCACCACGTATACTGTTACAAAACGAAGCAGCTCGCGCATGCGTCCTCTCCTTCTCTTGATTATTCTTGATCCTCCGAGGATCTTCGAAAACTCCAAAGTCTCATTCTCTTTGTTTTTTTTTTTCTTTTGAGCATCTTTACCTTTTGGAAAATTCAATTTTTAAAATCTTTTTGTTTTTTTTTTGTTAAAGACTTTAATTCGTAGTAAGTATATATAAATAAAATTGAATCAAAATTGAATATAAAAAATGATTGTATACTGTATTGATATTAAATTTGTAGATTATTACAAGTTAATCGAAGTTTGGTCCAAGGCATCCCAGAAAAATTCAGCCCGATGTCATTCGCGTCTAACCGAAGATGCGCGGCGGCAGACGTTTCTAAAGACATTGCCTCACAGATAATTAATTGACCCATTGACCCTCGCGCGAAAAGCGAGGAGGATTCCGTTGCGCGAACTCGCCGACGAAGCGGCGTCATCTGACGACGAGAGGTGACACTGTTTGCGCCTTGCGGTGTGCTAGGTTTTAGAGCGGCAAAAAAACAGCTGATCACAGCTGATGCGATTCAGGATATTCGCGATAACGTCGCGTACGAAGCAGGTAGCTAGAATGACAGAACACTCCTTCTCATTACTTTTGCCAGGCTAACTGGAATCATCTCTTTCGGTATCATTTTTCAATTTCGTTTAATCAATCAAGAGATTCCACTCCTGCGGTCTCTCTCGATAGGTTAACCGGCAAAAGGATTGGCCGATTACGTTCTCTACTTGTACGATTTAAAGGCAGATTACAAAGAACTGCAGCACGGAATTGCAAGTGCAACAAATTTGCATGCATAACATCTACACATTACATGAAATTTACATCGAGACATTTCTGCTCATTACTCCCTCCCCTCTTTCTGGCTGTGGTCGATATCGAAAAACGATTTATACAATCCCTGCGTTCGCTTTGACGCTTACAGCACTCTTGGAATCATTTCTTGTTATTTATCAAATGTTTATTAAACAAGAATAAATAATGCTCACGACTCTCACGAGCGCTATGAGCATCAAATCGAACGCAGGGAGTTAATTCTTGAACACACTATTCGCACTTGTTATTTTGAGAATTTTTTTTTTTCAAACACCCAAGTGATTTAGAATCAGTTTGCCTAGCAAAAAACATTTTATAAATATATACATATGTATAATTTTATATATGTAAAATTAAATATTTTCAATTTTACTTTGTTTTATATATTTTATATATTAATTATCTTCAATATTTTCTGATTTGGCCATTTAAATATTTTTTGCTTATGAAAAATTTTATGTGTGTGTAGATATATATATTTTTTATCGTTTTATAATTCTTTCATAGCTGTACTTATCAAAACAATTGCTCATGTACGTTATATAATAATAAACGCTATGCTAGAATATATTGTTTCATATTTACTAAGAGATTAATATAAATGCATATGTATGACATCAAGAACAGCCTTAATATTCTCTGTAATAAAAAAAATACGTTATTTTATTTTTTAATATATGTATCTTTTGCAACACACTTAGTAAAACCCATAGATGTAATAAGTATAGACACTATATGCACATTTCTTATCTTAATTGTCTTCACTTCTGTGCATTAGAAAGAGTGCGCGATATGCTGCATCGTACTAACATCTCTTTAATTCGCTCTGGAGCAATATTTAATATCATTATCCCCACTGAACTATAATACATACTCGGTGATTATCCCCCACTACTGATATCTTAAGATGAGAGAGCGACACAGATTAAGCTATTTTAACCTTTCCAAATCGGCAGTGACTATCCTCATTGAAACGCGCAATCTGTACTCATTACATCTATGGTAAAAACCGTTCTCGAAGAAATTATATCACATAAAAAATATACTTCGCTTTTATTTCCTTCGTTGTAAAACTTATTCGAAGTCAAACGCGTCCGTCGTATCATATAAAATATTAATTTCGATAGTTTTAATATGACTAAGATGGAAAAACATATGCATTAACATGGCAATAACACGTGATTATAGATAAAGTAATTGACGTAATAACACCTTCTCATCACCTTCTTATCGTCTTCTCGTTCACGTCGTCGCTGCTTCATCACGTTTGATGTGCCCCAGACATTAGATTTCTAAGTGACCCGGGGATTCAAATTGCAAAATGTCCGTCGACACGTGTAACAAAGTCACGCACTGCATTTTCGATATGGACGGTTTGTTGCTCGGTAAGTGTCGAGACAGATCAGACTTCTTTCCTTTCGGCCATGCGACTCGGTAATTAGTCCTTTCATCCCGTTTCATTTCAGACACGGAATATCTGTACACCAAGGCCTTCAACCGTATCACCAATCGTTACGGCAAGGAGTGGACGTGGGAGCACAAAGCGCACACGATGGGCTTCAAGACCAAGAACGTAGCCGGCTACGCGGTTAAAACGTTGGAGTTACCTTTAACAGCCGACGAATTCATGCAAGAGATTACTGGGATCTTTCAGGAATTATTTCCGCAAGCCAATCCCATGCCAGGTAACACTCTATATATACATCAAAACACGTCGTTGATATCTGACGATTCATAATTTAGTTGGATTATCGAGCAGCAATATCTATTATACAATACCGCATGTGCATTACGTAGGCGCCGTTCGGTTATTGAAACACCTGAAAGAGAGCAACGTTCCGATTGCGTTGGCCACGAGCTCGGATCGCGGGAACTACGAGTTGAAGACCCGGCGTTGGCGCGACCTCTTCGACCTCTTTCATCACAAAGTGCTCGGCGGCTCGGATCCCGAGGTCGCGCGCGGGAAACCGGAGCCCGACATATTTTTCGTAGCTGCCAAGCGTTTCCCCGACAATCCGGATCCTTCGAAGGTAAGAGCCTTGATCTTCGAAGACCGGTCGTTTAACTGTCAAGTACAGCATGTGAAATCATTTTTAATAAGGCTTTACTCAGACTATATTTCAAGGATCAAGAGTGAACGAAGCTTAAAAGAGTCAATTGTCTGCAGTGTCGTAATATTACAAAAATTTCTTTTCAGTGTCTGGTCTTCGAGGATGCGCCGAATGGCGTGAAAGCGGCACTTAAGGCTGGCATGCAGGTCGTTATGGTGCCGGATCCGATGCTTCCGAAACAATACACGAGCGAGGCGACCCTGGTCTTGGACAGCCTTGAAAAGTTTCAACCGGAGAAGTTCGGACTACCGCCGTACGTGACATAGTGCACCCTCCTCCGAGTTTATCGCATGTGACGCGGATTCGTGGACGAGATACGTATATGCACGGAATCATCTCAGTAAAAAAAATAATTTAATATGTAGGTTCCCTTAATCGCCTCTCTTCCGGTCTTGCCGGATTTGTATCTTAACTGCGCTCTCTCCCTAAACTTCTTTATCCGTGTCGTCGGACAGATCTCCCAGTTCGTCGAAATCCTCCCGCGAGCCAGGACTGATAAACATTCCCGCGCTATTGGCGCCCGCGGCGCTGCTGAATATTCCTGTGATATTTACGCACGAGAACTTGTTTCGCTTCAACTGTCTGTCAACTGCCTCTTTCAGTGTGCTGTACGCGGCTATCATATCCCGTGGACATTGAGACAGCATATCTGAAAAAAAAAAGGTCGGAAAGCCCATTCGTACACTTGTCCGGACATTGTAAATGTAAAATGCGGTAAAAGACAATAGAGATTCATATTACGTTTGTAAGCCGGTTGAGTGATGTCGAACATTTTATGGTAGTAGAACAACTGATTGTACAGATCTGTCCCGGAATACTGAAAAACGTACAAACGTGTATATTAATATTGTACAGTCTCAGAGTAAAAATATATGACATTGACTCAGTTAACTTACGACTCGATTCATGGAAACGTCCTTGCACACCGGGCAGTCTGGAAACTTCTTCGCGAAGTCCAACGGCAATCGTCTCGTTCGGTTGGAACAAAGTGGATTCTCACATTCGAGCCAGCCGCTGTAGTACTTGGTAATTGCTTTTCTCATGGCAAGCTGAACTACATTCTGTATCACGTGTGCATATTTCCAGGGTGGTAATTTACAGTCCTGATTGGGGCACATGCTAAGTGATAGCTGCCGACCAGAATGCTGCAGAAAAAAATAACATATATAAACATATATAAATATTTCACAATATAAAACTCTCATAGAAAAATATATGAAAATTTAATTGGAAGGATATGATGAGGATTCTTAAAGTAATCTTATAAAATAAATTATAAAATAAAAAAATGTATATAAAAAAAGAGAGAAACGGACACCTACAAATTCTGTAACGGTATCCTTAATTATTATTTCCGTATTACATCGTTCATTTCTGCATTTAAATGTCAAAGGCAGACAATTGTTGAACCTGTCGTCATTGATGGCGAGCGGTAAGTTCAGGGTTGCCTCGCAAGCTATCGTCTTAGGCTTGTAAACAAACTGTAAACCTGGCGAACAAATTGGCACGTAAAATATAATGCATTATTTCATTTTTAGAGTTTATGCAATAAGTTCCGAAGTACCTAAATTGTTGGCTAGGAAGACATCGTCGATCCCCTCGATCGGGTCGCAGATTCGTAACACTACAGGGAATATTTGACTCAGCAGATAGTAATTGACGTCCACCTTCAATTTCTCATTGTTCTTCACTTCGTCGATGTGATACGCCCGCTCCGTCGCACTCGCATCAGTTCCATCCTAATATTAAAATAAAATAATCTTCATATCCTTTTCGTCGGTATTTTTCTTTCCAAAAATTCGCGAATTAAAGTAGAACGAAATGAAACCTCGCATATAACATATGGCAGAGTGTCACCGGCTTTCCACATCCGACCACCCGCTTTGTTCAGTCTGAGTGCCACCATAACGTGCGACAATTGCTTTTTATCTGGATACGCATCAGGATTTTTCGACAATTGTTTAGTGATGACAAATGATGACAACGGTGCCGTTCCCTCCTTCACGCTTTTCGCAACGTTCTGCAAAATTTGCACGACTTGCTCCAAACGCGTCTCGCTCGAATGATCGCAGAGAAGTATGTCCAAAACTTTTCTGAAAGACGAGATAACAATTAAGTAGACTTGAATAAAATTAATCTCTGGAAAAATATTATCATTATCACATGTATCTGCTAACTTTCCAGTGTCGCAGGCCAACGGGCACCAGTCTCTCCTCACGATATCCAGACCCTTGTGTTCCTGTGCCAATTGTATTTGGCCGTTTGGCAATCTCGACATCGTAACCGCGGCGTATTTCTTCTTTTGCAACAGCAATAGATACCGGAATACCCCGTCGATATCTAATTCGACTTTCTTGTATCGGTTGTTGACCTCGCGCATAATCTAGAAAATATTTAATCCTGCAGCGTGTTGCTAGTAATAATATCTCTCGCATGTGTGATATAAATGTCACGAATACAAAATTACACGGAGTATCTTTCTCACCTTTCTGCCGATCGAGAAAACGTCGTCGTATTCCAGAATGTTGGTGTTTATCATCAGAGAGTCGGTGTCACCGTAAATTACATCGTATTGCAGTTTCTCGACCAAGCGCTTCGTATCCTCCAGGATCTCCCGACCCTTGGCTGAAGAACGGCGGAAAAAAAAAAATGTTTCATGCTCATCGATGCATTTTAAATATCCATCTCGCGCACTTACCTGTTATCAGAGCGGCGAGGCCTTTAGCATAAAATCGACAATGCGTCGCCCCCAAACATCCGTACATGGAATTGGCCGTGAGCTTCAACGCCATTTGCCGGATATGGTAGTCCATTTTCTGTTCCGGCGTTAGATTCGGCGTTTTCATGAGCTGTTTGATCTGCTGCCTGCTCTGGACCAATTTGTGAATCTCCGTCGGGATCACTCCTAATTCCAGATTCGACTCGGGAATATTCAATTGCTGCACCACGTAAATTACACTTTACTCGAAATGTCTGTCTTTTCGAACTGTCGTCTGTACGTGAGAAAATTACCTCGACTTCGGCGTACGCCGCACCGGGCACGGTAGTGAAACACAAATTGTACTCCTGTATAATGCTCGGATACAGAGAATTGAAGTCCATCAGCAGTACGAGTTTATCGTAGAAACCCTTCTTCGGATCGAGTACGAGGCCTCCAGTGTACGCCGCAGCCTTCCTACGCGGACCATCTAATCGAATATCCAGCATTAGTATACGCTCGGCATAAATAATGTCGTAATAACAAAAATATATTAAGAATCTCACCATCGTCTCGCCCCTTCTTCTCAATTTTTTTATCCGGCGTTATGTAACCTTTTAGATTAAAAGCATGCAGCAACAGATACTCGTTCCTCTCCGCTCTTCCGCCTAACAGCGTCCTCGATAAAATGTTACCTGCATTCATTCAATTCGCAAAAATTAAAATTGTAATTACACTGTTATAGTTTATTAAGGCCCGGTTCCACAAATGTAAAATTAACTTAATCTCGATTTAACTTACTGTTTACTCTTTCTAATTCTTAGATTAGAAAAAGATAAAGCGAATCGAATGCATTCGGTTAAATCGAGTTAACCGCGAACTTGTGAAACCGGGAACTAAGAACGGAAGATACTGAAACGACGTGCCTGCTAAGCAGGTGATTTGTAGCGCGAGCGGTATAACATTGAGATCCATCACTATGGTTATGATGTATCTTGCTTCCTTCAACGTCGCATGCATTAGACTTAGCACTTTGTCCGGTGTACTGAAAAACGATGGAGTCTCCGCTGGCGTGATCTCTTTACACTCGTATTCCTTCGTCCTTAATACCTGAATGTTTGTCAAAATTAATGGTTTGTCGCGAATAAACAATGTAGCGCTAATGCGACGGACGTGACTTACCGCGCCGCAAAGTGATTGCAGATCGTAACTTCTGACTTTTAAGTTCAATTCCTTTGCCGAGACTTGTATGTCACAGATTGGACGACCGACAAACGCTTGATTAAGAATTATTTTCCCCTGTAGAAATATTACTTGTGTCATCTTATGTTAGAAAAATTATTTTTATTGTTTATATGCCAATTGCATAAACATAATTTTAGTATGCTACGTAAATATAACACATTTATTTTACTAGTTTGTTTTAAAAAATAGATGTGTATTTTACCCTAAGTAAGGGAGGAGTCGTTAACTTCAATCTTCCCATTCTGTTCCAATTGGGCACTTTCGATGCAAGCATTCTCTGCATCAAAACGTCAAACTGAAATGCACAGTCGTAGCCTATTATTAAATCGGGATCCGCTTTTTGCATTAAAGTTAACAGCTCTTCGAGTAACTCGCTTTCAGTTTCGCATTTTATTACTTCGATATTCGGGACTTTCGGAAAAGTGTCACGAATTTGCCGCGGCCACGGGGTGTCTCGTGGATGTGTGACAACTGTAAAGAGTTACAAATTAATTGTATAGGCTATACCTTCATTAATGCCTTGGCAAATAAAAAAATATCTGCGACTTAAGGGTAAAACATTGGATGTGTCATTATGAGTCAAATAAAAATCTTTTCTCTATTTCTAAGTCATAAAATATTAAAATTTTATAAGTCAATTTAATTATTAAAGAAAATTAAATTATTAAAGAATCATAAAGAAAATTAACGAACGTGAAAGAAACGATGAGTAAACGAGTGAACGGTGCAATGCAGAAGTAAACTTACAGCAAAACTGACGCTCGTAAGGCGGCTTCGGTGGTTCCTTATCGACATTGTACCTATGATGAATTAATACAACAACCATCACTACTTCGTTCTGCAACTTTGCGTTCAAAGACATCCTCACATTTAGAGTCGCTATCACCAGCGGGGGCTTAGCTTTCTCTTGGGAGCACAGCGATATACTGTTCATGTCCGAAGTAACCACCTGTTGCATCGCAGTATAAAAATAAATCATATATCAAATTTATTTCTTATTGCTATACGATAAATGCATTTACATACAAAACGTTCTGCAGTATATTCTTGCGATGTATTCTTGATGTCTAGCCAGCAGGGGCCCTTGATCCTTCGTTCTATTAGTAACAGCTCTAACGCATTCACTGTCGTGCCAAAGACGCGTTCTATCGCCCGACCTGAGTAATCGGAATTGATTGCCGGATAGCATGCGTCATATCTGACCTCCAAGTAGTCCGAAGTTTTCGGTGTACCCTCCTTTTCGAAGGAATAATGCATGTTCACTTCTTTGCAATTAAACTTCATTATACGCATCTTATTGGCATACTCGTCAAACTCGTTATACACATCTTCCATGGTGGTTAATTGCGATTCGGTGTTCTTTAACTGCAATTCACGATCGTAAAAATAAACTGTATTCGATTTTAGCGATAATTAGAAAATAATAGTATACTACAATTGAATAAAACTTAAAAAAAAAAAAGTCACTAAAAAATATACATACATATTTTCTCGGCAAGAGATATATTCTCCTTGGTATATCATTCACTGTAACGCGACACGAGCAGTACGTGTCGTAGCTAGATAAATAGGTCTTGCCGAAGAGATGCACAGTTCCAGGATGCTTGTAGGGATTTTCATAGGCATCCAGGTAGTAGAACCTAAATACTTCTTCATCCTTCGTTTTGACTAGTTGCGGCACTACCTCCGTCAAGTCAACGGCATTACCAATTTTCATGCTTTTGACGGAAGTTTTGCAAGCGGCAATCTGTACGTCCACTCCATTTTTCTGAGGTTTAACATTGTTTGCCGACGACGAGAAGTCAACGTCCATGCTTCCATCGTCAAAATCTATGGTGGACAGCTGCAATGTATCTTATATGTAGTTTCGCTTTTATATATATATATAAATAAAATACGATAAAAGAAAGCAAAACAACTCTCACATCTCCGACACACTCGCTAAGATCCATCGTAGGACTGTCCGTATCCTCAATAAACTGACTTGCACTCTGCACATTAGATTCCATTGATTTTTTTGCGCTCGAATCTTCTGGAATCGAATCCTCTTTAACTTTCGAATTACTTGATTCTATTGGTTTACTTATGCTCTTCTTCTGCGGCGCATCAAATATTACAGTATCATCCACATCCTCAATTATCTGACTTACACTTTGTGTGATATTATTGGGTTCTGACACAATTTTCTCCTCTGGCTTTTCATATGTTATTTTATCAGCTACTCTTGAGTCAACGGATGAAGACTGATATGTTTGTCTGTAATAAATATGTATATACGCATATATATAGTTAATTTTTACAAATTTTCAGTATGAAAGCACAAATATAGTATAAACAGAATGAACAGATTCATTGACTTACGTAACATTAGAGTGAACTGTGTGGCAAAATTTGTTTCTGTTGCCTCCCGGTTTAGGGCCATTCATTGTCTTCTTATCCGTAGAAATCTCACTGAGCAACTCTCCCAAAATATCATCATCTTTGATCTGAACTACACCAGCATCTTTCTTGGAAGGCATATTTCTGAGCATACTTTGAATATCCCCTTTCTTCTTGTCCTCTTCCTTCCTCCTTTTTCTAGGGCCAGACATGTTACGCTTCTGGTTTCTAGCTTCTTGAATGCTTTCTTCATCCAGATCATCATCAAAAATTTCCCTTCCATCTTCGACATAACCGCTTTCTCCTTCAATTCAGATTCAACATATACATCTCTTACATCTATATATTTTTACATCTTTGAGGCAGAGATTTAGACATCTTAGAAAAAATGTTTTTCAAGCAAATCACTTTTTTCAATGTAACTTATTTAAATTGGCTTTAATAATACATATATATTTTTTTTAGTATTACGACTGATATAATAATACGAAAACTTTTATTACCGTCATCGATTATCCAATCATCTCGTTGGCGTTTTAGAACAGTGCTACTGTATTCCTTCTCGTCTACTTCATCGTAAACATTTTCTAACTCTCCAATCTCGTACTTGCGCTTGCCGCTACGAGCTTCCTTCAATCTTTCCAGAGCCGAGAGCCTGCCGGTCCTATCAGTCTTCTGACGTTTGATCCTGCCAGACGTAGATGCTAAAAAACATGTTCAGCAAGGTAAATCTATAGTTCTCTTCAATTGCACGTAACAAAAAAAAACTGTGAAAATGGATCAATGTATTCTACTATATGACATATTATCAGATCAAAGAGAATTGTTCTTTCAAGAATTATAAGAATATACACAATGTCTGCTGAATTAATAGATAATCCGTTGTGGGAATACATGTAAACAAAAGGGTGATGGCAATGGATTCAGGTTGAAGAGACACGAGTGTATAAATGTACTTATCGCATCGCGCTCGGCGGTCCACTTACCCTGCGAATCGTCCATTATTCTTCTCGTAAAAATCGCGTTTGTCAACACAGCACGTCAACACGGGCGTGCACGCGACATTCGTCTCGTGGACAGTCCCCGCGAGGAACTTTTGGCGGGAGATAATCATAACCTTCCAGCGTGAAAACATCGCGATATCTCGCGAATTCGAGAATTCGATTCGATTCGAGACTCAGTCGCGAACGAAGTACGACTCTCGATTCGTCCGTTTGTTTCGTGCCGGAATGGGGAAACGTCCAATGGAGTGGCGCAAATGCGTCCAATCTGGGACCAATCGAATTCGAGCTATGAAGACTTCCGCTCTTTTTGTACCGTCTAGTTTATGGTTGTCGCAATATCCTCGAGAATTTCACTTCGTGCGGGCGCCGCGGGCGGGAATGTTGCATCACTGCATCGCGCAGCTTGTTTGAAAATACGCGCAATGGCTGTACTACGCACGGATCTGAACGCTCGCGACGAGATCTCGACGCGTAGCAATGACAGAACGAACGGGAACAGATTCGCGCGTCGCAGAATGGACAGCAGAATATTCCTCCCGAGGTATATCATTGCTCGCGTTCACAGAATCTCCCCGAAATCCATAACCTCGCTGGACGATAAGACGGTAAACAGGGAGGGCGAAGGAAGGAAAACCCTCCGAGGACTCTTTGTAGAGATTCTTATATTACGTAGATCAGTCTCGTGGAGCAGTCGCACGATTTCCTTCCCGTTATTGCTTTCCATTTGGCGAGCACAAGCTGACGCGAAACGACTGATTGTGTCAACCAAATGGAAAGCGTCCATTCTCTCTCTTGCGCACCCCTCGGGCACTATACGCGTGACAATCGCTTTTTTAACACGGTTACAGGACTTCCAGGTGTGCACATTCCGTCTACTGTCCGTATAGTGAACCACAACGTCGTAGACCGTTGACATCGTACGTGCGTCGTTTGAGTCTGCAATATGAGCACAACTGGCAAGCTTTTGCCGACAGTAACAAGGTATATGATTGATTCTCTGCGGAATTAGTTCAAGTTCGGTTGCCGGAGCATTGTTCAGGATTGTACAATGCACCATTTCTTTGATTTATCCGTGAGACAGATGATACGTCATTTTGTAGATTCACAATTCACCAATACAACCCGAGTACAAAAGCTGTGTAAGCTTCAGAAGGGAGAGCTCCGAGTACAAGAGCTGTATAAGCTTTCCAAGAGAGAGATCCTTCGAAGAGCCCTCGAAGAGGAGCTTTTCAGCGGGGGCCAGAAAAAGCTGTTGGTCATCTCAGATTAAACGAGCTAGAAAAAGATTGTCTTATCTATTACCGGTATCTTCTCTCGCCAAGGTAATAGCAGGTGTTGTTGTTGGTATAACTATAGGAATAACTGTTTATACATAACAGAAAGAGGTACAAATGAAAAAACAAACCTAGCATAGCTCGATTGTTTACATTGGAGTTGGATATTTTGAAGCAAGATATGTACTATACAATCAAGGTTCAGTCAAATATTTGTTACAGCAATTATTTATTATCATACTCGGTCTAATCTATGTGGCGCTAATTTATTTCGTGCAACAATTGGATATTCTTTCTCTAAAATTATATATTACGAAATAATGATTTAGAATTAATTTTTTTTATAATCTATTTTTTTATAACCAATTGTACTTATATATGGTTATGTAAACTGTTATTATTATTACTATTACTTATTACTATTAGTATTATATTGTTATTATTATTACTACTTTTATTATATTATTATTACTACTTATTATTATTACTACTATTAGGTGCAGAAGAAAATTATCAAGTTTATTTCTCAAATTTAAGAGAATGTAAAAACCTATAGTGATCAATATTTACTAATTCTATAATTATTTTGTTATTGATTATGTTATCTATATTTATTATTTTGTTATCAGTATTACACAAAATTAATCTTATTTTAAGATTTTTGTTGCAAGAAAAAAAAATATATGTACATATATATGTATGTACACATAGGTATATATAGATACATGTATATATCCAAAAGAAGTATAAAAATGCTATATTTTGAGGCTGTATCTAGCACTTTCAAATGCTATATATGTTTTAAACAAAACAATATACTGCAGTTATCAGACTTATAGTTTTGTTTATAATATTTCATTTTTATACCAATGCGTCAAAAAAGTATAATAATTAAGCAATACCGAGTATCGTATTTTGTTCACTGTCAACAAAGTTTTTCACAGAAAACCGTAGGCAATATTATAGATCAGTATTACGTTATATATGCGTATGTAAAAATCACAAAGACTAAATCGATTTAATAATTATTTTTGTACGCGAATTGCGATTTGGTTACAATAAAACGGTATATTGTAAACGTATTTATTCTCTTTCAATGTATTTTCCATAAATTTTTTCAATGTATATCGTATTGATGATTTGTCAATTAATTGTACAGCTGTAGCGTTGCAAAAAAATAAAAAGCTATTGAAATTCGGATGGCGCCTGATTTTCGCGCGTTCGACTTTGACGACGTCGCGGTCGAAAACAGGATGGCAGCGCCGCTCTACGTCGCGTCCCACTGCTCCATGGTCGAATTTTAACCCATCAAATTCATAACGAACTTCACACACAAAGCGCCAAGCGGAGGTTTTATGTCTGACGAACCCACGGGGTTGCGAGAGGGTAAATATTCTCTTCTTTACGGCGAAACGCTCGCGTAACAACATTTATCGGTTGGTCGCTAACGATCTGCGTCTATTCACGATCGTATTGTGGACGATAGTGTAGTCCCGGATGATTTTCGGAGCGACCCAAGCCTCGGTAATGATTCCTAACCGCATGTGTATAACGTTGGCCACGAATGAGTGAGTGATAAAAAAAAAGAGAGCAAAGAAAGAAAGATTACACGAAACACCGAATCCTCGTCGTTTGTGCCTGTGTGAGATTTATTATTGTCTTGTTGACAAGGAACCGTTGCTTCGTTGCACTCGATCGACCCGTTCGAAGAGAGTCCTGTGACTTGTGATAAAAAAAAGGTCTGTTCTTTGTAGCTGATGAAATTAGTGCACGTTCAATGAAATGGAAAATAAAATAGATATATATAGGTATATGTATTTTAAATTTCATAAAAGCGAGAAAGTTTTAGTGCAGTCAGTGCAGCGACAAAGAACAGGCCTGAAGATTACAATGGGTATTTTTTAGAAAGAGAATTTAACTTTAGTAAACAACAAAGTTGAAAGAATTTACGTTGCCCTACGTGTCATCTGTGTGATCCTTTGCTGGATGACGTCCAATGTCAGAATGTCAGCAGCAACCACTGATTTTCTCACATATATATCATGATGGTTCACTGTTCGCACATTGCATCAGCTTGTAAACTGTCAGTTTGTAAACCTATTTGAAAGATGGTTTTTAAAAATGTTTTTTGAACGTTATTTTCTACGATATAAAGGCTTTTGTATCAGTACGTCAGAGTGTAAACGCGGGTGTCGTTCTTGTATATTTTCGTAACATATTTGAGTTTTATGTAGTGATTGCCCTTGTAACCTCGGTTTCAGTTGTATAATGTCAAAGACGCACAGTCCGACGCATTTTAATGGAGAAACAGAGAATTTTTACGATCCAAACTATCCTGCGGACATCAACACGCGGATGCGAGTTCCCAAGAGCATTCGCGTAAACGGAGATTACCCAGACGAGGACATCACTATCACAAATAGGGCCACTTGGAGTCAGATACCTGCTATGGAGAAGCTTGAAATGCACGTGCCAGAGAGGATTCTTGTTGTCGGTGAGATTTCATTTTAAATGACTACAATTTTGCATTGTGTCACAAATACTTTACTATGCTTGTTCTTCTACAATGGTCTATAAATTTATTAATGGTTATATAAATACAACAGCTATATAAATATATTTATCTGTTGCAGGGCAAGAGCAACATGTTGGTACCAAGGCACCGCCACCAGAGATTGTTTTAGAAAATGCTGTAATGCGCACTGAGCCCGCTATAGTCAGAGTACAGGTAAAAAATTATAATTTGAGTGTGAAAGAGAGAGAGAGAGAGAGAGATAACTTGTCATCAGATATTTATTATCAAAAATTTGTCGTCGACAGACACCTCCGAGAAATTTAACTCTGAACAATCACTACTTCCCAGCGGTGGACGAGGATGATCTTCCCGTGCATAACAACGAAGTCGTAAAAGTAATGGAGGTAGTACCTAAGACGTATAACACGGAAACGCAGATAACAAGACACGTCAGGTACGGAATACTCTTCACGCGTTAATAGAATAATAGAATCTTTTGCTAATATTTTATTTCTTATTTGTTGTTATACTTTCTGTGCAGAGAACAAACACCCTTTAATGCTCTCGACGTGTCTCTGCCGCCCAGCGAGGAAGTTCAGCACTTACGTCGCCAAGTAGGTAAATTAAATCGCCGAGTGATGGCACTCGAATTAGACATGCTACATCGCCAGCAGAGAGACAAATTTTTGTATATCGCGACCGTAGCGTATTTCATTTTAAAAACCTTCTCTTGGTTAACTAGAAACTGAAGCGAGTCGATCAAAAAAAAAAAAAGAGAAAAAATGCCAGATACTTATTTCCTTAGAATGAAAAACGTTAAACCAAACATCCTGAGCCACACTTGCTGTATGAAAGTATAACCAAAGACTATTTAATCACAGTCTCGTATGATCAGTTCACCGGAGATAAATAACAATGCGGACGCGTTACGGCATACCCACGTGTGAGCGTTTCTATATTATATTAATTAGAAGAACAGATGACGGGTGTAATGATCATCTTATCGTATTAAAAGTAAATCTCGCTTAACTTTGAAGGATGTGTATGTACTCTTAGATTTGACAATATGTATATGTTATTGTTAATTGTATATACAGCATTCGGGTAATTAATAAACTGGGTTAATTTTCATGTGATGAATATACATTAAACGTTAGTCGCATGATAAAATTCGTCAAGCTGAGTATCTCAATTTTCCTCTTTCTCAGTATTATAACGACAGAGCCGTAGATTTATTTTTATCATGCGATATCATGAAAATGATATTTGTTGTTGTTGCATTAGTTCGAGTAGTACAACTTATTCCTGAGTAGTTGTTTTCTGTTTGTGGCCATAGCAGTTAGAATTGTAATCTTATCCAATATATATATATATATATCGTGACTAATGAGATCAATAAAGTTATTATTACCAAAATTTTATAACGTTACAAATGTACAATTGTACAAAATTATATGATTAGATACTTATGAGATACTATGAGTCAGCATGAAAACCTTCCTCGTGACGAATTATATTTAACTTTATTTTTGTACTTTATATTTTTTGCCGTTTAAATTACTCATAGCTAATTACTTTCGAAATTGTAATAAAGGTGTGTATTAATATATTTTGTGAAATATTTTTTTTATTATATTAGTACAAAAACGTCTCCTGAATTTTCCTTGAAAATTGTAAAAATAAATGTTAATTAAAATGCATTGTTTCATGTGACATATATAAAGGTGCTGTGATCATTAATTGGTGATTACTAATAGCGAAAAATTTTCCAATCCAAACTCGAAGATAAAATGTCTGTAATGGGAATGTAATTAAATGTAAAAGCAGTACCAACTAAAATTTCAATAATTCCTAGAATTAAAAAAAAGTAAAAATCTAATACTTTCGAAAATCGATAAATGACAGGTGAAGGACTCTAAATAAAATTCCAAGAATCGCAATTCGAGAATTTTCAGAATTTTTTAAAATCCAGTTTCGAATTGTAAGAATTTTAATTCTCAAAAATAGACAAAGTATATATCGTATCGGAAGAAAATAATTGAACAAAAATAATACAAAACTCGAAACTTAAATTTTTGCCATTTCCGAAGTTTGATTATAAATTCGTTTTATTTTTGTTATATACATAAAAATTTATCTATCTATAATTATTATATTGCAATGCATAGTTTTGATGAGTAAATATTTAAATCGATATATCCGAATATATGATTTATATCATATATATGAAGAGAGAGATGATATGACATCGCCTTTAAAGGAAAGAGAAGGATATATCCGAAGATGGCTCTTTATCAGTGAATTTTACTTCATAGATCAGATCGATCAGATGATCCATGTTTGATCTAGATTTTTGCACTTAAAATAAAGACAAGTATACATTTAATATTTAAAAAGATAGAGACGAGATGAAAGCGTAATTAAGGGAGTCGATTCATACAACGAGAATTATTTTTCGGAGTCGCCTGGGGTATGTTCGGTTTCCCACCCGAGTGCTCCTCAAGTGTCGCTTTATCCTCGTTTAGCATTCGGAGAACTGTAAAGAGAAAAAAATAATATCTGGATGACACTGGGAGTGGGAATATCCGAACGCACCCCCCTTTGAGGAAGCCGGCCCTAGTGACATTCGCTCGGGAGCGCGGGTTGGCGCACCTGGCGAGCGGTGACGGGAGGTCAGTGCACGTCACGTAGTTGTTGCTCGAAGCCGAGGAATCCGTGTTCGGTCGTTCGGTGACTTCGGTCGTTCGGTGGCCCGTCGTGCCGTAAGTGGGATACACAGCGGCGAACTGCTCTGTCGGCGACTCCCGAGCGGGCCGGGGACATTTGGTGCGCGGTCAGGCTCGATTTCTGCCCACGCTCGGCTCGCGCTCGACGTTTACGGGCCACGTCGGGCGAACGCGCGCGCGCGCACGGAGGAGCAGCGGGAATCGCGGTGGAGAGCGGAATTGCGGACGCCGTACGCGAGACGACCCGGGTGTGTGCGGGCTAGAGCTGAGAGTTCACTACGTGGGAGCGAGCGAGCCTAGCGAACGAGAGAAAGAGAGAGAGAGAGACACGGACAGACGACCGCTGGATGTAATCGTGCTCGCGATCGTCCCAGCCGGTGCATCCCCTTGACTCGACCGCCTCCAAGTCTAATCCTAACAACCCAAGCTCGTCCCTCCTCCGATACGGTCGCCGCCGCCACCGCCGCCGCCGTCGTCCGACGTTCGCCGCCGACGACGACGACGACGACGACGACACGCGAGGCAGCCGCGCGAAGTCGCAGGTTATGTCAAGCGGATTGGCAGGCGCTGTCTCAAACCAGGTCAGTGTGTTGTGTTGACGCGCTGGTACGCGCCGCGCCGCGCCGCACCGCGCCGTGCCGTGCCGTGGCCGCACCGCGCCGCGCCGTGCCGTGCCGTGCCGTGCCGTGTCGCGCCGTTGCTGTTGCCGTTGTTGCCGCCGCTCTACCCGCGGCTCAGACAAAACTGACACATACCTCCCCCTTCTCGTGCCTCCTCCTCCTCCTTGCCTACAGTCACGTTGCTGCCGAGGGCTGGCACCTTCTCTAAATTTTGTATGTTTTTTCATGCGACGGCATGCAGCGGATGAAAGGACAAACCGGCAACCAAGGTGAGTAAACTCCGCCAGCAACTCCGCGCCGACGGCGCCTAGCTTCCTCCGCCGTTAATCCGTCGTCTAGGGTCTCTCTCGCAGAGGAGGCGCGCGTTGAATGAGATGCACACGGCCAAAAAGAGCCAACTCTTTTATTGAAGGATAATTCGCTACGTTAATTGTTCGGAGAAAAAGTAGTTGTGTATGCGTTGGACGTGAGGTTTCTGATAGCCCCGAAGAATATACAGGTCTTGTTGCCTGCGTAATGAAGAAATTGAAGCTGGCAGAATGTTCTCCAGAAATGAAATTCAAAGAAACTCAAATGCACAAGTAATCTCTCTGTAGAATGCGAACAAATGTTGATTTATCATTAGATTTAATTTTAAAACGTTCAACTTATGTAACTGTAGCTGTCGAGTTATATACACCTATATTGGATGCACTTGTCTTGCTAATTTATCTATCTGAACGATGTGTAACTCCAGTGTAAGGTAACGCAATAAAAAGCTCTAAATCGTCTTATCATATTGTTCTAGTATCTACAAAGCGAGTATTATGTTTACCTCGGGAAACATCTTGAAATAATATTAACGATCAAACTTTGAGGGACGAGCAATATCTTGGCTGCCGTTTTATCATGTGTGCCTAAATCGCTACATATACTTTTGAACATTGAGTAAACGCAGTTCTGTTTCGGACAGTGAGCAATGGTCCTAAGGAACACCAGCAGCAACAGCAAACGGAGCATGCCGCTGGCGAGGACACTTTCGACTCATGGCGGGGTGGCAACAATGCTCAGCATCACTCGAGTTATCCGATCGGCACCGGCGACCCGTACAGCCCATACTACGCCGGCACCTCGTTCCCCTATCAGACCTTCGGTGCCGGCGACGGTACCTGGTCGAACGGTACCGATCCGGTCGCCTTTCTGTCCGGCTACGGTGGTCAAATAAGCCACGATGCCTACAGCATGGATGGCATGTTCTCGTCGGCAGCCGGCGGTGGCTTCAGCGCGTTCGGCCAGCCACCGTTCAACTACTTCCACGGCAACGGCGACTTCAATACATGGGGTACACCGAGGAGGACCAAGTACGAGGACTACTATCAGCCGCCGCGCGGCAACGAGAGCTATGTTAATCCGGCGGCGAGCGGCACCGGCGAGATCAAGACCATCGAGCAGGGCGTGCAGGGTCTGTCGATCGGCGGCGGCGGCGGCGGTGAGCTACTACGGCAAGATCAGCATCCGCAGCAGGCTACGGCACAGCAGATCAAGCCCGAGCCGAAGGAGCCGAGGAAGATAACGTGGGCGAGTGTTGCGAGCCAGCCGGCGAAACCGGTGCCGCCGCTCTCGTCCTCGCAGGGGATGAAGAAGAAGGCGGGCATGCCGCCGCCGCCTATTGTGCCGGGCAAGCACAACATGGACATCGGGACGTGGGGCGAGGGCAAGTCTTCCGCACCGCCGCCGCCTACGGCGCCCCCACCGCCGCAGGTGCAGCCGCCGATTCCGCCGCCCCCGCCGCCCGTCCAGAGGCAGCAACGACCGCAACAGCCCCCGCAGCCGTGTTGGAACAGGCAGCCGTCCGCAACGGCCACCCCACCGATCCCGCAGCCCCAGTCACAGACGCAAATCCATATGCCGCCGCAGTCGCAGCAGCAGCAGCAACAGCAGCAACATCAGCAGTCGCATCAACAGCACCATCAGCAGCAACAACATCAGCAGATGCAACATCATCAACATCAACAGCAGCAGCAGCAACAACAACAACAACAACAACAACAACAACAACAACAACAACAACTTGTCCAGAGTAACCCATCGCATCCGGTCCTCGATGAACTGAAAGTGAAGAACGACTACAATCCCGTGGAATTCGATCAGAGCGCGCCCGGCGCGAGGTTTTTCGTGATCAAATCCTACTCGGAGGACGACATACATCGATCCATCAAGTATGAAATTTGGTGCAGCACGGAGCACGGTAACAAGCGGCTGGATCAGGCTTACCGGGAGGCGAGTCGCGAAGGTGCCCCCCTTTATCTGTTCTTCTCCGTGAACGGATCCGGTCACTTCTGCGGCATGGCGCAGATGGTCTCTCCTGTTGACTATCAGTGCAACAGTAGTGTCTGGTCCCAGGACAAGTGGAAGGGTCAGTTCCGCGTCCGTTGGATATACGTGAAGGATGTTCCTAATGTGCAACTGCGACACATTAAGCTCGAGAACAATGAGAACAAGCCGGTGACCAACTCGCGAGACGCACAAGAGGTCCCGCACGCGAAAGGTGTCACAGTACTGCGTATCCTGCACACCTACCGTCACTCCACGAGCATCTTCGACGACTTCGGGCATTACGAGCGCCGGCAGGCCGAGGAGGATCAGCGTAAGGCTCCGATCAATCCCATACAGCATCACCATTCTTCCGCCAATCACAGGAACAGGGGACATGCCCCGGACATGTCCAGAGATCACCATCAGCACGGTCATCAGTCTCATCTGCATCAGCGCAAGGTAGAATATCTGTTGAATTTTATTCCATCCTACGATGATGAACTTATCTCCAAACGGAATTGTTATTGAATTCTCGTTATCTCGTTGTCTAATGAAGCGTTATTTTGTTGCAGGAGCGCGGCGGTGGTCGGGGTGGCAGAGGAGGTTCGCGCCAGTAGCGCTCGATATTGCAGAGACGTAATGCCGTTAACGAGAGTAATCGATGTAAAGGAAGCACGCTACGACTAATAATCACGTCCTACCACTTACCTTTGCTTTCCCGGATCCACGATGGGCTTCTTCTGATTTCCTGTGATTGAACATTCGTTGTTGACCTCGGCCGCGTTGTTCTTTCGTTAAAATGATTAATCCGATAATCAGATAACACTAGCATCGCGTCGACATCATCGTCAAAATAATATAATAACCGCAACTCTGAGGAGAAGAAGAAAGAGGAGAAGGAGGAAGAGAAAGAGAAACTCCCTGGCGGAAGAGGGATAATGCACTATTTCGAAGGATATTTGATTAAACTCGCTGACGATTATAAATCATATAGTGTGGTGTTGCGTGCTATTCATCGAAAGGTGTTTCTTAAACGTACAAATCATAAAACAGGACAGAAGACAGAAAGAAAGAGAGGAAGGAGGCAGGGGGGGGGGGAGCGAGGGGAAAGACGGAAAGAAAGATAACGCGGTATAGAAGAAAAAAAATTTTTAAAAACTGTAATATGTGGACTAATCCTTGTAAAATGCTTAAACTTTTGTTGAAAATGAAAAAAATCTATACAAGAACATTATATTATAAACAAGTGTCATTTGGATTGGTTATATATCGTTTTAAATACCAATGAACATTCAATCTGGTGCCTGCAGCTCGACAGAAGGGTCGAATTCCCCCTTAATTGTTAATAAGGTGCAGGGGCTTGTTACAACGTTCTCAGTTGTATTTATAACCATCATGCTTCACAAAATGAATTATACAGAAGATTATTGGCGTTTATTTTAGCGCGTATTCTATATCTGTATTGCGAATATATCATCTATTATTATATTATTCATGGACTACAGAGAAATGAGTTGAGGATAATATAACGAGAAGTGAAATAATATTACAATTAATCTACTGTAATGTACACGTGATGAGACGACGATCATTATTATTGTACCATTTGATGACATTTCATGAGATATGATTCTTATTGTTAAACGCATCTCTGTTCTCTGTTTTTTCATTAGAATAATGAATGATTCTTTGCAACGATGGCAACGTTATATTGCGAGTGATACTGAATAATATAAAACGAATTCGCGTTCCTTGGTTAATAGAATAGATTTTTCTTCAGCTTCATTTTTTTAATAAGTTGAGTAGATACTCTTTTCTTTTTAACATTTAAAATCAATTATTTATTCAATCAGTTTTTGACATTTAAAATAAATTTTTAAATTTGATAATTTATATTCTAATTTTAAGTAAATTTTTTGTTCCATGTGACAACGAAAAATGAATTTTAATTTCGTATGGCATGATTCAGAAACTATTGATGAATTCGACGTTCTGCTTTCGATTGAAGAGAAATCAATTTTAAATTTGTTTCGCAGAAACAATCTTTTGATCAATATTATTCAGGATTACTCTGTATATAAGACAGTGCTATTTTTATAAAGGACGAGAAGAATTGCTTGTAAAATTTATTAGCAAGCCTCATAGGTTTGAATTGATTGACGGATCGGTATATTGAAAACACCGATAAATCCATTTATGCGTTAATTAATTAATTAAGCCGTTGTCAATTCTTTATGACCAATCATATCGAACTTTTCGTCCGTGCATTTGCTCGCGCTAACATAATCCTCGACGTTTTCCGCGATTACGTTACGTTCCGCAAAGAGCTTCTGCTCATCCTCCATCTTTTGTATCTTTCTCGCCTCAACGTCCACGTCGTCCTGTAGCATACCCTGTTGTAGAAAATAATTGCGCAGGTTCTCCCGGACTTCCGGACAGAATTTGTCGTGGTTCGCCTCGACGTAGCGATACACGAATAAATCGGCGCCGGTAATGACGAAGCGATGATTGAACACGTTGACGCGCGCGCCAATGAAAAAGTCCCGCGGCGTGTAGTACTCCGGATCGTCCTTACCCGTGCACGGCTTCGGAATCAGCCTGAAGGACAGGAAGCAACCCTCGCGTCGGCCAGAGTTGCGCTTCTCGATCTCGTTGATTTGAACGGTACCGTCGCTCAGGCTGTACACCATCACGAAGTCGCGACCCTCGTCCTCCGGGTGTGTCGCGTCCATTCGCGCGGAGTAACGCAGCTTCTTCGGGAAGTTCACCAGCTGGCGAGTAACGTTCTTCTTGGGTGGCTTCGGCACGAACGACAAACAACTGGCGTACGTGTCCTCGGGGCTGCCGAATTTTATGTGCGGCGGTACCTCGTACCTCGGTGCCGGCCTTTCCACTCTCGCGGGAATCGGAATCGCGTCCGGTTGCGGTGTACCCAGCATGGCGGAGTAATATTTACGCGTGAAAGCATCGCAGTCATGTAGCAGGAAGCGTCGTCCGAATAGGAGGATCGTTTCGCCTATCTTAAGACAAAATAATAACATGATTCTGAATTCGATTTTATTTACTCTGGAGAAACATATTAACGTATGTTTTACTGAATTTGTTTTAACTGCGCCTTAAAAATCGAAAATGTTAAAATTTTTTAATGTTGAATGTTTTTAATGAATTTACAAATTTGTGAATTCAGTATTATCTTGAAATGTAAAAGAGAAATTCTTTTTTTTTTCATTTTATTTTACTTAAAGACCCTTTTTAAAGATCTTAAACCTGCATGGTTCTCTTTAATCCAGCAATTTTTAGATTTTTACATTCTGTAATCAAATAGTATCTAAGAAAGAGTTTTTAAAAAAGAAATTTAATGATTAACTGTTAACTTAGTTCCTACATTTACTTCATATTAATTAAACTACAATATTGTATCCGCAACGAAGTAGCATGAGGCTAAAAATAAGCCGAAAATGGCCTTACTCTAAAATCTCGCGGTGTGCAGTACTCCATGACCTCGGGATCTCCGTATTCCATACAGATACTCGGGTGCCAGGACGGCAAATTCTGCCAGTTCTTGGGCACGCGCATCCGCTTCAGCAGCATCGCCACGGGATCCTTGCCGTCGTTCGGCTCGTGAATCTCCCGGATCGCCACGGTGTCGTCCGTCAGGAAATACAACACCTTGTAGCGATCGTCGTTCCACGTGGCATCGAAAGACAGCACCATACCGTCGTACTCCAGGAAGCGTCGCCTTTTATCGTCGCCTACCCGCGTGATCTTCGTTGGTGTTCCGCACTTGGCGTCGCGTTGCTCCATATAAGGATCCGCGGGAAGGCTCTCCTTTTCACCGACGTCGACGCCTTGACTCGTCAGGAATTCCCTGGTGAACGGATCACAGTCGACGATGTGATAAACCACGCCGTAGATGCCTGGAAGAAATATCGGGCATTTAATTTGAGGACCGTTTGTATACCCGAGATTTTTGTCTGTGCAAAAATCCTAATTATTGAAATATAAATGTATACGCATATGTATATGTGAACCTGTACTTATATTTTACAGTTAAAATTCTAACGTTTGATATTTTAATAGTATTATTTTAATTTTGCGTGCGTACACAAAAATTAAAATATTACTATTAAAGTTAAAATCTTAATTATTAAAATATAAGTACACATATATATATATGCGTGCATTTATATTTCAATAGTTAGGATTTTTGCACACAATAAGTGCTTCAGAATTTCTTTGAACTGGTGTGTGAGCAAAGAAAAGAATCTATTGTTAAAGATTACAGAAAATAACTCTCACATACGCATATGTATACGTGAATTTGTATTTAAATTTTATAAGTTAAAATTATAATGTTTGGTATTTTAATAGTAATATTTTAATTTTGCGTGCGTACACAAAAATTAAAATATTACTATTAAAATTAGAATCTTAACTATTAAAATATAAGTACACATATACATATGCAGAGTACATTTATAATATATTTCAATAGATAGGATTTTTGCACACAAAGTTTTGCTTCAGAATTTCTTTGAACTATAGTGTGTGATCAATGAAAAGAATCTACTGTTAAAAGATACATAAAAATAACTCTCACATGCGTATATATATAATTCTTCGAAAAATTTTTTTGATCTACTATATACACTTTCGTTTCCGCGCATCTTTTATTTGGTTCAAAAAAATCCTGGGGCATTTTATATAGTTAAAGAAATATTTTATTAAGAAATTCTAGACAGAAGGAGAAAGAGTGACGAGGAATATGACTATTAATCGTCAATAACGTACAAACATCGATCCCGACATTGAAATCCTTCCAGATGAACAGATCTCCCTTGGCATTCTTCGGGATCCTGTTGCGTCTCACCAGCTTGCCCTGCTGGAAACCAGCGTTCTTCACCACGGGCTCTATCACGCAGAACGTGTCGTCTTCCAAATAATACATGATGTCTACATGGCGAACGCGATAATGCTCGTCCGGGGAGTTGAAGACTCCTTGGCGGAAAAAGGCCTTAAAGCGGAGGCACTTCTGCGCGAACAGCGAGTAATGCGGTACAAATTGCCGATACACGTAGCAAGGCACCCGACCATAAATCGATGATATATCATATCTATTAATAAAAGTTAAATGAAGCCAGATAATTACTTTAAATAATAACATTAATACATGCACAGTATAATTTAATGCACACACGCGCTTCACGCTATTCTCCATAAAATGATAATAATTTAATATAATAGGGTGCTAATATGAACTATTTTAATTATTTTAATAAATTGGAAAATCGCGCTGATTGCGATACGATATAATTTTATGCACGACGAATCAAATTGAAAATCTTAAAACAATTGTTCTGATTACTTTTAATAATTCCAATAATTATTGTATTGTAATTAAGTCTATATACATATTATTATTTTATAGAATAATATAAATTAATATCAATGCGACGTGACTTTCGAATAGGGAGCTCCGCAATTACTCACTCTACAGGATCTAGACCTTCGGCGTATCGAACGGATGCTGCGTCCGTTAATCTTCTTCCGATGCCGTAATTGGTATCGCGTACCACAGGAAAGCCATTTAAAGTGTCGAGCTTGTGCGGCAATTTGTAATCCTTGACCTTACGAAACGATGAGAAGTTCAATACGTCCTCATTAGCTACCAAAGCACCAATTTGGAAAACTATACCCCTCGATATACGAAATCAATGGCCCATACAATTCTTCCAATTACAATTTTCTTTAACGTGAAAATTGAAAGTCTCATTACAATTATTCGGATACTTACGGTAATGTCTCGAAAAGTGTATCCCGGTAAAAGGGGTAAACTCGCCATACCGATGATAATGAAATATCCTATCGAAACCAATGGGACGCCGACATGCTGTCGCGTCGATCGACTTATTGCAACTCGTTCGCTGATTTTAAGATTCTGTTTAAACGCATCTCTATAACAACGCGACTACCTATCGATTTAACCAATTAACCCTCCTTCTCTCCTGGTAAAAAAATTCCTCGAGCCTATTTTTTTTATTTTTAAGAATTTTTCTCATATTTTGAATTTATCAGAAATTTTTGAAAAAATCCATACATTTCTTTAGATTTTATAAGCTTTCTTTAGAAATTATAGAATGAGAAAAATCTTAAAATATTTCAGAATTCACATATGTAAAGAATTCTAAAAGACTTCGAGAAATATTCCAATATAATTTATATTTTTAAAAAGTGAAAAATTTTCTAGTTATAGAAATTCTAAAATTTATATAAAAATATTAAAAAATTATAAAAAACGAACCCAAAGAAAAATTTTCATCAAGGCAGCCGGTCTCCTCGCAGGAAAGGATCATGGAACGTGGCTCATGATGCTTAAACTTAAACAAATTTAAAAAGAAATACGCAACGAAGCGGACGAAAGTTTGACCATTTATTTGTTTTTTATTTGCAACTTATTGACAACAGCATCTGGATGGTTTTTTGCGTCTAAAGCGCCTGAGTCGTTCACAACTGCAAAGGATCACAAACTAATTATCTCGCGGAAAATAGCCATGCAACCGGCGGATAGACCGGCGGCCACCGGTACGGTGATCAGCCATGCGAACGTGATATTACGAAATAGCTTCCAGGACACCCCCTTGCCGCCGCGCGAGGCCCATCCCACGCACACCACCGATCCCACTTTACAGTGCGTCGTTGATATAGGTAGACCAACTTTACTCGCCAACAGGACCGTCATCGCGGAGCCCACCTGTAATCAAGAGTTTCATGTCGCTTTAACATTACAATGCGATAAGCGAGACACAGTCAAATCAACAAAGAGAAAGGCTCGATTGGCTGTGAAGCCAGACAGGAAATTGACCTTGTCAATTGTGAATACATGCAGCGAAGAGATAAGAGGAGAATGGAAATATTATTAGTCCCTTCGGGTTTACAATGTTTATTACGTTGAATATCAATTTTTAATAGTGCACGTAATTTATAATACTTTGAAAGAAGAAAAAGATTATAAAATTGCATAAAGTATTGGGCGTTAATTCTTATAATCATTGTCATGAAAATCGGATCATAAATTTATCCTCGTATTCAAATATACGATATATAATACTTTTTCTATACGATAAACATCGGGGATCCAAAAGGATTAATTTCAATTTATCAAAGCTCCAAGCGTCGCGCGTTTACCTCTATGGTGAACCCGGTCGTGGGAGTGATGCGCGCCAAATCTTGGCCCAGAGTCTGTATTACCCTGCGTCCCCACACCCACAATCCCACAGAGATACCTAGGCCACCGTACAGCAGTATGAATATGGGTGTTTCTGCCTCCTGCCGGGCCGAGCCCTCCGAGTATATCGCCCAGAGCGCGATCAGCGGCCCGATTGCGTTGCTGACGTCATTGCCGCCGTGTGCGAAGCTGCCAAACAACGCGGTGAGCACTTGTAGAAAAGAGAACAGCTTCGATACCGCCGGCTGCTCGTCGTCGTCAGCTATCCCGTCCATCTGCGCGTTCTCCGCTTCCGCCTGGGCGGTCATCAGCAACGGGCTCTCGCTGGTGTTACCGCGCAACTTCGGCGCCAGGTCGACCTTCGCGTTGCCGTTGCTGCTGCCGCAGGGAGTCTCCGAGATCACCGACAGCACCGTTGTCTCGTTGTTCTCTTGACATGAGTCAAAGTGCATCGCCGTCGTTCCCGCTGCCTTCTCGTCGTTGCCGTTCGATTCTAACAGTATCTTCGCTCGCTGCCGTGGCACCACGTACACGTACGCGATCGTCGCGGCCAATATGCCCATCAGTAGCGTGGTTATCAAGCTAATCCACCACGGCATCTTGTCCATCATTAAAACTAACAAATTAAAAAAAAACACACATCTTGAGTAAGACAGAAAAATTCAAGATAAAGTATTGCATAAAGATATTTATTTCGCCACGATATATTTCCCCTTCGCTCTCTTGTAAATACATGATTTACGCATCTTACGGGGTGAGATGATAAACTTTTCCAAAGTACTTACGTTTAGGTCCATCAAGCACAACTGACAAAATATTTGTAGCAACGGTCAGACCGTATACCATGGGGAGAATACGAAGACCTCGTTTAAACGGGTCGCTAGATCGGAGCACGAATTTTCTCAGAAGCCAAAAGATACTGGCGGACACGATCCCGCTAAGTACGGGGCTGGCGAACCAGGACGCCACTATGTGAGCAAGAGCCTTCCATCTCACCTACGACATCAATACGTTTCAATGTTATTTTATATATATTCATAAGCTACGCTTGTGTAATCGCAACGCGTTGTGGTGCTACTAACCCCGGCGGTACTCCGGCACACGAGGGAAAATCCAACTGTAGCACCAACAATGGAATGCGTACCAGAAATTGGAAGTCGTAATGCGGTAGCCAGTAGTAGCCAGATACCAGACCCGGCTAAACTAGATAATGCTCCTAGCATCAACTCCTTCTCGTGGCCCTCATACAACGAGACGTCCAGTATACCCTTTCGCATTGTATCGGAGACCTGCGACGGGGAGACAAATCGCCAAGTGAGAATAATTTTATAAAATCAAACTTCCATCGGGTCTATAGATTTTTGTGTGCAAATTTTGCCTGCGAAAGTAAACGAGATCGAAATCAATTTTGAGAAATACATATTACATATATTGCTCCTTTTTCTTCTAGAGAAAAAATTTTTATACTTAATATTTTTAACAATTTTTTATATTTTTAAATTTGTGAATGATCCTAAAAAATATCTTAAACTTCTTTAGATTTTATTAAAAAAATTATAGATTGAGAAATAACAATATTTCAGAATTCACATATATAAAAAATTCTAAAAAAGCTGTAGAGTTTCTCAGTATTCTTAAAGTGTTCAAATTCGTATTAAAAAATTTAAAAAATTTTTTTTAGTTAAATTACATAAGAATTCTGAACAAAAAATTGTCTCGATACCTGCCTTGTATCCTATCAGAGCGGCACCGGCGATCTCGAAGACGGTCGCCAGGAAGCAGGCTTGGAATATTGTAAGCACCCCGGCGCCGACGCTCGTCCCGAAGCTATTGGCGACATCATTGGCGCCGATACCGAACGCCAGGACGAACGCCACTATAAAGCCGGCCACTACTATCCAGATTAAGCTCTCATCGTACGGTATACTCATCGTGCTCGCTTTTCTAACTTAAATCTATTCTGCTTGAGCTTTCGATGCGTGTGTTTTTGTTGCGTGTATGCCTCTATATGCGATTACCCTTCTACTTCACACGTGCGCATTCGTCAGAAAATTGATAGGCATAAATTATCACTTTCTCGTTTTCTTTCCCCAAATGCTTCCATAACAAATAATGTCAATCGATTAAGAAACCTCGTAGCAAGGAAGAGTCTTTTCTGATACAGAACTTCATATCAATACTGTGTGTAAACGCTTATCCATCAGAATATATCCTTTCTATATACACTTGGATAAATGTATATGTTATATATATATATAATTCTTTTATAATATAATATTGTATCTATTATCTTTTCATTGTAGCCCTATAATACGATCAATTCTTCAGTTTTGTACATGTAGCAGAGGTAGTGTTTTGGCGCAGCACCTGATTTATCTAACATTGTGATTTCATCACACGTGTGTGATCAATGCACAACTCTGTCGAGCTAGTATACTCGAAGAAGCGAGAAAGGTTACTGGTTGACTGTTCTCGCAATGATCGTCGTGCTCTTCCTCGGATCGAGATTGTGACGTGCGATCGTCGTGTCTTCTGGATAGATCTCCTCTATCAGCGTTTTCCTCCTGTGGAAATACGCCGATCGCTGTATTCCCCGCATCTGCAAATCACATAAAACGATCTCACCTACTGTCTCAGGCATAACGTAGCATAAACGACATGTAATTTCTATTAGCGTTGCAATCCTCACGGATTTCTTGCACCTATCCAAAATATTATGCTTCAAATCTAGAATATGATAGTCATAAAATTTTACACTTTTTATAATAAAAAAAAGAAATTTGTCCTTTTCATTTTTTTATCGCCATTTCTTTTATCTTTCCAAAAGAGAACAAAAAAATGCAAAATTTCCCAGTGATTAAATTTCAAACAAGAATGTGTTGGCTCCGTGTGAAATATTTAAAAAATTCCGATATTCCGTATTTTTCTGGTGGACTAGAATGGCTAAATAAATCATTAAGATTATAAAAAAAACCTACATGTACAAAATAAAAATATAAATTATTAAAAATTTAAGAGTTATTATCTTGCATCCTGGAACAAAAACTGAAAAAAATCTTAGAAAATTACAAAAAGCAGGTTCGTTATATAATTAATTTGGCCGATTCAATATTTGATAATAAGAACCTCTGAGTTTCTAGAAGAATAGGCTTTTATGAGCGACACTTTTTTCCTCTCAAATCGGACGCGACTGGCGGTGCCGGCTGAATGCAGTATTGCATGCACCCCCGAATAATTCGATCGTTATACTCCTACTAATTTCTCCCACCCCGCCGCCGCGAGAGTGTGACGAAACTATTCTTGCGTTATGTTACCCGGTACTTCTCTTTCCGATATTCAGAATTTCCGAAATCTCATCCCCCCCTGAGAAATTGCGAGACCGACGGGACGGACGAAAATGATCGAAGCCGTCTAATTGGCTAACCCCCGTGCAACTTTCAACGTGACCCCTGAGTCATCCACCGTGATTCGATCTTCGAACTATGCTGCAGCGACGCGGAAACCAATAGCGTATCCGCTACGGATCTCGAAAAACCCACAAAATTTCTTTTCAAGATATCTCTATCCTCCTTTAATCTCGAAATGCTAGCCTCGTCTCCCATGATTCATCATATAAGAATTTCAACCCCTTCCGTATTGCCTTCATTAACAGCCCGACAATTCACAGACACAGATGTCCGAAAGTCGATTTTCGAGCACGTGCACGTGGAAAAAAATGGTCGCTAATTCTCGAACCTTCGATTTTAACGGACGTCCCGCTCGAAAACCGTCGGCCCGATTGCCGGGTGCAGCGCGACAATAATTTCTCGAGCGAACCCTAGCTCCGCCGGTTCGAAGCGTCCCTCCGAGGAAAAGGACGAGCGACGTGGGGCTCGCGGTCGTGCTCGGCGAAAAAAAAAAAGATTCGTGCCGACTTAATGGCGAGGGATGATTTACCACGCTCTGAAGCATTTTTCGTGCTGACCAGCGCGGGTCGTGTCCTTCGGCACGTTGCTAGCGAAACGTTGCTGGTCACGCGGGCTCATCCGGCACAGGAACGAACTCGCTCGCGTTCGAGAGAGGAACACTCGAAACGTTCACGAGAAATCCGCCAGCGAGAATCACCGGGCGGGATCACCAGCCGTATACTTGCTCTCGCTGTCCGCGAGACGACAATGCAATCACGACGGCGTTCTTGAAACTTTAGCGGCCCGCACGCGCTCCTCACGGCGATGCCGTTCGACTCGCGTCCGCGTGGGGGTGAAATATTGATCCGACATTTTGCCCGCGAAACGCGTGCCATACGTACATGATGGGGATGATGCAACTCGATGGACAATCAATGGACGATCCTCGATGGCATCTTCTTCTTCTTTTACTGTAGACGTCCCGATTTTTAATACCGAGGATCGATACAGCCGATAAAATCAATGAATATAAAACGAATAAAACGTTTCAAATTCAAATGATTCGTAACTAGTAGAGCTACAAAAAGCTGCTAGAATCGTCAGAAACTTTCAAAAACGTCCGCACTCTTCTGTGTCCGATTCAACTCTGTGATGCCACCTGAGGGATGATGTTACTTAAATGGCGATCAATGTCATCGATGGGCGATCTCCGATGATACGTCCGATCCGGTTGCGTCACCCATTTGCACACCTTCATTTACCCCTCTTATTTTAACGGACATCCAGTATACATAACAAACTCCATGGAATACTGAGGAAAAAAATCGAGCGGAGGGTTAGTGAACTTGTTTTGTATAGAGATATCGATTTCGAAAGTGCAGAAAACTTGAGAGGATCTTAATTCAAAATTTGATGCAAAAAACAGTAAAAAATAAAAATACAATAGATTATAGAACATAGGGCCACGGCCAATTTTCCTCGAAAAATTCGCAAAAAATTCGGAAGAACATATTTCTTAAAACGCACCCTCGCATTGCGACTTTCAAATATTATGTATCTTAAGCGTCGTCTACAATGAGACTTAAAACTTTTAAGAAAATTGACCAGTTATGTGGTGGATTATTCATCTCACGTGAGAAGAATCGATTATGATTGGACAATTTTTTTAAATCTTAAGTCTTGATAATAAAATTTCTTATACGACTCTAAAAATTTCAGTATTTTTCGTGCTTAAAATTAATGGATAAAATTGCGTTTACTTAATTTCTCAAGTTTTTCTCTTTTGAAAAATCCATTTTTAGAAATTAAAAAAACCGATATTATTTTATAATATAAATATCAGATGCTCGATTTATAAAATTCGCATATCTTATCATATACTCGTTTCATATTTCATTTGCATTCACTCTACGTTGATCAGCTAAGTTTTCTCTTATTCAACTTGTAATAACTTGATAAAGCATGTTAACATCATTATAATTATTATTGTTTAATTATCGTTTAATTATCATGCGTACCATTTAAATACTTGATAATATGCACTTACATAAGAAATACCAACGAGCTGCAGATGAACGCGAAAATGTTGCCTCTAACTTTTTTTTATCACCACATTTCACATGTTCAACCAATGTGCAAATAACAAGCTTTTTCATTAAAATATGACTTTTCATAAAAATGATGGTTGCAATGTTGATTAACGTCTTTCTAAAGCGTCGTCTACAATGAGACTCAAGAAAATGAATCAATCACTCGATTATTCATCTCATGTGAGAAGAATAATCGAGTGTGATTGGACAATTTTCTTAAATTTTAAGTCTCATTGTAGACGACGATTAAAGAGCCCTACAATTTCTTTACAATTATTTATGTTGTATAGTCGTTAACTAAAAAGTTGCAACACTTTTTTCTTATCATTTTTGGAACACACTCTGTTCACCGAGCGATTGGTTCGTACCAATGGATCTAATCAATCGCTCCACGAGCAAAACTGCATTCCAAAACTCATCAAATCAAAAAGTAATCTTTTAATTGATGACTACATGTCTTCTGTCCACAATTATTTTCGCGTCTGTCTGCAATTCATTTCATACCTTCTTCAATAAGTTACAATTTATTTAGGAGTATGTGCATTGCAATAATTAAACAATAATATTATGACTAGTCTATACATTAATATACTGCAACATTGTATCAATACTTGTCTACTCCTAAAATAGTTATTATTAATTTGAGTCAGCTTATTATTATTTATTTGACTCAAAGTTTATATTATTCATTATCGTTTAGGAAATTAGACGGATGTTGTGACGGAATCAAGAATATAGGACATTGCTGCATATTTATACTATGCATACCTACACTGTTCCGATCAAGTGAATGTAATTATTTATTATTTATTTAATATCTATTAGTATTATGTATGTACAGACCAGCTCTTCTTCGCAAAAAGTTCGCATTAAAGAACGGATAATCTTTTGTGTTATATTACTATAACCATTGTTCTAAGCTACTCTTCACGACGCTTCCCATTTCTCCTTCTCCTCCTTCTCCTTCATGACTTCCTCGAGGTACGGCGTAAGGTATTTCACATCCTGTAAAAACGTTAATTTTCTTTTAGTTGAGGAAACTCTGGACAAAGCTGTGATACCGAGACCAATCAATAGCTGGTTACTGACCTCTTCGTACTTAGTCCACTGTTCCTTGGGCAAGATCCTCTTGCAGCAGTCCAATTGCATGGCTCTGATTATACGGAAGTTGCGTTGATCCTTGATTTCCTGAGGCAGGCGCCTCAGCGCTTCCCCAATGTTCTCATCTGTCATATCATTTAGTAAATCATCCCTCCATAAACCTGAAACAGCAAGATTAAATATTCTTAGAATAAAATTACGGTTAATTCGGGAGTATAGAGTATCAAAGTGATTTCTGCACAATCGGTACAACTTTTGAACAACATATCATACTCTAGTGTCAACTTTTTCATAAAACTACATGTATACATTCGTGTGCGTTTAACTACATCACGTTGGAATGTTGTTAATCAAATGTCTGTTATCAAATTTAGCCCAATACAGTTGACACATGAATAAGCAGTTGCACGACGTAACTATAGATACTTCGAATACTTGTGTTAAATATTTGTCTCTGACAGTCCAATAAAACGATTTGTTAAAAACAGCCATTAACAAATATGTCAATTTTAGGAGGGGGGAGGGGGAGTTTTCTCCGGCTAAAGGATTTGTTTGCCTTCTACCATTCCTATGGGCATTTCTGACACGGGAACAACAACAAAGTTAGGTTAGGTCACAAATTTTCCTCGATTTCCGCGCGATTAATTAACAAATTGCCAATGTAAAGCGTCACTTTTCCTTACCGTATTGATTAAATCCGCTGAGATTGTAGCACCACTTCCTGAAGCCGATGGCTGAAAACGAGTAAATGTGTTATGTAAGAATCTGTACCATCACTCTTGGCGCGATCGATCGCGCCACGTAAAGAAACAGAAGTGCATCGCGGATTCATTAGCCGTAAAATGTGATATTAGCTATTTACAGATCAATTGATTCACTCTAGGCATTTCTCGGGATGTGACGTGGCCCTTTCTATGGGGATCGCAAGGAAATTCGACAGACTTCACGCGATGAGCAGATACGTCTAAAATTAAATGGCGACGCAGGCACACCACGATTCGCGAAAATACGGCCCTGGCCGCCTCGCGAGAAAACAAGAAACTTTAGAATGATCTTAATTAACTTAATCGACAATTAATTTATCGATTCATTCATTTCTACTAATTAATTAAATTAATTCTTAATTTTTATTGTACGAACTTGGTCGACAATAAATTAATTTAAACAATTTTCTTATGAAATTGTTCAAATTAATATATAATTGTATTTTGTATAAAAATTACGTTTGAAGTGTAAAATTAAAAAAATTTGACATTTATCCAGATAATTTTACGTGGTGGATTAGTTTTACATTACAAAATTCCGACATGTAAATAAATTGAATGAAGTTTTGTATGGAATTGCTTAATTCGACCAGCTGATTGTACGATACGAAGGATTTTCCTTTTCGCCGGATAAAATTGACAATATATTTTTAAGGAAAGACGTGAAAGAATAAGATCGAGGAATCGATGTCAAATTAGACGATTAGACGTCGATTTCGAAGATCACGCGAAATCGGAGCCAGACAGACGCTTCCGGAGCTTCAGGATATCATGGGACGAAGGTGGCGCTGACGAGGGTGACAGGCCGGAAGCGTTCCGTTCGACCACCACGTTGCGCTCGTCCGCAGCCACTCGCAGCGATCGGTGCTTGGACTATTTTCACCGGACGGACCAATCGCGAAGCTTCATACTAAAATTGGACAATTAGTGACGTAAGCGGTCCGCGCTCTCGGCCTCCCACTCCGATAGAAAGTGGGAACTACTTCGCGGAGGTGACAGTCGTCGCGCGGTCCGAATATATAAACGCGCGACGGAAACGCCGCACGTCGCTTTTTTGCCTCAGTAAGGGTAGAGTTGTGTTCGCGTTCTTGCGCGTTTGTTGTGTGCGTTTCCTTTTTCCCAAGAAATAGGCCACATAACCTATGTCCATTTCGTGAAACTAACTCTCCTAGAAAAAAAAAACCCAAAAAAAGCAAAAAAATTGTGAAAAAAACGCATTAAAAAAATCGCAAAACCACTGGCGAAAATCGTCGTGACCTCGATGACAAAGGGAAGGAAAGGGAAGTAAATACGTGACCAGTGAGAGAGGGAGAGAGAGAGATAGAGAGAGTGAGAGAGTGCGACGTTGTGTTCGCAAAGGGAGAGAACAGACGGAAGGAATTCATCTTGCTCACAAGGCACGCGAGAAAAAAAAGTATCCACGCACGCACGAGGTGGAAGAAGCGGGAGAGGTGAAGAGGAAAAACGTGTGCAAGGACGCGTGCGAGAGCGACGAGAGACAGCAGGCAGATCCGCGGCCAGGCCGTAATCCGCGCGTGAGTTAGAGAAGGAGAGAGAAGCAGCCGCGTGAGCGTAAAGAGGCGTCGCGCGACGCGAGGAAGGAACGTACGTCCCGTCCCGTCTCCACTCTCTTCTTCACCGAGCACGCTCCGCAATCGCAAACGGCCGCCGCCATGAATCCCGGAGCGCCCAACTACCCCATGGCCTCGCTCTACGTCGGCAATCTGCACACCGACATCACCGAGGCGATGCTGTTCGAGAAGTTCTCGACGGCCGGACCCGTGCTGTCGATACGCGTATGCCGCGACATGATCACCCGCCGCTCGCTCGGCTACGCATATGTCAACTTCCAGCAGCCGGCCGATGGTGAGCTATCCGTTGTCATTGTTATTATTATTTTTTTTTTTATTGTTGCGCAATTCTCGTGCTGACGACGACGACGATGGTAACGGTGATGGTGGTAGCCGTGGTGTTGGTGGTGGTGGCCAACGTGGTAACGCGGCGTCGGTCCGCGCGAATCCGCCACCTGCTGCATGCCCCACATGTGCCGCGCGTCACAGCGCGGATTTCCGCGCTGTTATCCGCGCTGTTGTCGGATCCGCGTCATTTTTGCTCCGGTCGTGCTCCGGAGCACGGCACGGCATCGGAAAACACGAGGAATTGCGCGCCGAAGATTAGAATTGGACTTTAATCGAATAGTCTTGATCCGTGTGTTTGCTTGCCTCGATTGATTGAATTCTAATCTCCGGCTTGCGACTCTCAATCTCCAATGCGTAATTCAATACGGGCTTAACGGTGATTAACGGTTAAACGAATTTGCCGTATGTGAAGGGGAAAAGATTTTTTTTTTTCTCGTTTTTTTTCCTCTTTGTTGCGTGTCCCATTAGTCTGAAAACACGCGGATTAAGAGCTAAAGAGACAAATCTGTCGAAAATATATTTAAAAAAATATCTGAAATTTGAGTTAATATATTTATCTTGTTCGAAATGCGAAAAGCTAAAAGAATACATTTCTTTACAAGGAACGAAAAAGTAAAGAAAAATTTAAAAACGATTCTTTGCTCTTGTCTTTTGTTAGGATTTCGAGTAAAAATCTAAAAGGTACACGGAAAAAATGATTGATTAACAATAGCATCAGAGCCAATAGCATTCTAACTGAAAATGAAAAAAATATTTCTTTCCTTAGAAAACATTTAAATAATGGCCCCTTGTTCCTAACTTTTTTTGTCACGTGTATTCGATTTCTCTCGTATAACAGAAAATGAAACAAATCCTGATCGGTTTTGCGTGCACGTCGTTCGCGGACTTCTTTTGCCCCGCGTTGAATTTTCCTTTCAGGAAAATTCAGAGAAATCCATATCTATGTTCATTGTGCAAAAAGACTCGGAACTTAAATCTATTAATCTTCCTAAACATTTCCTCAGTGAAGAACAGGTATTTCTGAGAAAAGAAAATAGAAAAAGCAGGATGGAACTTTAGCTTCTTCTACCTGACTTGGACTCTTTTACTCGAGATCAAAGTCCTTTTCCAGATTTCGCTCTATTGTCTGAGCTTTGTACTTTATGAATTTATTTCGTCAATACTTTAGACCTGCAGCTCTCTGTCGCTGTACTGGATTGCACAATTTTTTTATTTTCGTCAACCTTCAAATATATTGATTTTTTCATTTTACGCGATTTATATTTATAAAAAAAAGGACAAATCTTTTGATTTTGCGTGCGCAGAAACGTCATCCAAGTACTTTGCCCCCCCCCCCCCCTCTCTACTCCAAGTAAGTGTATCATTTTATCTTTGACTTTCGAAATCAGAAAGATAAAATGACACGCGGGCACTCGGGTGACGTTTCTGAACGCAGGGTAATCATTTGTGACTATCATAAACGATTTTCTTATAAATGCTTGTAAAAAAATAAATACCCTTTAATATAAAATTTTTAACAAACATAAATAGCTAAATAACAATATATAAAAATGCGCTATTCAACACGGTGTTCACGATCTTATTCAATATGTATTACACAATATGTTATCATTGTATATACTTACGATAATGAAAATTCCGTGGCGCACGCGATAAGACGTGCAAAATACGCTGGGTAGGCAACTGTGTTAACTGTATTTTGCATTTTCCACATTTTGCCACATTTTTCGCATTTTAAAACGAAATAAATATATTAACTCGAACTTCTTATATTTTTCTTTATTGTTAATTAAACAAGTATCTATTTTTTTTTATTAAAGGATAAAATTTTCATGAAGAATATTCATATATCTCGTGCTGCAAAACATTTAACATTAACTTCGATTTAACGGAAGAAAAAAGGAAAAAATGAAAATTTATAAATTCTAATTGAAAGAAACGAATTTATACTATCTATTATAACTTTATTAATAAATATATTCCAAGATACGCTAACAGAAAAATGCGATATTTATTTTTTTCATAATATACTTAAGGAAATAAATTCATAAAAAATCATGGTCGCTGTGCATTGCGCTCGAGATGATGAGCGAATCAATTCTTGTAGATATTAAAAAAGTTATCTGGAATAGAGACACTTTCCTCTTCTACTACACACACGTATATAGAGTTCTTAATTAAAAAAATTTTGTGTCTTAAGTATTAGTATTAAGTATCTCTTATAAACTCCCTAAGAGATTCGCGAAATACAATTGATCGACGAGCAGTCGTTGGTAAAATAAATAGAGATAGGTATGAAGCTTTAAACGCGCGACGCTTATAAACTCTAGGCAATTATAATGCCCGTATCAGACTAAGGATATTAAAAATGGATTGGAATTTAATTAATCAGAGGATTGAATTGGAATTTAATCAATTAGAAGAAAGAAAACCTCAAGCTTAATGAACTTTGTTTTTGATTGAATTTCAATCCAATCTCAATCTTTAGTCTGATACGGGAATAACAGCAATTGCAGCACATATCTACTTGAATGAATTTTTTTAAGGAAATCTATTATATACAGTAAAACGCGGGTTTTTGCATAAACTTACATATTATTTGAACAGCAAAAAAAATATGTTTTATTTATATAAAAATGTATTTTAATGCCTCCAAGTGGCGATTGAATGTTTTTCGAGCTGACGGAAATAATTACGAAAAAACGAATTAAGATATCGATTTGATTTTCCTCTAAATCCTAATATTTTAACGCATGGCGTGAACACATTCAATCGCCACTTGGAAGCATTAAAATACATTTTTATATAAATAAAAAATATTTTTTTTACTGTTCAAATAATATATAAGTTTATGCAAAAACCCGCGTTTTACTGTATATAATAGATTTCCTTAAACAAATTCATGAAACAAGGACTAATTTTACGACCGGCAAAAGTGAAATCTCTCTTAATGACAAAAAAAATTTTCTTTTGATGAGCATGACGATAAAATCGTCAATATGTTATTCAACTTGCGAGGAAAACACATTAGCATAAATACATTTGCGGATGTTTATGTTTCAGCCGAACGCGCCCTTGATACCATGAATTTCGACATAATAAAAGGGCGGCCTATTCGGATCATGTGGTCCCAGCGCGATCCCTCCCTACGCAAATCGGGCGTTGGAAATGTATTCATCAAGAACTTAGATAAAAACATAGACAATAAAGCGATGTACGATACCTTTTCCGCATTCGGTAATATATTGAGCTGCAAGGTTACGCAAGATGAGTCGGGCGCGTCAAAGGGCTACGGCTTTGTCCATTTTGAAACAGAGGAAGCGGCCAACAAATCTATCGAGAAAGTCAACGGGATGTTGCTAAATGGCAAGAAGGTAAAGTGGAAATGGCGTTCTTTATCAATCGATTAGGATATTAATTAATTTGTTTATCGAGCTCATGTCTGTTAGATATCAAGTCATTTATTTTATCGCATTACTCTTTATCAGTTCACAGTATAGCGTAAATTTCGCGCTTAAAAATTCCGCTAGAAGTGCCACTAGAGCACGTGGTATTTCCCGTTTCGTTTCTCGCGGTGCTAATTTAATTCTCTATGGGCGCTAGTTTGGCTTCGTTTCCGGTTTGAACATAGGATTGAGTAATATAAGTGCCAGCCATAACTGTAGTTTTCGATAGAGTACCCTAAAGCTCGATTTCTCGTTACAAGAAAAAAATACAAGGTGTATTGCATTACCATACACCCAACAATTTTTTTCCTTTATTTCTCAACATGAATTATATTTGCAGGTGTACGTTGGCAAATTTATTCCACGTAAGGAACGCCAGAAAGAATTGGGCGAGAAGGCCAAACTGTTCACAAATGTCTACGTGAAGAACTTCGGCGAGGATATGTCCGACGACAAGCTGAAGGATATGTTCGAGAAGTACGGGACCATTACAAGTCACAAGGTGATGATCAAGGACGACGGCAAGTCACGTGGATTCGGATTTGTCGCGTTCGAGGACCCGAACTCCGCCGAGCAGGCGGTGCTGGATTTGAACGGCAAGGAGATCGCCGAGGGCAAGTGCATGTACGTCGGGCGGGCCCAGAAGAAGGCCGAGCGCCAGCAGGAGCTTAAACGGAAATTCGAGCAGCTGAAGATCGAGCGCTTGAATCGGTATCAGGGCGTGAATTTGTACGTAAAGAATCTGGACGATACGATCGACGACGAGCGTCTGCGTAAGGAATTCACGCCGTTCGGCACCATCACGTCGGCAAAGGTGATGATGGAGGAAGGACGTAGCAAGGGATTCGGCTTCGTGTGCTTCTCGCAGCCGGAGGAGGCCACCAAGGCGGTTACCGAGATGAACGGGCGCATCGTAGGTTCTAAGCCTCTCTATGTCGCTTTGGCGCAGCGTAAGGAAGACCGTAAGGCGCACCTCGCGTCTCAGTACATGCAACGTATGGCGAACATGCGCATGCAGCAGATGGGCCAGATATTCCATCAGCCCGGGAACGCCGGCAGTTACTTCGTACCTACGCTACCGCAGCCGCAGCGATTCTACGGACCCGCGCAGATGGCGCAGATCCGCGCGACTCCACGCTGGCCGGCGCAGCCGAATCAAGTGCGACCGAACGCGCAGACCGGCAACTCCGGATTTGCGTCCATGCAAGCTGCACCATTCCGAGCGGCGCCGCGCGCCCCTGCCGCACAGGCTGCCGGCCTGCGTAATAACATGTCAGCGAGACCTATCACAGGTATTATTAAGAAAATTAAGAATAGACTTTACAAAATGTTTGATAATTTTTGCGCAAAGATTTTGATTTATTATTGCTTCTGTATATTGTTTCCTTAATCGTATTTATTCTTTAACTTGATAAAAATTGAGATATCACATACATATATATATTCTTTTTTTTTAATTATTTTAGATAATTAACAAGTTTTTTAGTTGAAATCTTTTAAGATATTTATAACTTTAATTTCATTTTTGATAGAGATCTGAGGTGCTTCTTCATGCTAATCTGTTACATGGTTCACTATGTATTATTAATAATAATATAGCATTAATTATATTTTTTAGTCTTTAAACAACGTTATTTAAATTGAAACACACACACACACACACACTCACATATGTGTATGTTTTAATTTATATAAGGTTGATTAAAGAACAAATATAATTAATATTATTATTATTATATGTATGTGTCTCAATTTATATAAGATTGATTAAAGAATAAAACAATTAATAATATATTATTTTTAACAATATATAGTGAAACATGTAGCAGATCAGTATAAGAAATATAAAGAAGCACCTCAGATCTCTTTCAAAAAAAATTCAAACATGAAAATAAAATTAAAGTCATAAATATCTTAGAAAAACTTCAATTAGAAAACTTGTTAATTTAAATCTGAAATGATTAAAAAAAAAATGCTTTTTTTATAAACGGCATTGTTATTCGTTGATGAACTTATTTTTCAATCTTATTACTAGATGAATAATTACTTATTTGTTGTAACAATACAATTGCTATAGCATTAATTATAGTATTGTACAATAATAATTATGCCTGCATTCAGTTATTAGCGAAAATGATGATTACAATTTCTGAAAATGCCTAAAGCATTAATTATAATATTGTACAGTAATAATTATGCCTGCCTTCAGTTATTAGCGAAAATGATGATTACAATTCCTGAAAATGCCTATATATTTCAGGTCTGCAAGCAGTTGGCGGCGCCAACATGCAGAGTCGTTCCATGGCCGGGCCAGCCGTTGGTGTCTCGCCCGGTCAGAGCCGTCCGCCGAATTACAAGTACACCTCAAACATGCGCAACCCACCATCGCAAGCGGCCATGGCTCTATCTGCACCGAGTGGTCCTTCTCTGCAGCAGGCGGTTCACATCCAGGGCCAGGAGCCGCTCACCGCGTCGATGTTAGCCGCGGCGCCGCCGCAGGAGCAGAAGCAAATGCTGGGAGAACGTTTGTTCCCTCTAATCCATGACATGAATCCACAACTGACCGGCAAGATCACCGGTATGTTGTTGGAGATCGATAACAGCGAGCTGCTTCACATGCTGGAGCACAAGGAATCTCTGAAGGCCAAGGTCGACGAAGCCGTGGCCGTGTTACAGGCCCATCAGGCCAAGCAGGCGGTCGCGCCGAAGAAGGAATAAAAGCGGCGTCACATCGTTAACCTTTATTTATAAAAAGTTGAAAATAAATTTCGATCGATTTTGATTCGATGTACACGCGGTATTGTCTCTTCATTTAAATTTTATTTTTCTGAATTTATCGTGTCAGTAATATTTACATAACGGATTTATTTTCCGAGATATAACCAGTTCCGAGACGTCGTTTGGGACGATAAGGAACGTATTCTCTTTTTACAAATTATAAAATTTTAAAAAAAGAATTCACTTCGTATTCGGCATATTGGAGTACGGAGGGTTGCGGACACCTTTTCTGGACGGTTAGATATGCTCTGCATTCGCTTATTGAAAGAAACATGAAGAAATGTGAAAAGATTTCCAAACTTAGAAATTTAAGATAATAAATTTTTCTTTCGGAATATATACACAAGACGATCGACATCCAGCGGATGTAACGATTAGACAAACGGAAACATTAATTTAGGAAACATTAATTATGTCCATTTATGTCCATTTTTATCAATATAGATTAATTAGTCCATTTTACTCCTTTTTCTGATTCTTAGAGCTAAAAAAAAGAGAAATAAATTGAACCGAGATAAAAATTAATCTACATTAGTAGAAATGGATATTATTGCGATAATTTTAAAAGTATTTTACAATTGTTGTTTGGTGTGTACGATTGTTACATCTGCTGAATGCATTATTATTTTTTCCTTCTATTTCCCTTGAAACGAAAATTGTTGATGTAAAAAACTATTGAATTAATTATATATACTAGTTTTAAAAACGTTTTAAAACTGTTAAACTGAGATTAAAGCTAATTTACATTGGTATAGAAATCTGGTTGAAATGGACATTGTGATCTTATATTAGTTCTACATAATTTTTCCTATCCTTTTAATTAATTTAAAGTTAAGATAAATGTGAATAATGGTTATCTCGTGTCACATTTTGTAAACTCGCATCTGACACGTGAAAAGAAGAGATTAGAGGCGTCGAAAAACTCAAAAATTTTGCCATAAACAATTGTATCGATCGAATTAATCGCTGATTACACTAATTCGAGTTTTTTCTGATCTCAATTACGCGCTATATATTATACTGAATAAGTTTCTCAATAATTAAACAATTCGCGCGGAAAATTTCTGTCGGCAAACGTAATACCAGACTTCGATGGCAGAAGAAAAATATAATAAATCTATGCGGCTCAATCGTTCAGATTCCAAAAAGTCCATGTGACTTGTGCATTATATGGATTACATTTACATGTTACCGTTAATCAGATTTAGCAAAATTTGTAGTGACTGTAGACGTAAAACAACTGTTTAAACGCTAGTTAAATCCGATTTTATAACATATCAGTTTTCATAAAATTAAATTTAATTAACGTTTACATTTTACGTTAACGGTAGTTGTAACTACCGTTGTTACTAAACCGGATTATCGTTGCCGTGTAAACGTGGTGATAACAGATTCGAACGCGTGCTGCGCAGGAGCAGCTTTGAACTTTGATCCACGACTGCATTTTATATACTCGCGCCAATGTGTGTATGTGTGTGTGGCGCGCTAATCGTTTTACGTTTCTCGTGTTTACGTAACCGGCATATTGCGCGATAATACGCAAATTGCATCGCATCGTGTAAGATCGATGCGTGTAAAACGAGAGCAGAACTGGCGATAACTAATTAAAAAAAAACGATTAATAAATCAATCAATGAAAAAATGTTTACAAACTTTCAATGATTCACATATGTATGTAACTTTCTCCTTTCACATTTTTGTTGCACTTTCTGCACTGGAAAGGATGTTACAGTGCTTGTAATCGCACTGCGCTAAAATATTCTGCTGTCAAAATATAAAATAGGTATATTAACCCATAATTCAATATTGGGAGGAGAAAGAGACGAATGTAATAAATTTACCTACAAAGAATTAACGAACTTATAAACGTTCGAGAGTCGAGGCGAAAACAATTGGAAGGCCGAAAAGTGCGAAAGGAAAGTGCATCTGGGAATGAGCGGACGATATAGAAACTTGATCGACCGGAAACGGCTGATTTCAGGCACGTGCGTAGGCGACGCACGTGCAGTCGAATTTTCAACGCGCGATTCGTTGATCAGGAAACGTTTCCCTTTTTGTCGGATAAAAGCAATGGGAGAAAGTATTTGTCAAACAAAGAGAACACGCTGATGCGCTGGATTGAATCATTGACAGTTGTTTTCTTTTTCTTTTTTCATAAATTTTTCGACATGAAATCGGCTGGCGGCTTTCGCGAGCCCTCGATACATTTCGAGCTGGCGCTGACGGTCGCGCCCGCGAGAGAAACTACTTCGCCGGAAGTCGGGCGGCCGCCGGGGTATATAAGCGCGCGCAGGGGGCCCGCGCGACGCTCTTCTGCCTCAGTACGAGTAGAGTTGTGTTCACGTGTGGTTGTGTGCGATTCCTCTTTCCCTGAAATAGGCCACACAACCTACTTCCATTCCGTGAAACTAACTCTCCTTAGAAAAACCCAAAAAAAGTAAAAAAATCTTCGTAAAAAAACGCATACAAAAAAATCGCAAAACCGTAAGGCGAGAAAAACCGTCGTAACCTCGGGTAACAGCGTGGTGTAAAAAAAAAAGAAAAAAAGAAAGTGTTGAGTACGAGAGCCGGAGTGCGGAACCGTCGACGTCGTCAAGAGGATAACGCAGACGGAAGGTCCATCTCTACCCAACAGGCACACGCGAAAAAAAATTCTCCACCCAGAGAGAGGCACGCACGAGGCAGAAGCGGAAGATAAAAATAAATAAAAAAAAAAAGGAAAAACAGGGAAACGTGCACGAGAGAGACCGCGTTGCGAGCTTGCGAGCGCACCAGGTCTTCGGGGGACAAGCCATATTTTGCGAGGCGCTGCGAGGTAGACGGGACGAAGGGAAATCCGTGTCGCGGTGTAAAAGGAGGAAAAGCATCTTGCTAATCTGCCCCTTCCGGGCGTGACAAACACGTGATACTCCGCAGTAACCGTCGCCGCCATGAATCCCGGTGCGCCCAACTACCCCATGGCCTCGCTCTATGTGGGCGACCTACACACCGACATCACCGAGGCGATGCTGTTCGAGAAGTTCTCGTCGGCTGGGCCCGTGCTGTCGATACGCGTATGCCGCGACATGATCACCCGCCGCTCGCTCGGCTACGCATATGTCAACTTCCAGCAACCGGCTGATGGTGAGTCATCGTCCCCGTCGCTGTCGACGTCGTCATCGTCGTCGTCGTCCTTTCCGTAATCGTCTCGGCAAAGTGTTGTCCCCATAATGGCCATAATAATGATGATTCAATAGTAGTAGTAGTAGTGGATGGTGGTCAACGTGGTGACGCAACGTGGGTCCGCAAGAATGGCCGCCCGCTGCGTGCAGTACACGTGCCCGCGCTCAACGTGCTCATCATCGCGGCCACCATGTTGGATCCACGTCCTCGCTTTGCCGTGACGAGTAGTTAACGGTTAAACAAATTGCCGCGGAAAGGGGGAAAGGATGTTTTCCTTTTTTCTCTCCTTGTCGTCCGCATTGCCTGGAGTCTCGCAGCCGTGATAGAATTGAACGGTTTCCTCCTTTCTTTCACCCTGACTGACCTGAGTTTTACCTGAGGATTGAGAGATCCCCGATGTTACCCCAAAAGTCGAAAGACCATTTCCAGATTTTTTTTGTATCGTACCTGAGATTTCTCTATTCTCCGTGAATCTACTTAACGTTTTAATTCTAATCTGGCCTTTCGTTGCCTGACTCGTGATTTATCCGTCTGCGGGACGAGACGGAACCTCGTGCCACGTGCGCGTCATTCATGCTGCTCTCATCTCACGTGAATGAAAAGTCCTTTGTAAAGTGAGAGAGAGACTTCAAAAAAGCGTATCTCGAGACTACGAGCAACATAATCTGCGCGCACGTGCGTTCGCGGTATCCGTTTCCAAGGGTCACGTGTAAAATCATATTCATTGAATTTTGCTCCAGACTTCTCTCATACATAAATAAAAATACGTAAATATGGAGAAATAGAAAAATTTTTAAAGAATCCATATTGTTTAATTTGTGTCGTATAAAGTTTACAATAAATAGATTGTCAGAAATCGTTCGTTTCAGCGACTTTTTTCGAAAGTATAGGGAGAGATGTCTTGAGAAATCTGTTCTAATTTAATCTATTTTAATATCTGTTTAATTTCTCATAATTTTTGGAACAAATTAGAATAGATCGGTAGAAATCTGTATTTGTTATACGTCAGAGAAAAATTAAAAAAATTTGAAGATATAAATGTTTTTCTCTCTTTCTGTCTCATGAAAAGAAATGGGAAAAAACTTCAGTTTTTCTTCTTTTTTCATACGTTAAATTTATGGTTGAAGTTGTATCTTTCAAGAACTTGTAAAAACCAGAAATCTATGTCCCATTATATGAAGATTTATGAAAACTTTCGTTTTATCTTTTAAAACATTTCAAAGAAGTAGACATTTCTGATGAAAGAAAGGAGGAAAACCAAAATGAAATTTTTGGTTTTTCTGATTTTATTTAATTTGAAATTTCATCTGAAATCAAAATCTCAATATTACAAGAAACAAATGTGACAATCTGTTCCTGGATTTTTCCTACTGTGTGTATTTTACTAATTTCGTTCATTCTCTGTCGATTAATTTCTTTAAAAGTTATTTTCTAGCTATGTTTTCTGTATTTAAAACAAGATAACTCAAACTTTAGATATTTTTCTTTATTCTAAATTAAACAATACTATTTATTACATATTTATATTTTATATTACTATTTACTACAAATTAATTTTTTTATATCGAGAGATAAATAGAAAATGTTAAAATATCTAATACTGTAATTTTTAATATTAATTTTTTTAAGAAAAAAAGGGAAAGAATATTTGTGAATTATAATTGAAAGAAATAAATCTATCTACAAAACATAGTTTAATAAATTTATTACGAGATACGCAAGTAGAAAAAATGCGAGATCTATTTATTTCGTATTTCATACTAAATTTTATTTCTTCTTTATTTCCTTCAAAATCTAAATCAATAATACAAAAGGATCTGTATCTTTTGTCATTCAAATTTTATATCGTCACAAAACATGTGGTCAATATGATGACATTCGCAAGTTACGCAACGGTTTTTGGCTAACGTATTTTGTGAGCGTGGTCATTTGCAAATCAGTCATCGATTAAAGATAATAGATGATATAATTAATAAGAGAAAATTTATCTGTACTTCACACCAATCTTTTTTTCGTATCAACTCAGTGTGGTTGGTAGTACAAATTTTTTCTTATCAATTCATAGAATATATATCTTATCAGACTTTATCGAGGACTAACCTTTTATCAAATAAATCTATTTTCTTTGATATGAAAAAATGAATTCGTTGAAAATCACGATTGCTATTAAATCATGGTTTTTCCAGCAATTACTTGAAATTTCTTTCAATTATGATTTTCTTCTAATTACAATTCACAAATATTCTTTCCTTTTTTTTTCGTAAAAAAATTAGTATTAAAATTAAATTACTGCATTAGATATTTCAACATTTATTTCTCGATATAAAAAAATAAATTTGTGGTAAATAGTAATATAAAATCTAAATTGTGCATTGCACTTTCATGAATTAGTCCTAGAACAGTTCTTGTATCAACAGTTGTAAGTTCTAAGTGATCTAGAATGTAGGATCCTACCTCTGTTAAGATTTCCAATTCTGTAATTTTTAATTAAAAAATGTTATGCATTAACTTCTTGCTGATGATGTATCTTTAGCTTATCAACTCCAGGCAGTGGCAAGCGCAATTGAATACACACACATGAATTTACTTAATGATAACGAATCTGCTTTCGATAAAAAAAAGCGATAAATATCTTTAAAACTTTCTACTTGACTTTCACAAGGACAACACGTTTGCATAAATACATTTACGGATATTTATGTTTCAGCCGAACGCGCCCTTGATACCATGAACTTCGACATGATAAAAGGACGGCCTATTCGGATCATGTGGTCTCAGCGCGATCCCTCCCTACGCAAGTCGGGCGTCGGAAATGTATTTATTAAGAATCTAGACAAAAATATAGACAATAAAGCGATGTACGATACATTTTCCGCGTTCGGTAATATATTGAGCTGCAAGGTTGCGCAAGACGAATCGGGCGCGTCAAAGGGCTATGGCTTTGTACATTTTGAAACGGAGGAAGCGGCTAACAAATCTATCGATAAAGTCAACGGGATGTTACTGAATGGCAAGAAGGTAAAGGTAGCGCTCTTTATAGATTAAGACAAAAGTCGACGAAAGTTCGATTGACTTGTCTTTTTTTTTTTATTGGCGTTTCTCTTTTGTTTCTCAATATGGATTGTGCTTGCAGGTGTACGTTGGCAAATTCATCCCGCGTAAGGAACGCGAGAAAGAGTTGGGCGAGAAGGCCAAACTGTTCACGAATGTCTACGTGAAAAACTTCGGCGAGGACATGACCGAAGACAAGCTGAGGGATATGTTCGAGAAGTACGGGACCATTACAAGCCACAAAGTGATGAGCAAGGACGACGGCAAGTCACGTGGCTTCGGATTTGTCGCGTTCGAGGACCCGGACGCTGCCGAGCAGGCGGTGATCGAATTGAACGGCAAGGAGATCTCCGAGGGCAAGTGCATGTACGTCGGACGGGCCCAGAAGAAGGCCGAGCGCCAGCAGGAGCTCAAACGGAAATTTGAGCAGCTGAAGATCGAGCGTCTGAATCGATATCAGGGCGTGAATTTATACGTAAAGAATCTGGACGATACGATCGACGACGAGCGTCTGCGTAAAGAGTTCACGTCGTTCGGCACGATCACGTCCGCGAAGGTGATGCTGGAGGATAGCCGTAGCAAGGGTTTCGGCTTCGTGTGTTTCTCGCAGCCGGAGGAGGCCACCAAGGCGGTTACCGAGATGAACGGGCGCATCGTAGGTTCTAAGCCTCTCTATGTCGCTTTGGCGCAACGCAAGGAGGACCGTAAGGCGCATCTCGCCTCTCAGTACATGCAGCGTATGGCGAACGTGCGCATGCAGCAGATGGGTCAGATATTCCAACCCAGTAACGCCGGCAGTTACTTCGTGCCTACGCTGCCGCAGCCGCAGCGATTCTACGGACCCGCGCAGATGGCGCAGATCCGCGCGACTCCACGCTGGCCGGCGCAGCCGAATCAAGTGCGACCGAACGCGCAGACTGGCACCTCCGGGTTCGCGTCTATGCAGGCTGCACCGTTCCGTGGGACGCCGCGCGCTCCCGCAGCCCAGGCTGCCGGCTTGCGTAACAGCATGTCCGCCAGACCTATCACAGGTGATTACTATGGGCGTTATAAAATAAGCGTTACAGATACCTATGACAATAGTGCAATCTTCGTATTATTATCGGTTGTATTATTTGTCTTATCAAATTTCGTTTTGATTATCAAACATATTAATCCTATAAGAATTTGAAATGCTTTAAACAGTCTTTGAATTTGAAAATGAAAAATCGTAAATATTTTGAAAGGCTCGAACGATAAAAAATGACGAAATATCTCAATCTTCAGAATGTCTCTTAAGCATTTAATTTATTTAATTTATTATATTATCTAGTTGTTTTTAGGAGGTGATTTTACATGCCTTCCATTACGGGCATTTAAAAAAAATCTGAATATACTCTGTCGAAGGTAAACGTACCAGTAATTGGACATGTATCTATAGCGGGACATGTATACAAAAACTTATTAAGCAAATCTCAAATACTTTTTTTTATAATATAATTTATTTGTAATATTTAAATTTTTACAATTAAATTTTGATATTATAATAAAAGAAGCATTTCAGATTAATAATTTTTGTGTAAGTGTCCGGACATAGATACATGATTCCTAAACGTCCATCCACTGGTACATTTATCTTACGGTGATTTCAGCACTAAATTGCAAAATTTTATCAGTTGCATAATTTAATAACTTTCAATATAAATATATAAAAGAAAGATAAGCAGCGACATATTTTATAAATTTACATTGTAAATTTACTTTAAAAAAATTTATTAAAACAAAATGGATAGAATAAGTGATGTATATTGATTAACAGATTTTTCACAGATGCGAGTTTCAATTCGCTTTAAAGCCTGTTAATAATGTATTTGCTTTCAACTCACATTTTTAATCGAATTCATAAAAATTAAATTTAACAGATATTCGAATTATCTTGGAAGCATCATAAATTCTTACGCACCAGTGACGATATATAAATATGTTTATGAACTTACACAAGTATATGTTCTGTGTTTACATACATTTTTATGTATATATATATATATATATAGAAAAACATGTATATCTTATTATGATACTAACTGACCTCCAAGAATTTCAAAACATTCGAGAATTATATATAACGTTTAAGCTTTTCAAGACTCCGGATATTTTTGAGATATTGTTTGACATGATTGGAGACTTATACTGTAACTGTCAGTATTGTAGAAACGATTTCTTAAATCTAAGGCCACACAAAAAGACAGTTTAACAACCGAATAGTTAGCTTTTTGAAGAAATGAAATGTTGAAAATCGAAAGACGTACATGAAAATATTCCTTAAATTGATTAATGTTATTGAAAGTAATAATTTTGTGGAGAACTTGTAATTAGATCTATCAATTTTACGTGTATAGCACTGTAACAATATACTGAAATGATAGTATTCCTTCAATTTGCCACTACCGATCCGACTTGATCGTAAAATTTATTTTTTTGTATTAAAATACAATCTATTTTTTATAGTCAATTTTTCTTTGCGCAGTATTCAGTTACAAGATTCAACTTTTCTTTAGAAGAACGAAATTATATACGTCACGATATGTGTGTTCAATGATTTTCAGTTATTAATTCTTGCAGCTAAATGAATAATTGCTCGATTATTATTGTAACAATATAATCGCCACAACATTATTTCACTAATTGTGTCATACTATATTAATAATTGTTACTGAATTTATTATCGTAAAAGATTATTATAATTGACGAATTCTCTCGTGTCCCAGGTCAACAAGCAGTTGGCGGCGCCAACATGCAGAACCGTTCCATGGGCGGTCCCGCTGTTGGTGTATCGTCCGGTCAGAGCCGTCCGCCGAATTACAAGTACACCGCGAATATGCGCAACCCGCCGCAAGCGGCCATGGCTCTGTCCGCATCGAGCGGTCCTACTGTGCAGCAGGCGGTTCACATCCAGGGTCAGGAACCGCTCACCGCGTCGATGTTAGCCGCGGCGCCGCCGCAGGAGCAGAAGCAAATGCTAGGGGAACGGTTATTCCCTCTGATTCAATGCATGTATCCGCAACTGACCGGCAAGATCACCGGTATGTTGCTGGAGATCGACAACAGCGAGCTGCTTCACATGCTGGAGCACAGCGAGTCGCTGAAGGCCAAGGTCGAGGAGGCCGTGGCCGTGTTACAGGCCCATCAGGCGAAGCAGGCGGTCGCGACGAAAAAGGAATAAGCGCCAGCATCGGATATACCTTATTTATAATTCGTGAGAATAAATTTTCGATTGTTTTGAATTTGATTGGATGTATATCGCAATGTTATCCCTTCATTTATTTTTACTTTTCTGAATTCACGCAATTTAATCGTCTAATTATCGTTTATGTAATGGCTTTACTTTCAAAGACGTAACCGGCGGCATTCAAAGTGACTGTCGTTTGGGAAGATAATGGGAATGTATTCTCTTTTCACGATTCAAAATTTTAGGAAGGAAAACCCTCCGTTTCGGATACGGAGAGAAAGAGAGAGACACACAAAATAATTGTTTCCCCCAACGTTTATTTATCGAGAGGAGAAGCGCGAAAGGGTTTCCATTCCTAAAATTTTACGATAATAAATTTTTCTTTCAAAATATATACCCGATTGAAGTTCAACGAACGTAACAATTGAGTAGTTTTTGAAAAAATTAAATTTATTTGATGAATTTATTAGTATATAATCGTGTGCAATCGTTGCCTGACGATGTCTACGATTGTTACGTTCTGCTGAATGTATTTTTTTTATATTTTTCCCCCTCTTGTGTTTTCCTTTTCGAAACCATCGAATTCTCTGAATCAAGGAAATTAAAGATTTACACTAGAGACTAATAGATTGAGCAGATACTTGTACTAGAAGTGCCTACTTGCGCATTGCATAGATATCTATATAAACCTCAGTCGTTTATTTGTCGCAGCGGAAGATTGATAATATCTATTTCGTGGCTAGTTTATGTTACGTACGGAGAATTCGTTGTAGCTGTAAAGTAATACTTGAGATAGCACGAAGTCCCAGCTATCTCAGTCTACTCTTCAGCGTTTGATCTTATGACTGTACTTCGCCTACTTTTTTTCTCATGCCTTTTGTGTCGTAAACTTCAGATAAATAATTCATTTTAAATATTAATATTCATTTTAATGTGTAATTACAGAGAAAGGGGAACGTGCCTTTTTCTATATAATTATATAATTATATAATTTATGTACGAAGTGATTTTTCAGGATTGGAGATCAAGAAGATTAAAAGGAGAGAAATAGAAAGCTATATTTTATTATAATTAACTTCGAACGAAAGTTATTTTAACAGAATTTAACGAGATATAGAAACTTAAAATAACAAATTTAATAGGTATGAATTCAACTGATACCCAATCGAACCTGGCACAATAAAGATTCTTTTCACAAGAGGACGAAGAGTAAAATATTTTCAATATTTGTTTTACATATACTTTTATTAACATACTGAGCTCCTTTAGTAGCTTTCATATCTTGCATCGCTTATATTCTGATTTAATATTTTTCTACAATTACAATTTTTTTAATTTTAAAATTCGAAATCAGATTCAGCGCTCGTCACTTCGGAAACAAAGATCGGCTCGATTTTACCGTGTCGTCCTTTCATCATTTGATTATTCGAGCTAAAAAGGAAGAGAAGAAAATTTTTTATCTTCGTATCGTCCATGCTAATGTATTTAATTAGATTGTTATTAATTTTTGTATTGTATTTAATTAGATTGTTTGGCCAGATATAAGAATATCGATACTTCAATTTCGTACTTGGACCAATCATGATCGCGCGAGCATTCGTCGTCAGGTGAAAAGGTCAAAATATCGATAATTAAAAGGGCGCGGAAAACCTGCCGGTTCGAACAATTGGCACTCGTAGCGCCCAGAACAGGCATTCCTTCGTTCTTTTTTTTTAATTAACCTTCCGCGTTTCCGGGAAGCAGGCGCGTGATTGGCGGACGCGTCACGACCCACTTCGGCGAGTTGTCAGCGAGCGAATCGGCCGTTGCGCGGGAGAAGCGAGAGCAAGCGAGTGAGTGAGCGAGCCAGTGAGATCGGTGAAGAAGCAAGAGAGAGAGAGAGAGAGAGAAAAACATATATACATATGAGTGCGCGCCTCTCGCAACTCTCGCGAGTCTCGCGAAACGTCGACGATTACGCCAGCCGCGTTGAGCCGTGTGCAGTGTGTGGCGTGTCTTCTTCCCCGGTGAGCGGTTGACGGAGATTCCTTCGGTGGTGTGAGAACGTCGATCGGGAAAACGAGCACGAGAAACGTGCCCGGTGTTCGGATTCGTCATCTCCAACGAGCGCTCCCGCCAACGACAAGCGACGGCGAACGAGTTAACCGAGTTCGTCGTCGTCCAGCGCGCGACAGCGGCGGCGACGACGACGACGACGACGACAACGACAACGACGACGACGACGGCGACGGAGACGACGACGGTGGCCGAACGAAATCTCGCTGCTTGAAGGAGAGAAGGTACATTGCCGCACGTAATCCCCACCTGCCCCCCCCCCCTCTCGTCGCGCGCGCTAATGACCTCGTTCTAATCGTCGCCCTGGTTCCTGATGTCGTGGCCGACTTGAGCCGACTTGTCGCCGCGAAGTAAGACCGATAAGTAACCTAACCGTCTACGCCGCACTCGATCGTCCCGATCTCGATTTCCCTGCTGCTGACGGTCATCACTCGCCGACCGGCGACATATGGCAGTGCGCAGGGAGACGTGAAAACCGTCTCCTCGCCTACGAGGAGGTCGCAGTTTGTTTACCTGTCGTCTCAATTTCGGTCTCGTCTGTCCCAGAGCCAGGTGCGCTTTTCATTCGACCGACAGTCGTTTTCACAGGGCACGATACTTAACACGTAGGGCTCAACTCTGCGCGTGTTTCCCACCGCGCTATTTTCCGCCGCGGTCCTTTCCGGCGTTGTGAAAAAATGCGAGAAAGTGGTCCGAGAATACCGTGACTTGACGCGAACAGAGAATCACGGCGATTTGGGTCTTCCCCTATAGAGTTACAGATGACTTGTAATCCCATAACACTCTTGTGACTCTTTGACAGGTGGACAAAGTGGTAACTAAATACATTTCTATTAATAATTATTATATTAACAATTTATGGCATTGTAATCAATAACAATGTAAAAGAGACTATCAGATGGGTCAAAAATAGCACAGCTGTGATTCTATTAATTGGATGTTAAATCTAGTATTTAGACAATAGACAAGATAATATTGATGAATGACAAATAATTGGGGAAAATGCGGTATGTAAAACATTGAAAGACTTGGAACTGACTTGAGTGCTAGTTATTCAGAAATATTTCACTTGCGCTTTTCCTTCCTTTTTCTTATCTGTAAACAGAAAATTATTGTAGGGAATTTTTCAAGAGGGATTAATAGAAATTTGAATGATGTATTGCACTCTTGCTTCAAAAGTGACACAAAAACAATTCCCAGAAGTATTGATGATTGATAGGGTAATATTTACTTAATTCAGTGTTGTCCAAAATTTATAATTCTGGCATTGACTTGACTGTGGTTTGTAAAGGTCTCTTGTCTTCCTTTTCTCTACCTTCATTAAGAAAAATGAAGGTAATAGATGTAATATTGACTTGACATGTGTTTTGTGAAGGCCTTTTGTCTTTCTTTTCTCCACCTCCATTTTAAAAAAAGGAAGGTAATAGACGAAAATATTAATACATATCAAGCCAATATTCACAATTACAAATCTTGGACAGCACTGACCTAACTCGAAAACCACATTTTTTTAGTCACTTTTCCACATTATCTAGTTTTTATAGCATATCTTAGTAAAATGTAAATAAAATTAACGTGCTGTAATATCAGCTAATTATATATGCTAGGAATGCTTATATAATTGCAGGTTGCATTTTTTTAATATCTTATCAGCTTCTTAGTCAGGCAATTTTCATGAATAGTTCTTTCTGTGTTTATTTTTAGATTTCTATATTTCTATTATTATTTTACTTACATTTTACTTTACATTGAAGAATATTTTGACAAATTAACATGCAATTGTCTTGGCTTACCAATATATGTGAAATGCGAATTTAACAGAATGTATTGCAAGATTAGTTGCAATCCCTGCAAACGTGTGTCCTCTCTTGTATACCACAGTTTATCTTTGTCGCTCGGTTTGTTATTGCATTTACACTTTTCGAGAATTCTATTTCTTGTATTGTTTTTGGGAAGTTTGGAAATATTATGAATACAAAAAACATGCTTTGCCTTTGTATATACTAATATTTATTATAAAATCTGTTGTAGATCATCATAATTGTCGGCATAATTGAGATTTGAACACATTTACCTGTGTTCTCTCTTTTCCGAGAGAGAGAATCACCATGGATCAAGACGAAGTGATAAGGAATTTGCGGTCATGCCTGATATCGTGCAAGGGTGGTATCAAGTTAGAGAATTTAAGGGGTAAATATTATCAATTCTGTTATTACAAAATATACTTAATAATTGTAAACATAGGTTTAAACTTGGATACAATCTGTTGCTAATAACTATTCCTATGTTTCGCCTTATTTGTCTTAATCATTTATTCCAAAAGATTAGCATAATAATTGTCTTTATTTTTTTACAGCGGATTATCGTATGGTGGCAGGAGAACAGTTACCTTTTAAACAATTCGGATATTACTCTGTCGAAGATTTTATACGCGATATACCGGACGTTACAGTGACTAGAAAAAATGGAGAACTTTTCGTGGAAGCTGTACCCTCCAAAACATCGGCGCATCTTACGAAATTGGTCTCGCGGCAGAAGAATGTACGACGAAGAATCCGACCTCAACCTAAAAAGGTAATCATATTAGCGCTTTATGTTTCCTAGAAAATAATTATTGTCACACTATGACTGCGTTCGGTTTGGCGTTTACAGCTCTCATAAGCATCATTTGTTCTTGTTTAACAATTGATAAACAATAAGGATGAAATGATGCTGTGAGCGCTGTAAGCGTCAAAGCGAACGCAGCCTGTATTGACCGCCATAGTATGTGCAGTTAAAAATTGTTGAAAATTAATACTTTGCGCTTATCTTAATATTAAAATTCAAACAATTTAATTATATTTGTGTTATAATTAATTGTACAATTTTTTTTTTAGTGGACTCCGCCCCGACACGCGAGAGGTTTCTCGTCTGGTTTTAAAAGTAATAATTTCAGCGGTGGCCCTCAGCCTACCAGAAATAATTACTTTAGTTCTTCCAATTCCTTTACTAGATCCACGCCCGGCAAGAGTAACTTGTATACAGATTTTACCAGGTATTTACAGCGTCCAAACTTGATTCAATTGTTTATTAAAGTGAAAAACTTTCGGTATCTATAATAGAGTACCGATAAAGTATAGAGATTTAAATTTATTTTTATTTATTTGAGCACTATTCGATATATTGTTTTCTGTTTCTAATTTAATTACAAGTTTTTCGTACAAATTCGGCAAATAGATTAATCGATTGAAATCGTTTAATACATATTGCGTAAAATACAAATAATATTATATATTTGCAAAATATGATTATAAATAATATGAAATATAATGTGTCAGTTTGTCATTTTTTGCAAATAATGTTTCAGACCTGTACCTCTTATGGAAACTATAGTACAGTGCCCGGTAGTCCCGATACCGCTCAATAACTTTAAACAACCGATTTTCGTGCCGACTACACCACCAGGTACCCCCATTAAAGTGAGTGCAGGTTCTGCTTATGAGTTTGAAGTAATTTTTAACTCTTGATGAATTATCATTATTAATCACGCTAATACTTTCAGAGACTGAATGAAGTGACAAATTCCAGTATATCGATTGTTAACCAAAGTGCTACTAATTGTAAGAATAGCAAAGATTTAAGGCTCAACAAAGTATTAAATGACAATACAGCTTTGCCTGTGATAAATCAAAAACCAAAGACTGTGGAACTGAAACCTTCAAAACTAAGCGACAGGCTCAAAATTACTTTTCCTACTGAAACGCCTTTACCACCGACTAATAACTATGACAACGGTAGTACACCTACGCCTGTACCAACTATTTTTGATATTCCGAAGGTAGGAACAGCAATATGATTTATGTATGCTAAAATATTGCCATACAAAATTGATTATAAATAATATGAAATACAATATGTCAATTTTAATCATATTTTGCTATAGATATTACTGTTTATAAACTTAATTGTTTTTTATTTTCTATTTATGTTGTATTACTTAGTTTTTTAGGCTGGATCTACAATGTGCTCTTTGCTTTTTTCTCTCTTTGCGATCGTTTTATCAACAATCGTGTTTCTTGTCATGCGTTTCCTGTCTCTTCCGAAGTTTGTCAACATTTATCTCTGGCAAAAATGAATTAGGATATAAGAGGCAAAAAGGCAAGGGTGGTAAAAAGTGGTAAAAAGCAAGAAACAAAATGCAAAATTACATTGTAGATCCAGCCTAAAAGGATAAGAGGGAGAACAAAAAAAATTCTTTATTTTTCTGAATTCAATCTCGATGGGCTTCGATTAAATTATATACGCGCGAGAGCGAATTTCTTTGGTGAAAGTTTATCACTCTCTTTACAGGTTGCACCGTCATTCGAGATTCCCGATCCTCGGAAAGAGTTAGAGATTCGTGCCAACGTATTAAACTTCCCATCGCCGATTTATAAAATGTATTCAAAGAAGGAGAAAAATTCAGCTAAGATCACCATCTACGCCAGCGTGAAAGTAAATATATCGATCATATATCATTGAAGGATGCAGTTTTCTACATTGATCGATGATTCTCGGTAGGTCGGCACGCATACGTTTCACACGTTCCCAGAGGACGCGGCGTCCGAAGAGGAAGCCGAGAAAATCGCGGCACGCTTGGCTCTGGTGAATCTCGCCAAGGAATCGTCGAGCGCCGAGGTAACGTCGTCGACCGTCGACGTGGAATTGATAAAGAAACGTATTTTGAACGTCATAACCCGGCATCACAGTGGGGTTTTCATGCATCTGCTACCCGAATGTTACAATGAGCAATACGGGGAGACCCTGCCGCACAATTGGCAAGCGATCATCGAGAAATGTGCGGATATAAATCAAGAGAAAGGCGTCGGGGATTCCACGATACTTTGCCTAATCCCTCCGATGAAGGTAATGATATGCGTATGTATTTTATTTGTTTCGGCGATCGAAGTAAGCAATTACATGTATATTCTTATTTATAGCGATCGGAAAGTAACGCCACGCCGGCCAAAAATATTTCCGAGAATACTCTCTTATCTAACAAGAAGATACAATTGAACCCGATTGGGCCGGCAACGCCCAATACGTTACCGGTACCTGAGGCAACCATTTGGCAGGTGTATACCACTCACGTTGTCAGCACCGTCGAAATTTGGGTTCGGCTCGGCGATGAAAATGTGAGTGTTCCGACCGTACCGTTTGTTCATTCGCCTTTTTTTCCGCGATCTAACACTCGTCTCGTTTTTCCTTTTTTTTTTCTAGAATGATTTCGTTGACATGACAAGTGAAATGACCAGCCATTACGATCAAATGACCAAGCCCGTCTCGCCGACGACATGCGTGCAATTCGGTGATTTCTATGCCGTTCTCGAGGAGAACTATTGGCACAGAGTTCAGTGCATAGATTTTAATAACGAGACCGGAATCGCCACGGTTTTCTTCGTCGACGAGGGATACGAGGAGCAATATAAAGCTGACGTTCTGTATCCTCTGGATAAGAGATTCTGCATTCTTCCCTGTCAGGTAATTCTGTCGTCTTATTTAAATTTAACGTTAATCCGATTATACCTAACGTTATCTCACCACGCGCGTTTCTATCTTATATATAGGCCATCAGAGTAGGACTTCAAGGATTGAAGGACTTCCACGACTGCGCTCAGATAGTGGCTGAGATTGAAAATTATCTTCTGGTTGATCAGTTGTTTTACGTGAAGGTGCACGGTATGGATAACGACGAGTACGGCTCGTACGTGACGGTGACTTTTTACGACACCAGCAAAGGCGACGAAGATGTCGACGTGAATCAGACCCTGGTCGACAAGATCTTGGAGAACATGGCTGTCGCACTTAAAACGCATGTAATTATCCTCCGATTTGTCTTTCAACTGCGATTCTCTTTTACCTTCTTACGTACATTCGGTTGATCCTTCGCAGGAGGGGCAATTACTCGAATTGCACGTCACGCACATAGACGAGTCCGGTAAGGTTTACACGCAGCTGAACTCGCTCGCCAGGACTGTATTGAACAATGAGAACATGCTGCAAATGTCGGCGAACAATTCGACGGTGAAGGCGATCAACTTCACGAAAACGTACTTTGCGAAGTGGAATTCGAAGTGGTACAGAGCGAGAGTGACCGACATCCCCGCCGAGCATGAAGTAATGGTATTTCTGATCGACGTCGGTAAAACCGTCCTGATACCGAGAGAAGATCTATTTCACATGGACAGAGTCTCGAAGGCTTTGCAGTGCATCCCTCCGCAGGTACGAGAGAAACTTGTTTTTTTTTTCCGTCGATCTTGAATTTGATGTTTTATTTGATTTTTTAACATATCATGACATTTAATTATTTGTAAAAATCAGGCGATGCAGATCTTCCTACATAACATTGAGCAGTCGAGGTACAACAAGAGGCTCGTGGCAAGATTCCGTGAATTGGTCTCAGATACGGATCTGCTTTTAGCGAGGGTCATCAGGATCAGCGCGTCCGGAATTCCAGTGATGGAGATTTTCAAAAGAGTTTGGCCGAGCAACATGTTGGCTTCGATAAATACGTCGTTGATTTATGACGTCGAGCTGTCGAAGTAAAACTTTTGGCTTATTTTTCTTTTTACAAAGTTTAGACCGTATTTATCTCTAAATGCGTCTTATCTCTTATATCTTTATTTTTCCTATTTTTCATTTTTTCTGCTGTACGATTTTATGGAACTTTTGTACTTTATAATTCCGCACTTAGCTTTTTACAGTACTTTTGTGCTCTTGTAGCTCTATACTAACTTCATAAATTTGACGAAACGAATTTCTTATGTGCAGAGTCAACGAAGATAGCAACAATAATAACAAGTCTAAGAAACGGTTGGAACGCAAGAACCCTCGCGCTACCGAGTCCGTCAGTAAATTGAATCCACCCGATATTTCGGACATCGGCGAGTATTTTGACGTCCACGTCACACTGGTCGCGCATCCAGGACATTTCATCGTTCAACCGTTGAACAATGCGAGCGAATTAAAAGTACGTAAGGAAATCACTTTTTTTTAAACATTTTTTAAAGCGTATAACCTTCGGTTGTCGCTCTTGACAAAGTGGCCCCAGCTTTGGATAATGGATATTTTCAAAACTTCTTTTATTTAAGAATTTTTTTTCAATATTTTTTTCAATATGATGACTTTTTAAATTCTACACAATCAGAATACATTCTACAATGTTCTAACTCTATTTAAGAATTTTTGCGATCCAATTAAACTGTTAGCTTTTAAACGGCAGCCTTTTAAAAATTGATTTGACAAATTTACCCCAAATAAACTTGATTGAAAAAAAAAGGTGTGACAACCGAAGGTTAAATACGTCGAAATTTAATTCATTGATAACGTATATTCTGACGTTGATTTTTCTCGTTTCCAGGAGATGATGCTCGACTTGCGACAGTGCTACGATGCGAACCACGATGTACTTTTGGAGTCTGTCAATGAAGGCAAACTCTACGCGGGAAAGATCGAGAACGATTGGTACAGGTATGCAACATACACTATCGCTTCGCAACGTAAAAGAGATCAATTAGAAACAACAGTCAATAACAATGTTGTATTCACTTCAGAGTATACGTTACTAACATTATCAGCGACAGCGATATATCCGTGTATCTCTGCGACTACGGCGACGTGACGATAATATCTCGCTACAACTTGCAGCCGTTGAAGAGCAAATTCTTGAAATTACCGTATCAGGCGATAAAGGCTAAGCTCGTCGGTAAGAGAAAAGACGTCTTTTTTCTTACAAGCGCGCCTTCAGTTTAAATGCGCTTGCATCACTTCTTTGCAAATTCTAACGATAACTTTTTTTTTTTAACATTAATTAGGAATCGAGCCAATGAATGTCGACTGGTCGGTGGGCGATTGTATCCAATTTAAGGATTTAGTGCTCGACAAGGACTTCGTCTCTGTAATCGAGGAGACAGTGATCGACAAACTCTCGCCGGTCAACGTTACCATGTTGGGTTTACGATTGATTGACGTCAGTACCGAGAGAGACATTTATATTGATAAGCTATTAGTAGACGAGAAGCGTGCCAAATACATTGAAGGATTCAAGAGTCTTTCTTCTTAGCTTGTTACATTAATCGACAGATATAAATATCTATTTTCTTTATGATTTGTGTTACCGTTATCCTTCCACTGACGCCATTGATACTAGACCGCTTGTCCACGAACAACCTGTCGTGGAAGGATAACGCAAGATGATCCTAAGGTTTTACTTTTTCTTTCCTTTTGTAACGGCCTCTCGCATTTGACGCGTTGACGCGTATATGGGCGTCATAAAAGAATAACGAACGATTATTTTAAGTTTTTATGTCAGTGAAATTCGCCTACAGTTAGTTTTGTTATATATGGAAAATTTTATTTTTTCTTAAATACCGAAAGAGATACGAGCAAGATTACATGCGCACAGCAGAATTTATCGAAGGAGCTTTTTCGTATAAAGGCTTGTTTACAGTTATACGCACATATTACGATAGTCTTTCTTAACGTTATGAATTTCAAGTTTTTGTTGTCGTACATAGGCAGAGATGTAATTACTGTTGAACTTGTAACGAAGTGCAGTTTATTTACAGAGAAGTTTTATTATAATTTTGTTGTATTTTTTGAAGACATTAATTTTATGTCGAGAGTATTCTTTAACAACACTATGTTGTATTCCTTTTAATTTTTTTTTGTCGTTTAACTTCGCAGGGTTTATTAAACGAAACAGTATGATTGTCTGACGACAAAAGATTGGCTGTGTATAATATATTAACTAAGTGACAGCATTCCATATGTCTGCAAATAAAAAAATACATATATAATTTCTATATGTTATGTATATTGAGATATATATATGTTAGTACATATATACGCGCATGTGCGCACATACATACAACATACACACATACGTATGTTGAACATTACTTGATTAGTCGCTTCGAATACGTGATCTGACCTGGATTGGAATAATTTACTTTTTTGCCATATTGTAAGCCGTGTCATTAGAAATTCTCACGAATTCTTTATTTGTAACAAATATTTTTATTTTTCTATTGATCTGCAACTAAAGTTATGGAGTAATTAAATAAAGTTTATGTATAATAATTTTTCCACATGTATTTCATTCTTTTACTCATAAAATTAAAATATAACATTTATAAACATTGTAGAATTGTCATACAATATGAAAGATAAGAACATCATCATGTTAATGGGACTAAAACATAAAATCGACTTTAAAGAGAGGCCACCGTAAAAAATAAAAATTAAAATATAAAATTAATAAATATAAAGTTGTCACGCAATATAAATAGAACATCGTCACGTTAATGGGATTGAACTTGAAAAAAAAATCGAATTTGAAAAGGGGCCAGTATAAAAAATGTAAAATTAATGAACATAAAATTGTCATACAATACAGAGGATCGTCATGTTAATGGGATGGAAGTAAAAAAAAAATGAATTGGAAAAGGAGCCAGTATAAAAAATATAATCACTTTGCTGACTTTGCTCGCTCATTTTCTATGACGAATGGAACACTGATCCGTGAGCTATTTAGATATGTCTCTATAAATCCATCGCTTTCAACCGCTTGGACGGAACCCGTCTTCTCGGCTGCGGCAACAACCTCGACATCTTTGTGGAGATTCGACGTTTCCACGACGTAAGTGCCGGCGCTGTCCGGGGAGCTTGCGTGCGACGACTCCGCGGGTGTGTCTGCTTTTTTGAACGGAGAATTGCGAAAATTGAACGAACAATCTGGTGTTGGACTCTTGGAAGTTGTGAAGCTGGACTGAATGTTGTTACCATTCCCGAGGGAACCATCGTGATGGGATCTCGCGGCGCGGTCTTCGAGAGGTATATCTCCTCGAAGAGCGAAGTCGTTGGTCGCGTTGGTCCAGAAGTCGCAGCGCTCGTTCATGCTCGTACTCTGTTTGGCCTCGGCGTTCTTGTTGTCGTAGTACATCGGCAGAGGCACCTTCGAAGCGACGTCTTCGAAGAACATCGAATTCCCGAACAACATCAAGTCGATCTTCTCGATGACGCTGTGCAGTCGGTCCCAGCTCTTCTTTCTCCAGTTCCGCTCCATTTCTCTCGAGCGGTGCGGCATCGTCCACGGTTGTCCGTAATCATTTTCGATTTGTATTACCGTGTGATCGGCTGTTAACTGGCGAGACGGAGGGAGGATTTTTCTCCTCTCGCTCTCGGGTTTATCTCGTCGAGATGGATGACCGCAGCTCGTGGCATTCAGGATCACCTCGTTACCCCGAGGGGTTTGCGACGCGTCTTCCAGAAGATGCAGTCCAACGTCGCCGCCGCTCGTGTTTTTATTGTATCGCAGAACACGAACTGACGCGGGAGTGCCGAATATCGAATACGCCAAGACGTGATCGTACGGATGGTAATCCACGCAGGAGACGATCATCCTGGCCGAGTTACGTCCAGGATTCGTGTACCTAGCTACGTGTTTACCCGTCTCCAAATTCCAGATATTCAATATGGAATCCTCGCTACCGCATATAACGAATCCACCGCAGGGCGATATACAGGCCTTCAATTGTATTCTATAAATAAGAAAAAAAAAAAAGATTTAACAGATCGAATTAATAAACAAAAATTTCAATTAACAATAACAAGTTTGAAGTGTAACAGATTTGGAGATCTATTGAGGTAAAATTACCCAGCAAACGAAAATAAATTGAAATGGATAGAGATGAATTCATTTCGACATTTCCAAATTGGCGCTTCTGATTTTTTGAATCCAGTTGAATCCAAAAATAATATTATATGGACATGAATACATCAGTATTCATTCAACATGATGAATAGCCCATTTTGTATTTCAAAATTTATTTGAATCCAAATATAATATAATATAGGGACATGAATGCATTCCCGGACTCTTAAAGCGCCAATTCTCATAAATTAAAATGAATTGCAATTTTCAATTCATTTGGATTAATTTTCGTTTGCTGAGATTTAAAAGTGAGTAGAATAGAAAAGGCAAATAAAAAAAATACAGGAAAGAATATGAAGTGGACAACAAACTTAAATTAAAACGTAAACGTAATTAAAAGGCACATAATGTAGAAAAAGGAAATAAAAATAAATAGCAAGGAGAAAAAACAATAAAGAAAGGAAATTAATTAACACATGCGAAAAAATGCCGAGAAAAAATAATTGAGAAAAAATGGAAGAAAAAAGGCAATAAGAAAAGAAAGGAATTCAATATTATTAAATGTCTTTATATGTCGCGAGATATATAAAGAAAGTTAATTTCAAGTGCTTGAGAGAACCCGCGAGTTTTGAGAATGCATAAAAAAATATTCATCCAACGTGCCTTTGATTGTTCAGCCGTTTGTACTTCTGCAATACCACACCGGTCGCGAGATCCAGCATTCGCAGGCCATTGTCTCTCGAATGCACGAGGAGTCTGGACTCGAGGGGATGCAGGACGATCGTGTTGATAACGACACCCTCGATCTCGCGGATTTTTATCTTCCGCGAGATGCACCCAATCCTCTTCGACGGTACCCTACTGTCTCTGCGGATCGTCCAGAGGATTATCAATCCCACACTGTCGGCGGTAATTAAGTTACCGTTTTTTTGAAAAACCATCGAATTGACGAAACCCTCGTGGCCTTCCAATTCCTGGTTCAGCTCTCGCTTCTTTGACCTCCTGTCGATCGAATAGCTCGCCCAAATGCGAACTACTCGATCGTAACATCCCGTCGCCACGATCGTCGTATTGCCGGGTCCGTACTTGGCGCAATAAACATACGAAGGATGCGGCAGCATCTGCAATTAATTCGTTTATTGTCACAGATTTTTATAGAAATATTCTATAGAAATATAATTCTATATTTTATAGAAATCTGTTTATTGTACCTGTACGTTGAAAAAACGTATATTTAAAAAACATATGTACTTAATAAAAAATTAATTATAATTAATGTACATATATATGTAGATCCGACTGTGTATTTAATCGAAATTAAATTAAGAGAAGGTCGAGAAACGGTCAAAGCAAGATCTTGGTGCTCACTGATATTTCTGTGTGAATTTTACGTACATATTTCTAGTTCCTAATTGAACTGCGCGCCGTTACTTTCGGTCATAACGCAGCTCTTGTTTGAAACAGAAATAGTATAATATCACATTATTAAATTGATAATCAATTTAATAAATACTGATGTTCACACCGGCATTTAATAAAATCCCCCTACCCCACGATGCGGTATAAAGAATTATTACTTCAGCCAGGATCCTGGCTGAGGTAATATTTTTCGCGACAAATAATTCTTTATATATATCGCATCATGGGGTAGGGGGGATTTTATTAGATACCGGTGAGCATCATCAGTATTTATTAAATTGATTGTCAATTTAATAATGTGATATCACTATTCTGTTTCAAACAAGAGGTGCGTTATGATCGAAAATAACGGCGCGCAGTTCAAGGAACTAGAAATATGTATGTAAAATTCACACAGAAATAGCAGTGAGCACCAAGATCTTGCTTTGACTGTGTTTTTCGGCCTTCTTTCAATTTAATTTTATTATAATTATTAATTAATTATAATTTAAGAAAGGTAGATTAATTTTAACTAAGTGAATAAATATGAATGACAGACCCGTCCTTGAAAGTTTCGTAGCTCTATATAAGACACCTCCATGGATGTTTGTTGAATGTTTAATATTTATATCATCTCCGATTTTGAATGATAAATTCATTCAAAATCCATTATAAATGTCTGTTAGACAATTATTCATAAAAATGTACTTAAAGTCATGCAAATTCAGTACATTATTTAAATTGTTCAATAAAATCTACGTATATTTAGAAAAAAAAATTATATTCTTTTTTAATTTGTAATTATATTTTGTACTACGATTTTTGTAATATAATTTCCAAAGAAACATTTACGCAGTACATTGAATATAAATTGAATGGAGGCACAGAACTACAAATGTCTAATAGACATAGATGTTCAATAAAGAGTTTGAATTTTTACGATAGATGTCTAGAATATTTATTAAAATATTTATTAAAATATTTATTCGTTTTGCGCGGACAGTTACCTCGATGTGCTGCACGATCTGGTTGCGGACATCCCAGATAAGTGCCGTTTGATCCGCGGACGTCGACAACAGGCAATGATCGTCGCTGGACCAGTTTAGAGAGTACACGAAAGTTTTGTGACCGAGGAATCGAACGTGGATCTTGCCGGTTTCGACCTGAAATCGAATCGTAACAATCGATGAACACACCGCGAAACAAACGGCAACAACATTTTCAATCGTATCGAAAAATTAATCTTACGATATTATTATTATCTCTAGAGAAATTTAATTATATCTTTTTCACACTTTTCTTTCATTCTCTTCTCTCTTCTATTAGACGCGATATTTGTTCGCGGTGTCCGCGACATTGACGCACCTCGTATACAACAATCGGGTAATAGTACTCCTCGGAATGGACGCAGGCAAGATACTTGCCGTCGTTGCTGAAGGCGACGTAGAAGCAGCCCCTTTCGCTCACTTCCGTCTCGAACATCTTCTCGTTCGGGATTTTGCATGACTGAGCGGCCAAACGCGCCCATTTAGGAAGAGCTATCGACTCTGACGTACATTTTGAGAGACCCCGGGAGTCGTTTCGCGTCTCATTGTTAAGGAGGCTGTTTATCGGCAGCTTTTGATAGAGCACAGGCTCGAGTTTCGGCGGTGGAACTGATGTCACTGTTACCTGAAGACTGCTGGGATACTTGTCCCTATTGTTTGACTGCCACCAGATGTAAACCTATGTGTGAGACAAAAGCAATAGAGTTTTGCAACATGCGAAAATTGTGCGTAAATCACCCCGAAAAAATCTGCTCTACGGCTTCTATATAGCCCCTCCCCCCAACCCCCCGCTGCGTTAAACGATTTTTACGAAAAAGTAAAAATTGCGAAAGTAAAAAAAAATTCACAAACTTTCTCTTTTGCGCTGTACATCACGTTAAATACGTCATCTATTGCAGTAGCCGATAACATAATGGGACGTCTGTGGCGAACACTTCCTTTACTGATTTACACGATGGACCCAAATTTAAATAGTATAAAATGCCGTCTCTCGACGAAACGGCTCTCTTCAACTTCTAACAAAATTGTCACTAATTGTAAATATGACTGCGTTCACTTTGGCGCTTACGACGCTCATAGCATCACTCTATCCTTTTGTTTATCAAATTAAACAAGCGCTGCGTAACCATATGTATAACCGATCTTCCGTGTCGGCACCTTTGATCACGTGAGCATCTGCCATGTTAACATTTAAAAAATCCAAAGACCGAAAATAGTACCTCATAATTAAGTAATAAAACGGATTCGATACGGTAAATCAATAAATTCAATGTGTTGAGTTGAATAAAGCGTTTTAAGTAGTATTAATTATTTGTATAGAGTGATCACTATAATAGCGTTTTCGGCCCGAGCGGATCTCCTCGTCCAATCAGAAATCTAAAATAGAGCATTAATCGCTATCGGAGTGATACGCAGTAAATACACCGCATGTAACGGCACCCTCATTTTTTCGCGGAGTGATCTTACATCTTGGTTATACTATGACTGTAAGCGCCAAATCGAACACACATATATTGATATATATATGCCTCTCGCCTGAGGAGATGTCATCCCATTTATTTGAAGCGCTTCAAATAAATGCATGCTTTCTCTTTTAACGTCACTGCGTTACTTGGGGAGCTGTAAGCTCTGACCTACTGCCATAAAGACCATTTTTGTCAGAAAATGCAGGTTACACAAAAATGTATACATTTGCTTCTTAAAAATGATAAAACGGGAATTTTCGATATATTCTTACAATTTATATTATCGAACATAAAATTATAGCACGAGAAAACCAATTTATTTCGGTGTACAGCGTGAGAGGAAAATTCATCAATTCAATCATATATTTTGTTTTTGACGTCACGTTAATTCAGCGTGACTGTAGCGAACAATTAGAAATTGTAATTACTTAAAGCGGAAACACGTGCGGAGAAATGTATTTTCCTTCTTTTTTTTTTTTTTTCTTTAAAAAGTGTGTAAAATATCTGAAATTGCGACTTCGAAAACACGGAAATACCGAAGATTTAGTATAATGTGAATACCTCGCACTTTTGTCTTCCGTGTTTTTTAAAGCTCCGTCTGGGTTTATAAAGTTGCAGTCGCACCTTCTTGTCTACATGAAAAATATCATTGACTCCTATAGGCTTGAGGAATGCCCAAGCGATTTTGTTCCAACATCCTTCGTTACCTAAAATAAATTTTGTAAATTAATAATAAATTTTTGGGTTGTAAATTATTACTATTAAATTAAAAATTATAACTAACGAATTATTAGATTTGCTTAATGTCTGCAAGTAAAAAAAAAGTACAAAATTGTGAGAATTCCTAAATAATGCAACGGACATTATTAATAATATTTACAGCCGAATAATTTATTTAATGAATAATTATTTCTTGCTTTCTATTTTCAGTATTAAAACTTTTTTCTTATGTTAATTACTTACTTAATTAAAATAATTAATTCACAGGAAAACCAAGAAAAGAGACTAACGTAAAATTACAATAAAAAAAGGGTATAATTAATTTGCACCGTCATTATTTCCTAAACTAATTGATTAATATAAGATTACTTATAAGATTTAAAAAAAAAACTTGCCAATTTTGTCGTAACTGAGGCTCGCGTCGGCGAAGCTCAGGAGCTCTATCACCTCGAAGAGAATCACCACCTGTTCGTCGTCCCCGTGTTTCATAATCGCGTTGAAGTCATGCTCGAAGATGAGCTCCTCTTCCCAGACCGGGATCATCGACCTATTTTTCTTGAAGTCGAACTTGCCGGTGATCAACGGCTGAAGATACCGGCCGCCGTTCTCCGTCGTGCTCTTCAGGTACGAGCCCGTGCGAGCGTCCACGATATGAACCCTGACCATCGGTCGCCTCACGCTCACGTAATCGGCCTCAAGCACGTCCGCCCGGTGAATCGTCACGGAGATAAACTTCATCTCTTTCTCTTCCTTCTCCGTCGCCGCCTCCCTTTCCTGCCTTATACGTTTCTTTTTCCTCTTCTTTCTGGCCCTCGCGTTCGCCTCCGCCGCGGTTAATATCGAATTCGCATCCCTCGCGGACGAGCTGGCGAACACGTCCTCGCCCTTCTTCTTGGACGATCGCTCTGCCCTCCTCGACGATCGATCGCGTGTCATCTCCGATTTGGATTTTCGGCTGCTCGAGGCTCGCTCCTCGGAGGCGGTCGAGCTCGATCGAACGTCGGTGATCCTCCTCAGGGGACTCCTCACCGACGAGTCGAGTTCCCCAACGCTGTTGCTTCGACTACCCGAGGATCTCGCTTTCGAGGAACGGCCGTCGCTGTCCGCCGCGAGACGCTCGCTCGTCGTCGCCGCTTCCCGCCGATGCTTTCTCGAAGAGCCACCGGACGTGATCTCTGCAGCCTGATCGTCCGCATCCTCGATGTTCGAGCGGTCGCTCATCCTCCTCATTTCGATCTTGGTGCTCTCCCGATTGTGATCGGTCTCGATTCGCAGCACCTCGTCCTCGTTGTCGGACACGAACGCCGGATTGTCGAAGAGGAGAGCGTCGCTGCGTCGCAGGTTCCGCGGCGCCGGGACCGGCGTTTTGCGTGCTTCGTCGATCAACGGGGACGCGTCGTCGCTCGTCTCGGGCAACCGGATCACGCTGGCGTCCTTGGACCAGCGTTTCCGCGGCGGCCTCTTCGGGTCCGCTTCCGTCTCGCTCGTCACGTTCGCCACGGTGCTCCACTGCTTCCTGCGCCGCGGCTTCTCCTCGAGAGGCTCGTTCCTCCCCCTCGGCGTCTCGAATTCCTCTATCAGATCCAATGACTCCACCATCAAATCATCGTGCTTGGAGATCTCCTTCGAGGAACTCCTGCGATCGGACGAGCGATTCCGAGGGCCTTCGCTCGCTCGTGAGGACGGTTTGGAGTTTTGCGAGGCTCGTTCGGCCGGTCGTTTAGTCGCCGTGTTGTCCGAAAGTTCGATCGCGAGATTGCTCTTATCGTCTCGTTGCTGATGCTGTCGGCTGCCCGTTGTTGTGCTTTCGCCTCCATTGTGAACGTCCACGACGACGTTCATCGTCGTCTTCGGCGGCATCGCTTCCTCCGTCGACTCCTCGAAGAAGGAGGACACGTTGCGCGATCTCCTCAATCTCCTGCCCCTCGTGGACTCGGCGGACTTGGCCATCTCCGCGGTGACTTCGGGCCTCTTTTTAAACGTCGAGCTAAGAGAAAGAGGGTCGCTCGCGAGAGAACATCGCGTGTGCTCCACTTGTGCGAGCCGATCGATCATGAAACTTGCGAATTCACTCGACGTGATACCATCGCAACCCTGAAGGAAAATAATTCTGTCCTCATTGTAATCCCCATTAATATTATTCACGTTACATCACGTGTAAACTTTACTCGCGACACATTAATATACTGCGCTAACTACCCGTTGACCGTCATGTGGGGAGAACCAGCGCGCGTTACCAGCGTTACTGACAGACGGCACACACCAGGTGTGGGAGTGCACTTGATTACGTTCACCGGTGCCATGGATCGATCGATATCGCCATGAACGACGGCGATGACCACGAATTCAGAACTCGTTCAAACCCGCTTTTATATACGCATCTCCTCAATTTCTATACGCAAGCAAATCCTCTGCATTTCATCTACAAAATGAATATTTATATAATAAAATGAAATGAGATAAAAAATAACTATTATTGCGAATGTGCATCTTAATGCTTCGCTCGAGAATTATTTTCATCAGTTTTTCCTTGGAATGTATGCTCCATATAATCGGTATGTAGTAAGGATCAACTTTGTTCTGTAATAAAAATTAAATTTCTACGATTTATAACTGCGACGTTATGGATTTTCGTCTTTCATATTTTTCTGATTCGAAACGCAGCTCGTCTTTCAATTCCAAATCCGAAAAACTTTGTGCAATCGCATAAAAAAATCTGCACTATCCATGTTTTCGATTTTGTCTCTTCAAATATTAGATAAATTTATAAACTTTCTATATATATATTATATATTTTCTCTACTCAAAATGCAAGATATGTATATTCACAGAACTCGAGAGGAAGTAAAAGTTTCCTGAAAAGGCAAAGTGCCAAAAAAGGAAACAATAGGTTCGGATATTGAAGGTGAATCATGTGACAGCTGACAGTATTCTTAACGGTAAGTTTCGCTTTAGAATGTGCTAAAAGAGGAAAAGTGAGAGGGGAAAATAAAGAATAGACTTTTTCTGCACAAACCTGGTGAAATTTGCGGAACCATCGAGAAGCAATTGTCTAGCCATTGATGCGTGTTTCCAGTTCTATCAAATTAGCCATTTTCCCAATGTCCATCGCTGAATTTTATTGTCATATTCGTGACTATCCGTAGAAAAACTATTGCAATTTAGGAGAAAAACTTTTCGACTCTCTCACGGATTACATTAATTATTCCATATCATTTCATTATTCAGTAAACAATAGTAAACTAAAGTTTTAATAGTAAGAAAAAAAGAAAGAAAGGAAGAAGAAAAAAAAAGAAAAATAAAGTGTAATTTGAAAGAAGATTTATTTAATAATTGTTTAATAATTAAAAGTTCCAATATACAAAATTTAATCAATTGCATTGCAATTTTTTTTACATTTGTAATAAATACTTTAAATACTACTAATTGTATAGTATAATCAAATATAACTTCAAAAGAATCATGACTATTGTTCGATGCCAGATTCTTTTTTTACTGATTCAGACCATAATAAGTTTGAAGCACCCTGACAGCTTCCCCGAGTTTGGTTTTCAGAATCACGGGGTCATGTATCATAGAAATCAACGCACCTATCGAATTGATGTCTAGCAGAATATCAGTGAGCTTGTGAGGAAAAAAATTCGGATACATGTTAAAAATCAGCGGATACAAATGTTGTCCTATTATCTTCCTTTGTTTCTGCCGCGACAAAGTGAATAAATATGTTGGATCAAGTATATTTAACTGCGAATTCTGCGGTGCAGAGTACATCGTGTATGCCCTTCAAAAAAAAAAAAAAAACTTTTTTGAGAAGTGAATTAACGATTGATACGTGTGCGTACAACACAAAATAAATAAATATATATAAAAAAATAGATATAACAATTTTAAGTCATTGCAGACATTTATTCAAAAAAATATATCATTATTTATTTCAGTGAACAAAAAACATCAGTTGTTGCAATCTTCCTATATTTTTACTTTTCAATTTTTATCCTAACTGTCTCTGTGTTAATTTTATTTTCGCGATTTTTATTTGGTCTTTTCGAAATACATATTTTTTAAAATTCCACTGATTTTGTTATCTGATAAAGACTCTGTGCGGATTCAGTATAACCAACAAAACTTTAAATTAATATATCTTTACTTAATTAAAGTTAACGTAATTTTTTTCTCATTTCCATCGAAATTTGAGAAATAAAATTGTGTAACTTAAAATCATGTAAATTTGTGAAAAACATTTGTTAAACAATTTTTCAACAAGGCTATCTAGAGATTTGGTGTATAATTGAAAAAAAAATGTTCAGCTTTGGGCCCGCGCGCGAATATCGATTAGGGTCAAATTAGAAGTTCCGCATAATCAAAGTAACAAAGGACAGAGAACAGAGAACAAGAATTTCAACTTATTAGAAACACTTGTGTAATACACGTTATTCATTGTTCCTTGTTCTTTTGACTGTGCGAAGCCTCTCGCGGTACAATCAAACGAAATGATAAAATAGAAGACCATATTTTTCTTATTCACAATTTTCCGCTATATTGCTAGGTTCCGACTTGTTAAAAATAGAACGCGATTTGGCACATTAACACTCACCTGAAGTTTAACTGCAGAGAAACAGAAGAAAATTAGAAATACGGCAGGAAATGTTTCTGCTAAACGTATGTTCAAACGAATGACTTAAATTCGTACGCCAAGCATTAAGAAAGATAGGGAAGAGAATACAAAAAAGAACTTCCTTCATCCTATATTATCCTAAGCACCTCCTACGCTCCTATCTCTGCCAATGCCTGAAAACGAAAATAAAAAAGAGGAGAGTCAAGATCGTGGAGGGATGAAGGAAAAAAGATGAGAAAAAAGGGGAAGCGCAAGAAAAGTAGGAAAAAATTGAAAAAAAATAAAATGGAAAAAGCAAGTAGTAACTTAATGTTGTCGGTATTACAATGGAATGCATAAAAAAATAGACTGTTTTTGCATTTATATATTTTTGCATTTTTATCATTAATATTACTGTTAATATTTTTTTTAACAGCAACATTAACATTAAAAATGCAAAAATATTAATTTCGACATGTGTTTGATCTTCGATTGTTTTAATGAAATATTTTCTCTCGGTTTATTTTTTATAATGCACAGTGATAATTCAGCTGCGGTAGACCAAAATATAATTATTTGTAATTAATATACATTATCATTAACTTACATATAATTAGTTTAACTTATAATTCCGTTCTGCATCACGTTGTTATTCAGTTCAACGGTATTTGCCTCCGCCTGCCGTGTTAATTCCTGTATAATAATAATAATCAGTATTTAAAAATGCATCTCTATTCGCGCTCGGATTTGATTAGATATCCTTGAGCGGTGGAAAATCCCCTTACCGCATTAATCATATTTTCGTAATCCTGTTCGCATTGCACTATCAGTGCGTTCTTCAAGCCGCCGGAAGAATCCTTGGAATCTTCTCGATCATCTGTTTTCGGAGAGGCATCGGTGAAATCCGACTCGCCGTGCATCTTCAGGGTTTTCATTTTCAATCGTTGTTCCCGGTTTTTCGCTTCTATCACCTTCTCGCGGCGCGTTTCACGATCGAAAAGCTAAGTAAATGAATAATATTACCATATCGAATTACATAATGCCAAAAGTGATAACTCGCGCTTTTTTTTTTACATACATTGAGATAAATTAGAAATAAATTATTCCTTTCGCTCATTATATTATAGTTTATAAAGGTGAGTTTTCTAAAAATTTATTTTTAAAAATATATTTAAAAAATTCGTAATTATATATAATTAAAAAATGATAAAGAATATAATTATTATCATTATTAATTAGATGTTATTAGAGACTAATGTAATAAAATAAAATATAGCGCTTTTGTTCTTTTTTTACATTTCTGCTAATAGACAAAAAATATATTTTTGTATCAATCTAATGTTTACCGCGGTTAATAGCAATTTATCATTCTTTTGATTTATCGTCAAAGCTTCCGAAAATTCGAGCAGATAAGTCGAACCCTTTTTATTCGCCACTGCAGCCAGCTGGCCCTGCTCGTGCGGTCGTAAACAGGTCAGGCTTTCGTCGCAGACCTTTGAAAAAATTATATATCGTTAAAACTTGTTATCGGTAAGCGATAGCCTAATTAGATACCTTCACGCTGAGAACCGGGCTGTCCTGCTGAATTAAAAAATCCCACACATCTAAAGTCCCATCAACTTTGATTAGATAATACACGGAATAACGCGTAGCGCTCCACGCACCACCCGTTAAGAAATCTCGATGACCGCTGAAAAAATTTGACATTGATCGAAGCAAGATCGAAGGTCTACTAAGCAAATTTCCCGTTATCCCGTTATCCCGTTATGATTTTTGAGCTTACGGTGTCCATGCTATACAGGATTCTCTGCAATCTTCCGACCAGATTCTCGAGGTCCAATCACCGATCGTTAAGAAGTTTTTTACGAACGTTGGATTTCTCTCCAGACTTATAACCGGCCCGTACTGAGCTCTAAATCTAGTCGCAATCTTTTCACCGGGCGTCTTACCTTTGCGGTTTCCTGATATTACAATACCTAAAGGACAAAACATATTTTCATTATTATTACATAATCTGTTTCTTTTTTTCTCATAAAAGTGTATAATTAAATTCGTTATTAAATATATATAATTATTCCTTTAGTTCAGGATACAGAATTCTATTTAGGATTTTATATGCCCCGTATTTATTAGATATGCACGTGCGTATTTTATTATTTATTTTATATATATGTATTTTATAAATTTTTGAGATATTTTTCAATAAGTAAAATTATTCCAAATTTTGATATAAATAGATTATCTGACATGGACTTTATGCAATAATTATAACGATTGTATTTTTATATGTTATTTATAAAATTATTTGAGCGAATGATTTTTCTTTTCTCTCCTGTGTGCAGATTTCTTGTGACTTCGATATCAAATGTTTTATTTATGAAGCAATCAAAAAATTTTTTTAAAAAATAGTTTTATAATACTCAAATCTTTTTTACTTTGAAATTTAATGGAGTGATATCTTGCGCAATATATGTATTCGACACGAAATCGTGTCGAAGTATGATTATTCATAAAATTATATCTAAACATTTGTTCAACAATGAGCGAATTATTATACCGTTTTCCAAGCCGCACATGAAACGCGTCCCCATCGAAGGTTCGAATTGAAGAGCCGAGATACCAGTAGCTTTGTCCACGTTCTGATTTTCCGGCTTCGACAAATCTATTATCAAATTTTCCGTGGGAACCTGCAGCTTTCTGGTGTCCCACCACTTTATCTACAAGCAAACGAATATGTATCCCGATGCAGACTCATATGTCGATACGATAATCGCGCTACCTCGGCGCGAGATTACACCTGTCCGTCTTTCGAGGCGCTGAAAAACTCGGTGCCGGTCTTGGAATTAATCCACAGGGTCTTATCACAGGGATCTCTGTGGCTAAACTCAACCGAGCTAAGGTCTACCATTTCTGATCCTCTTCTAATGTCCCAGCATGCGACCTGCCCAGTTATCAGACCGCCTATCAAGGTGTTGCTGTCCTTAGGATTGTACTCCAACGTCAAGATCGGGCAAAAGGGTTTTAGCGTTATATAAGGATTATTCGGGTTCTCTGCGGAGTAGCTTTTCGTAAATATACCAGTCAGCAGTCATCTACAATACGATCGTGATCACGTTTATACTCAACGCACCTACTTCCCAAATGTACGACGTGTAATTGTTGCTGGAGGTTTTTTTGAAATCGACGTTGCAATAGCTGGCCGCAAAGCGATTACCCTGGTCCGGCGACCAGGACAGATGGGTGATCTGCCGTTTCATCGTTAAAGGATCGCGGTAAACGTTCACCGTGCGCGAGAATGCTCGCTGTACCAACGGCGCCGCCTCCACGTCGGCGAAGTACTCTTCGTAAATGTTGCAAGCGTTGTTTTGCAAAATGCAATGCTCCATTGACTTGAAGAAAAGAACGTTCCGTACAAGGCAGTAATTTTAAGAGAACCGATAAAATAGATGGTATTTACAGGTAGCAGCTGGAGCATCGTGTGAATATACAATTCATCTTTCTCGATCTTACGTCTATATCTAACTGTCTGCTCGAGATCCTTCATGTTTATGTCCTTTGGCCAGCCGCCCTCGTAATGAAACATTTTGTTATCCTTATACGTTGCAGTGGTCGTATTTACCTGAAAAAAAAAAATACACGCGCTGTCCATATAATAACTTCGTATTTTTTTTTCCCCCACAAATGTCGCTTATTGTTAGACAAATATTTGTACCTCGTGGACCGCGTAAACTTTACTGCATTGCGTAGCGTGCGTCACAGGATCCATTCTAACGTAATTACTCATCAACGCCGGATTCGACTTAATTTCGACTTCTACCTTGTCGAAGTCGGAGAAGTTGCATCTCTTCCCGAGATGCATTCTCTTCTTCGCATAGGCATACTCCGCATCCATTATGTACAGGGATAACTCAAATTATATGTCGGGAAATAGAGAAATAGAAGATACACTCGGTTTTACAACTAGAATATCAAAATTTTATTTTCCACACTTATTAAGAAATACCTGATGGCACAAAATATGGCGATTGTTATTTAGAGCAATAATGTCTTGTTATAATTAAAAAAAAAATACATCTCTGCACAGTTTGCGGTCTGTACTTTCGCGAAAAGTGAACAGTCAATTAGGCAGTATAAGGTACAAGCACAGTGGTTACTATAGTAACAGAGAATACGCCGTGGTGTGACACCAGCGAGACTCAGTCATCGGTCCTCACTAAAACCGGCACTTCGGGATTTAAACCTTGATGGAGAATAAATATTGTTTTATATGCTTGCGCGTACTCCGCGCTCGCAGGATCGACGTTAGACTTCACGGCGGGTATCACGTCGCGTAAAATAATTTGGATCAACGTATTTAGATATTTGGTGCGCTGCAATTTTTGTATAGCCTCGCACAACGACAACAATTGCTTCTTATTACAGTATCTTATGTTGTACGCTTTGGAAAAATCTGCAACAAAATTCAAACCGAAATTGAGAGCAGCGTAATTAGATTAATTAAATTTTAAGATTTAAAGCTGTGATCACCATAAAATGTGAATTTACTTTTAAAGTGTTCCATACAGGAAATATTCCAAATGCCGTTCGACATCCAGCCTCTTGTCAAAGAAAGATCGCATGGATCTTTTGTGATCGGTTTTGCAATATTTCTAATACTGTTGAAAGAGGCTCCTAATTCAGCAGAAGCGATCTTCGTCTCATTGAATTGGCTCGAATCTAAATCTTCAGTAAAAATCCTACTAAATGCAGTTATCGATTTTGCTGCCTTATTAAGCAAGTGAGGCTCTTCTAATAAATAATCTTGCATAGTTATATTCTGCAACAATTAATAAAAAATTTATAAAGAACAGTATAAGAGATCGATCGTGTTTTAAGAACACGCCCCTCCTCCCTGCATTTACATTACTTACCATCGCTTCGAATTCTTTCAGAAAGGTATCGACCGATTTCTTGTGTCTGTCCTCTTTAGTATCGCTCAAGTCGTCTGCGTCAGTTTTTAAAAACGCGTGGTAAGTTCTCAGTACTTTAACAATTTCATTCGGCACGTTAAAATACCGGAGCGCTTCCACTACGTCTATCGCTACAATCTGTTCTTGAACGGATTGACGTAAATTATTTCCGTGTAACGGACAATCGTTCTTAATGTTCTCGGGAAGAGAAGTCGAAGTACTCTCGGTAGATTGTCGTGTCATTTTGTGTATCAAATCGCTTAATTCAGCAGCCGATGCCTCGGGCGGTAAAAACTTTCTTGACTGAAATAAAAATAAAACAAAATATGCGCAAATGAAATAAAATTTACATTCAATATTTTTCAATTGTATCTAATAATATCGTATCATTATTGCTGCATACATTTTGCGGAGTATCACGATTATCATCAGCTTGTAGTTTATTTGCCGAACTTATCTTCTTAACTTTTAATTTATTCTCCAATATAAAATTCTTTCCTTTCTGTGGCTTGCCTGCAATCTTTGCAGAAGACGACACCTTCGATTGCGTCTTCTCGACTGTGTCACATCGCCTTGTACCGCCGACAGACTTTCTCGCCGCGACGGAAGTTTCCTTGTCGTTCTGAAGTGCATTTGATCTTTTACAGTCGAGGCTTTTCGCGGCGTTTGATTTTTGCATCGTAATATTGCTCTTCGATACTTTTTTGCGATCGCTAGTCGACGCAGGATTGGACAGATAAATATTTTCAAGCGTGTCCTTCCTCAAGGCTTTCTTTCTCGACGCTACGTTAAGCTTCAATTTTTCCCGCAACTCTTGCGCGAGAACGATCGCTCTGCCTATTCCCGCGGCGATCTCCTCAGCTTCGTTTTCGTTCTATTAATTAATGACGAATAAATAAAAATAAAATTCATGTCAACTTACACGCGCTTAGACAGAACATAAGCTATGAGCAAAAATATATAAATAAATCGATTTACTTTTTTACAATTACAGATGCTTTCGTCGGCTCGTCTTTCAACGAGGGTTTTCACCTGCCACGGTTTTAAAACGAATGCCGCTTCGTCACAGTCCCTTCTTAATATTTCTTTAACTTCCTCCGTGATTAGAAAAGCGTCGTGCAACAGTTCGTACAAATCTGACAAATTCAACGTACGGTCCATTATTCCCGGACGTCTACGATCCTAATGAAAGAAATACAAGCAAAACGTTATCAGAAAAAAAGGGAAATTAACGAGGCAGATAAAAATAGAAAGTTCACGATGGCCACTCAAAGCGTTAATTAACGTACGCATATACATAGTTCTCAAGGCGACAAGATAGCCATAAATACCTGTTTACGTGAAATGCAAACAGTTGTGTAACCATCCGTCACTTTTGTTCACTTGTGCAAACACGTTATAATTCGTTCGAGCTACCGAACACAAGTTGAACACGCGAGCTTGATAATTCACACGTGTAGAAAAAATGTTAAAAATTATATTTATATATACAGTGTATAGTATACAGCATACATAATATGTATACATAGTAATGGTAATAAAAAATAGACGTAAACCAGAATAGAATATATATAATCTTTATATATTAAGAATAATTATATATATGTATATATATATACATTAATATATGTATATATATATTATTGACTGAAACTCTAGAAAATTAGCGACGAAGAAATATATATATATAAAAAATGAAAAGTAAATTATATATTATATATTTTATATATATATTTCTCTTTTCATTTTTTTTCACAAATGTGTCTTATCGCTTATTTTCTACGGTTTCAGTCAGTGATATATAATATATATATATTATACATATATATATAATATATATATATAATTTAGTTTTAATTTTTTTTGTTTTCACAATATGTGCCTCATCGCTAATTTCCTAAAGTTTCAGTCAATTAAAACTAGAAGAACATTGAAACGGCTGCCTACCCTAACTATGTATATCCGAAACCATCACCCGCCGTGACAGTCTTAAATGCTGTAAATTGGAAATGTGTTTATAAACCACTAGTTCTCACAGGATGTTTTCGAAGACTCGTTTTTCGTTTCGCTTGCGCACGCAACGAGCAACGAATCGCTCACCTGCCGATAAAATAAGAGTCCTTATAAAAATAATGAGTAACTTCAAAACATTCTTAGATTTAATGATTCACCTTCCCCTCCCACGTTTCACAACGGGGAATGATAAACGCGCGAAACCATGATCGTTAAACGCCGCAGTTTTCGAAGGGCGGAAAAGTCACGTCAAGTCGGCATACGTAACACAAAAGGGCGTAATCATATTAGAAATGTGAATTCATATTTCTGATATTCGTGTTATTATCGCATTAAAATTAACGCATTAAACGCCTCAAGTACAATTGTAGAGTCTAATTCTCTGTTCACATAACTTGCACTTTCGCTATCAAGATAAAATGGCTCTATGTATCACGGAAGTACGCCACTTGACCTGTGCGACGATAACCCCTGCGGAAAACCGCGAGCGCGAATTCTTAATTACAAATTGTACACTGCGACAATTATCTAAAATTAATTCCTAAAGTAACAAATGTATGAGGATGCACCATCGAGTACTCTTTTTGTTGTTGTTGTTATCTTTATAAGAAATTAGAATTATTTCTGTAAAGCGGGAAATTGTGGAGTTTCATTGACTGGATGCAGGAAATACAACAGACGAGTCAGTGTTGATTTTACTTCTTATAATAATGATTATGTGCGCGTTTACAACTCGTCCTTCCTTGGCACATCATCGTCCTCGTCCTCTTCCTGAGCCTGCGTGGCGAAATAAATAATGTAGCATAGTTGTAACATAGAAGGATTATGCCTCATAAAATTCTAGAAGCGATGCTTATAGCGATTTATAGCTATCTTTTGGACCAAAATTTTGACCATTAATTATTTTTCAATTAAAAATAATTCATTGACATACCTCTTCTGGAGTTTCGCCATACACTCCGCCGCTTTCGATAAATTTGGAAAGACCTTCGAGCGACCTCTCGCCGCTGTATTCCACAGCCTACAGTAAAAAGTCGAAATCAACGTATTTTAAACGTATAAGTACGGATAATAAGAGTTCAATAGACGTAAGAAAGCGTTCGTACCTCATTCGTCTCCTTCTTGTAGAGCGTGAGCGTGGGGAAGCTGGTGATCTTTATGTCCTCCAACTCGTTAGCGGTGGCATCCATCTTCGCGATCACCAGCTTGTCGTTGTCCTTGTACTTTTCGCCAAGCTGAAATCAAACGCGTTTCGATTAATTAACGAACCTACATACACATTACCGATTACCTGATATTACAATACGAGCTCCCACGAAAAGGAAACGTACTTGGTCGTAAATGGGCGCTAGCTGCTGACAGTGACCGCACCAAGGTGCGTAGAATTCAACGAGAACATCCTTCTCCTTGTTGAAGGCAATCTCGTGGAAGTTCGTGCCGACGAGAACCTTAACCGGGCTCTTGTCCCAGTCCTCCGGCAGGTCTTGCGTAAGCAAGTGTCGCTTCAGCTTGCCCTCCATGAAAGCGGTGACGAATTCCAGGACATTCTCGTTGGTAAGCTCTGGATTATCGGGCTTGTACTTAGCCATGTCCTGTTCGAGCTTGATAAGCCGCATAGCGGGTACATCGTCCTTCTTCAGACCGAAGAATTCTAAGATACGCTCGTGATCGGTTTCATCACAGTCGATTGTCACAAACAGAACCTGCGCACAGAGATTTCGAAGCACATTATTGGTATGTTCCTTTTGAAGACAGTGCATGCACCGTTCATCTTTTCTCTTGTTTTCTCCAACGTGAAGAGAAAAAGAGGGAAAATGTAAGAAAGTGCATGCGCCGTCTTCAAAAAGAACACACCGTATATCGACTCTTTTCCGAAATAATATAAACGAGACGCGTGAAACTTTCGTTTACCTCGCCACGGTATTTCTTCGCCGGCTCGTGAATTCCTTCGACGTATTTCTCAAAGTGGCCGGCCTCCTTACTGAGGAAAACCAACAAGTGGCTCTTGATGTCCCCGCTGAAGATCTTCTGCGCCGAGTCCTGGTTGAATTCGACAACCAGAGGCAACGAATACACGGTGATGAAGTTCTGCACAGATGTGGCCGTAAGCTCTCCGTCAAAGACAGCCTTACCTTCGTCGAACTGCAAAGAGTAGAATCAGATTTGAGGTCGTGGTTTGAAGAGGTAAAAATCAATTTGATCGACGATTGCTTTAATATCAGTACAATCCACATAAACGTACCTTCTTAAATAACACGATCTTTCCATCTTCAATTCCGTACTCGCTGAAAACTTCGTCGGCGCTCGTAATACCGAATATATGATCGTCCATCGCGCTACCAACTTCCAAGAACACCTTGGCGGCTTCACTCTCAACGTCCTAATAAAGTCGTTACATATGTAAATAAACAGGTAAGCCGTTACAACAGATATTATTGCGACAGTTTAAAATGCAAGAGATCCAGTGTCAGTGTTGGTAGAAAAAAATAGTGAATAGCTGACACGAGACAAGAGAGACGCAAGAAGGGAGATTGCGATCGTACCTTGAAGAATCCGACGACGACGACTTTGTGCGCGTCGAGAAGTGCCTTAGCTTCGTCGACCGTGGGCAGGTCTTTGGCAGGCGGGCCAGTCTTCTTGAGCAGCCAGTTTACAATCTCCTCGGCCTGACGGCCACCGGTATACTCGATCGGGGTGCCTTTACGGTAAAACTTGAGAGTGGGGTATCCTCTGACCATGTGTTTCTCAGTGAGCGCCGACTCGACTGTCGCGTCTATCTTGCCCAATTTGATCGGCGAGTTAGTCTCCTCCAATTTCTTTGCCGCCTTAGCGTATTCGGGTGCCAATGCTTTGCAGTGTCCGCACCAAGGGGCATCTACGAGGAATGCAATCAAGCAATATAAATATTATTTATCGCGGCTTAGAAATGTTTACTAACAGTAAGATAATCAACTACTTATAAAAACATGATTGTAACGTTTTCTTTCGCAATTAAATTTTTCAATATAATTTTCAATATCGTATATAATTTAATTTTTGAAATGTAAATTATTTTCTTAAGATTGATACAGTTAATTAGATCTATAAAGCATTAATTGCGACTTCCTATATCGGGAAGTAAAATCTATATAAGACTCCGAAAGAGTGAAAACCGTTCAATTTAATAAAATAAAATAACGATAAAAAAAATACTAGAAAACCGTACGATGGTTTTGTAGAGTATTGCAATCATTAAAAGCGTATTTGCGATATTTCAAAAATGTGTTCATTAACATGGACTTATTATTGATGTACCATATGGTCGCTTGAGCGGCTTAAGTGTAGCTCAAAGAGGCAGATAACAATCTAAAATTGCTAAATACATGCCGAACATATCAAATTCCGATTCTGAATGAAAGAACGCGATTAATTTTGTCTTTCAATGTACACGTCGATTTCGAATATTTATATATGAATGCTGCTTCGGTGATCGTCATCATTGTCATCGTCATCAACATCATAATCATTATAACGTGACGGTCGGTCGTGCAATTGTTGCGCGTTTGGATGACGCGTACGACCGCGTATAACGGTAAAAAAAAACGCCAAGAAGCAAGAGCCGTCTCATAACGCCGAAGCTGCACTCTGCTTGCACGATCAGCACCCGAGCGAGACGAACGAGCGGAGAGAGAGAGAGAGAGAGAGAGAGAGGGAGAGGGAAGATACACAGAAAGATCAAAGGATAGAAAAATATTAGAAACGAGGTTTGCGGGGGAGGTCGTGAGGAGGCGATCGAAGGACGGATAAATAGATATCGATAAATAAATATAGACGTGCGTCTTCGAAGACACACGTCGTCCAAATATGGATCTTCTCGGAGCGTTTTTTTTTTCCTCGCACCTTTATTTTCCTTGTGACACGCGACCTGCAGGTGAGCGCACCAGGTTCTCTCGTCACATACTCCGAATTCAATTCGGTCCCTGGTAGAGGCAAAGGGGAGCAGGGAGGGGCCGCGTAAAAAATAATGATAGAATCATATATCTCGATATCATCGCCGAAAAATGTCGCGTGTCGCCAACCGGTCGCCCCCTCCCCTCCCCCCCGTCGTCGTCATCATCGTCGTCGTCTCTCTCTCTCTCTCCTCGAGGACGCTCGAGTGATGACGTGTAACGGGGGGGCCTCGCATCTGGCGGAACCGGCGAACCTGCCGAGCGCGCGTCTCGCGGCAGACGAGCAACGCGGACTTCGACAAAATTCCTCCTCCGAGCCTCGTCGGTTTTATCGCGACGACCCTTTTCCCCGCGCTGACCCTACATCCTCGCCCACCGGAGTCGCGTGGGCCGGGTACAGAAAGTGCAGGCGTGGTGGTGCAGCTCCTCGCGGAAAAGCAACAGATACAATTCGCGGCGTACCTTACACAAATACGAGCTCCACGAGCGCATCGCACGCGGGACGATCCGGTCGGAGCGTGCTCCGCGGGGAACGCCGAGCGAAGCGAACGGGATTGGGATATACTCACAGAACTCGAGGAGCACATAGTCGTTGTCCTGGATGACGCTGTCAAAGTTGTCCTTGGTGACCACGAGGACCCCGTCCTCGACGTCGATCTTGGCGAGGGAGGTCGCGGCCAGGCAGAGAGCCGCCAAACAAAATACACCGATGGATCTCATGCTGATCGGAATTTCTCACTCTTCTTTTTTTCTCCTCTTTTTCGGTCTGCTCCGTGTGTGTGTGTGTGTCTCTCTCTCCCTCTCTCACTCTCTTTCGCGTTTCCCTGCTGGTCGAAGCGCACGGCCTGCCTGACTGGGGACGAAGACGACGTGTCGTCGGCGGACGAGGGTTATAAGAAACCAGGAAGACACACCGTCCGCGGGGAGAACGCGTGATGAATGAGCGGACGCGACGCTGCGTCGGCGGGCCGTAGTGCGGTAGAGGCTCTCTCGCGCTGGCTCCAGTTGGCTCCGCGGCCTCATACGCGTGGCACCGTCCTCATCGTGGGGATCGCTGATTGGCTGGACTCCCCCGATCCGCGCGGCCGCGCCGCGCCGCGCGTGTCGTCCTCTCCTTCCGCGGCGGCGGCGGCGGCGGCAGCGCGCATTTACCCACCGTCGCGCCGTCGCCGACCGCGATAGATAAGTCCATCAGCTGCGATTTTGATAGACGATACGCTGCAGCGAATCGCGCGGCGACACACACAAACGCCGACGACGATGAAAATACGAATCGCGTTTCAATTGGGCGACGGATCCTCAATTTTGACCTCGCAAACTCGGCCGAAATCAATCAGCGACGATCATTGCCGGACGAGTTACCGTACGACGATTAGCGTGCAAAACCGTTTCGGAGCGGGTCGAATATCGCCTCGATTTTTACATTATTCTTCATTATATCGTTGCATCGATCAACACTTAAATATTGCTCGAGCCAATCATTCAGTTATATTCGTATTCAAATTGATAATAATTTTACAATTATATATATATTGACGATTTATCGACGGAAGCGTGATGTAAGGCGACACGACATGTCTTTTTAAATCGACGGGGGGAGCCGCCGGGCAGCCGCGTGACCTCGCCGCGCTCGCGCCGCTCGCGGTTGTCAAAATCACATGGCGTCGCAATGGCGCCGTGCAGTGGAGCAATATTGGCGATTTGACGATGCGATCGAAGGCAGGAGAGGCGCACGGGCGTAAAATCCGCGGGATCTGCCGCAGACGTCACAGAGGCCGGCGGATTAAATTTTCAAAATGACTTCGATCTCAATTCGACCGAGCTAACGCGACGGATCATAACATTTCATAACCGCAACTTCCGCCGCAACGTTCGTGCCACGTCCAGTTGCACGGTTGAATAAACGGCAGAATGACAGGCACAGCTGACGAGGATGCCGTGTGTACCAAGATCACGCGGTCGAGGAAACGACGCAACGATTGTCCGCTCAAAACGCGATCCAAGGTGCGAAGGCAAAAGCCACTTCCAATGGATTCAGATCAGCGATTAGCGTTTTTTTTTTTATGTCATTCAAGAATACACATATTGTGATTCGAATTTAACGTCACGTGTTCCTGAAATTAGAATAATTGACCCGGGTTTTTTTTTTGCGTGAACAATCACCTGACGATATTTTACAATTAAAAGTCACTGTTATTAATTACATACTTTATATTATTGTTTTACAATTTATTAATATATACCTATTTGAGATCGTTATGTATATAGATCATTTTATATGTATAGATTTATTACTCAATATTTTTTTTTTAAAGTAGGAAAAATAAAAAGAATTTAAGGTACAGATCACTAAAGAAAATTACTACTGTGACTGAGCTCCCCTTTCTCGCTGTTGAGGTATAAAAATTATCCCAGGTGACTAATTCATCCCGGATTAAGATATAAGAAAATATATAATTTTTTAAAACAAAACCTGGATAATGCAGATTTAACAATAATCAATGCGTGAGAATTAAATTTTCAAAGTTTTATTCTCGTATGAATATTTTTTATTATTATCATTTTGATATCGTAAAATGCGTATCCTTTGCTTGTTTCTAAATAATTATAGAGATCTTATACAATCAGGGAATTATAAATTGAGCAAAAAAAAATTGTTCTTTTAAATGACGTAATTTAACTGTTGAAGATTCAACGTAGATTACTCAATACAGTAATAATATACAGGGCAACGTGATGGCATAAGATTATGGATTATGTAATTGACGTGTTAAGACACAAATTCCCGAAATAAATGCAGTCACGGGGCTGTAATATTGGCCGGTCGCAACGCGCTTCATTATCGTGCGGCAAGCGTGATACGGAAGTCGATTCCTGATTTATTTTCCGCGCGTGTTAATCGTAATCTCCGATGTACGGCTCGAGACGTTATGTTAGTGCTTCGCTGAATCTTTATTATTAATATATGTGTATATATATTGCAAATGAATTAATACGCGTTACGAGTGAGATATAATGAGATATAATGATATCATATATATTGTGTATGCATTAAATATAATTAATTAGTAATGAAAAACTGTACGATGGCTTAATAAATCTATAAGTCCATAATACGACTAATTAATAATTACGTAATATCAAAACACTAATTTAAAAAGATACGTTAATATCTGTTTGTCTGTTAAGACGGCGATGCACAAGGTAACGTCGGAGATATATACGGAAAATAATCATATCTCTGAGAAGCTCAACAATGGCAGTAAGTTACGCTTAGCGATGATATAAATTTTATTTGGACGATATAAATAAGACTTACAAGGGAACCTTTTAATGAAACGTTGTACACTTATAAGGTTACGTAAATAGATGAAGTTAAAAATTATCAGCTGTGATGCTAAAAATGATTTGGAGGGGTGAAATCACCCCTTATATGTAAAGCAGTTTTCAATTCTTTTCATTATATCTCGAGAAGATATTTTATTCAAGATACCAAAAAATGTTTTATACAAACATTTTACAGTAAAATTACCTCCATTTATTTACGTTATAAGTGTTTTTAAAAAATGATTATTTTAATAACATTTTTTAAAAATAATTATTTTTAAAAAGGATTATTAACGTAAATAAATAGAGATAATTTTGCTGTAAGATTTTTGTACAAAATATCTTGAACAGTTTTCGAAATAACAAAAAAAGTTAAATATTGCTTTACTATAAAAGGTGATTTCAAAACCGCAACTTTTTCTCACAGCAACTGATATTTTATAAATTCAACTGTTTACGTAACTTATACATATGTATGTACATTAAAATCAGAACTTGATAATTTTGTTATAAAAATAGTTATATATGTCACACATATCGATTGAATATCATTTTATTGTTTACCATTACAAAATGCTATCATTTTCACAAAGTGTAAAGCGATATACATTTAACTTTTTCTGTTATATCTCAAAAACTATTCAAGTTATAAAAAAATGTTTTATAACTTGAACGAAAAAAAACTGAAAACTGCTTTAAATATAAGTGGTAATTTCACCCCTTCAAACCTTTTTTTTTAGCACCAATTAATACTTTTTAATGTCATCTATTTACGTAAGTTATAAGTGTACGAAGTTTGATCATTAAAAGCAGAATTGAACACTGCAAGGTTCCCTTGTTAGTGCACGTTCCTGACGTACAGCAATTGGTTTCAGATGCGGTGACTAAATTCGCTTTTAAATGCCCGTCTTACATGATCGAGGCAGAATCCACAGGCGGGACACTAAATTGTGACAGTGACGACGACCTCGATGTCGATAGAGACAGAGAAGGAGCAATTCTAATAGGTACAGAATTCAATTATCGTCTATTCTCTCTCGTGGTGTATATAAACATATTCAGTAAATTGTATTTGTACAGAGCATAGCGTATCTACGGACCTCAATTTAGTCGGTTTGCAAGTGTGGCGAGCCGCTCTCCTATTAGCCGACTACATCCTGTCGCATCCGGATTTGTTTAGAAATCAAATAATTCTAGAATTAGGATCTGGAGTCGGTCTGACCGGCATCGTAGCGAGCTACTTAGCTAAGGAAGTCATTTGCACCGGTAATAATGCAAATACACATTTCGAAAATACCCGAAAATCCTATTGAAAGCCTCAGTCCCATTTGTCCGAATATTCCAGATATCAACGTCGGCGGTATATTGAATCTAATCGAACGGAATTTTCTGAGAAACCGTACGTACGTTAGATCGAGCTATCGCGTCGAGGAGGTGAATTTTTTGAACTTGGACTGGCCGAAAAAGTTGGAGGAGAGATTGCAGAGCGCAAACGTCGTATTGGCCGCGGACGGTAAACTTAGCAATTCCGTAAAATTTCAACAAGTGTAAAATAGAGATGATAAATAATTCTTTTTTTTTTTGGCGGGATTCGTAGTGATTTACGATGACAAAATCACGGATGGGTTTGTCCGCACGTTGACGAAACTTCTGTACACGAAAAAGAAAAAGACAATTTACGTCGCTCTCGAGAAAAGATACGTCTTCACAGTCGCCGATTTTGACACCACCGCTCCGATGTACGAAGAATTTTTACGTTGCGTCGAAAAGTACAAAATGAATTGGTCTGTAGATTACATAAGTATAGATTTTCCTCGCTACTTCAGATATGATAGAGTCAAACATTTGGTTTTAATGAAGATACAGAACAATACGAGATCTGTTGCATATACATAGCGAAGTTTTTTTTTTTAATTAGGTACGCAAATAATACATTACGACAACACGCGTAATACGTTATCGTAATTATTTATAAAATATTTATACGTGATTTATTACAAAGAGCAAGGGAACTTTTTGCCACATTCAAGAAATCAAAATCTCTGTAGACGTATATACTTAACAAAATACAGTATCACAATTGCGTAAGTTGTAAAAAAGATAATAGTTAATATTTCACGAACATTTACGTTTATCATTGTATACACGAAACAAATAATAAAAATTTAGCACAATTTCTCCAAACAGAAATTAGCTTAAACTACAAAATCTAGAAAATCAATTCCTTTTAATCAAATCCTTAGATTTACTTCGTGTAACGAGTAAGAAACGATAATCTAAGGATCAAATAAAAGGAAAAATACGAACATACTTGGAGTGTGATAAAAATGACAGCTATATAATTATATATTTCTCACGTCCACATATTTATTTCGTCATTTAATTTCCTATTTACAACCTACCATGGATTAATATTATTGGACAGTGAATTGGAAGTCGCTCGAAGAGAACGATAATTCCGTTGAACTTAAATGCTCCGGCGGCATGTCCTAAGATTAAAAAATTTCATTAGACTACCTACAATATAAAGAAGACAGTATGTATATAGGAATGTAAGCGCTTCTTCGAACGACCACGGCAGTAGAAGTTGTATATGTTACACGCAATTTTATAACATTTCTAATATGATATACTAGAGGTCTGAATCGCTCGCGAAGGAACGACGATCATTGAAGGAGAATTAACGCGAGATTGATGAATCTCATTAATTAAAACAGAATCGTGATAATAAATTTCGCAAAATTTAGAAATAACCATGAAATAACAATATTCGACATTTCTCTTAAGTATCGTCGACCGTCGCTCTGCAAATTCAGGCCTACGCTTGGTTTGGTAAAAGGCACTTTCACTCTACCGATCCGTCTCGATGTAGAAAATGTAAAGTATAATTTACAGCCTCACAGATTTTTTTATACTTTTTTTTTTTATGCATGTGTATATATATCTGTGTGCATATATGTTATACATCGTATACATAATTATTATATAATGTATATAATTTATATATATATATATACATATAAAATTTATATATATTATGTATATACATGATATATGCACTTGAAATCTCATAAATTGTAACCGGTTGTACCGTAGTATTTTTTTTTCATCATTCAGCATATTTTCGAAAATGATTAAATTCAGGGCGATAAAAAGTTCATAAAGTTTAGCTACGAGATCAATCCGCTTGTAAAGTATGCGTCTGTAGTATGCGCTTCGCTATATAAAAGAATAATCTATCGGATGTAGAAAGACGTATCGTGGTCGCGAGTTACCTCGCAAGCAGAACGTAGAACTAGAAATATTTTTTTTTTTACTCTTTATTCATGCCAAAGTTATCTTCAGAAATTAATTTTTAAATCTTCTAAGATTTAAATTTGTTCTTCATTTTTCTGTTGCGATACAAAATTACGCGTGACAATCTAATTTTGCGTTACTTTCTGGAATAGCTGCTTCTGGACCATCACGAGTTTTGCAGATCAGTTGAGCAGATATACCAGACTATCGGAAATGTTACGCAAATAAGAGCTTTTCAAATTGATGAAATAATAGAAAAAAAACCGCCACTGACTAGAAAAAAAGAAATGAAGAATCAGTATGATAAAATTAGCATTGAATTGAAGAAATGCTTGCATTTCGTACCTTATTGTTCGCGACCGGAATCGACACAGAGGCGAGCAGAATAAAATTGTTCGCCAGACACCTCAATCTTCCTCCTTAATTATCTCCCTTCTCAATAATAATCAATCTTATAAGCTTTAAATTAAATCTCATAGAAATTGATCTAACAGTTAAAACAATAATTATCCGGTTTATTTAATAATGTCAATTGCATAATCATCTATATTACTTGCAACAAATACTGTACAAAAAAAAAAAGAAGATGCAATTTGCATTAAAAATGCGCGAAATCGATCTTACTACTACTGATGAGTAGCTACTGGAAGCTACCTCCGTTCGGGGACGGTTTCTGGCTTAGCGGTTGCGGCGATGCTATTGTTGTTCGTCGCCAGTATCGCGTCCAGGACCAATTTTCGCTGGTGGTACTCGATGACACTCGCGCTTCCGCCGGCTTGTGTGTGACGATCTATATATAACCCGGCGCAGCGGAGTCGCGTCGCGCTGCTGCTCTCCTCGTCTCACTTGCACTACAGAGTTTGTACTTTTTGCCGATAGATTGTTCGAGATCGCCTGCTCGATGGCGTACTTGTACCTTCTTCATTTGGACGCACCGTTGGGCGTAAACTTGCACACACGATGCTCCGCATCGGGGAGAGAATTGCACCGCCGAGAAGAAGATGATAGAGAAGGGCGGGATATTTTCGCGCCGACAGCGGTATTCTGGCATCGAACTATTGTGAATATATGACAGTCTTGCTCCTCGATGACGATGGCAACGTCGGCACATGTCATTTATGACTTGGCTTCTTCGCGCTTACGTACTGACATTGTTGTGCATACTGTTGTGCATCGCGCTTTTGACGTTCTGCGAGTTGGGCGAGCCCAACGGCATGGAGGCGGTCGTCGTCTTTCGCCTGGCGTTCGACGACGTGCCCGAGGAGCCGTCGTTGCCGAAGTTGATCTTACTGCCGCCCGTCATACCGGCGGCCTTGGACGCGTCGTGCATAATTTGCGCGTGCGCGCCCGCGGACCGCCAGTGCTCCACCTGAGCCTCGTGCGATTTCTGCAGCACCTTACGCACGTCCCCGTCCTCGCCGCCCTCCTTCATGATCTCCTGCAGCTTCTGTATGGTCTGGTACAATATCACCGGACTGATCAAGCCGAAATCGAACAGACTGCACATGTGCAATACGAAGTTGCGGTAGAGGTTCTTCATGAGCAACTCTTTCCCCTTAGTCTCTAAGAACATTTGGCAAGCTAGTGGTATCTGGCAGTCTCCTACGTATCCATGCTTCATCACATGCAGGTTCCACATCTTCATCAGCTCCTTCTCACCCTCGTTCACATCCGTAAAGTCATCGATCATCATCATTGTCTTTGTTTGCAGCCACTTAGGATCGTTCTCGCCCTCGGAATCGATATCCATCTCTTTGGGGTATATAGGCAGGCAGGTCACGGTGTGATGATACAGTCTAAAGGATTACGCATGTCCAGTTTATTATGCAAAAAATTATTTGTACTATGACCATCGTGATAATTGCAACTATTGTCCGTGAAGCCTCACCTGTTGTGGCCGGTGATATAAGGCCTCTGACTTTCAAACTCATTCTCGTCAAGTTCCAGAAACTCAGACAGGCTTGGTTTCGTTCTCTTCGGACGGCACACCAGGATGTTCGTCACGCTCGTACGTCTGGTTGGTCCTGTCCTTGAAAAAGGTATACTAGACGGTTGTGAAATTAATTCGTGAGGACTACCTGCATACGAACCATCATAGCATTCGTTTATTGCTACGTCAATTCGGGCACCTTGTGGAATTGGCTGAAAAAGAGAAACATTCACAATCAATTAATGTCACAGCATGAAAGATGAGTTTCTTTTATTTTATCTGATCAAATCAATTGTTTCTTTCTCTTCTATTGCGTGATTATCATACATCACACATGAAAAGCAATAAACATCCATGAAAAGTATTGTAGTTTCAAAATCTCTTTTAGAAAAGACATTACTTATTTTAGTAAGATTTCATGAAAAAACATAGAATTCAAATATGTACATAGATGAAAATTTTGCTAGTAACTTGCTTAGAAGTTGCAACTATATATTGTCTAAGAAGTATCTACAAGTATTCATTGAAATATTTATTGATAAAGTAGCATTGAAAACGATAATTTCCTGGAAATATCCAAAGATGTACTTTTCACTGACATTTGCTGATATATGTAAGTGTGCGTGTATGTGTGTGTAAATGTACAAATTGTACGAAATACAAATAATGTAAATGTGAATCGTGCTTACCACGTATGTGAATGTGAACCGCGAATGACACAGCTTCAAATGCTTTAGAAGCGAGTACAGTTTGCCGCAGTCTAACGAGCACCAGGGGCAGTGTAGGTCTTCGCAGGCCTCTGTCTGCTGCCGGCTGTTATTGTTGTACAAAAATTGATAGACTATCTGCTGAGTTCCGTTAGCGTTAGCGTCCACCTTCTCGTTGGAGATGCTCATTCTCGACGAGGGCGTTAGCGGACTAGGCGTTGGCAGTGTCGCGTTATTATTATTATTTGTGCTATTGTTATTGTGATTTACGGAAGAGGAACGTTCGAAACCAGCTGAAAAGGTAACGGTTAAACATTTAAAGCGACGCTCGTTTTTTGCAGTGGATACAAGTGTGTGCATGTATATATCGCAGCAGCATCTCGTTCGCACAATAACTACGAGAACTGACCGTTGGCCGATCGATTCTCTTTATTGTCACCGCTCGGTATCTGAGGTATCGGCATCGGCATCGGCCTGTCCACCAGGCCGTTGCTCGGTTCCGTCGTCCAACTGAGCCGGAACTTTAACGTCGGTCCCTGCCTGAACATGTCGAACGGTTCGCAGTCTTTGATGTCGGCCACAGCCTCCCAAGAGCTGTGCTTCTTAGGGCTGGACCTAACATTGGTCTGTACCTCCTGCAAACCTAACTCGTACTCGCCGTCCGTCAACAGGCACCGATTGTGCTTGTCGTACACAGTGAGCTCCGAGCCGTACTGCTTCACATCCTCGCCGTTTATCTTTATCGTGCCCGTTGACGATTTACGACGCTTTTGAGCTGGTTCTGTAAGAAGACACACGGTGTGAAATACCAGAATATCCTGCGAGATCCAGTTACCTTCGCGACTTCTTACACCTCGTCTTACACTCACCTTCTAAATCACAGTTAGTTATAAGGCAGCCATTGTTAGACATGCAGTAAACCCTGAGCAAAAGCATATAAGTCTTCGCTATGTGACCATTATTTAAGCTGAAAGATTCATTGGGTATGGAAATCGTGGGCGCCTTCGGCGGAGGCTGACTCTCGGAAGGATTGATCGGGACCTCGCTCGTACCGACTGAAACCTAAACGAACGCCATACATCATCAATCAAGGGTCGGTCCAGCGGAAAATCAGACTGTACCAATTCTTGGCACTACTCGGTTAAAATTAACCGACAGCAAATACTTACTTGCATGATAGGCGAGCTAACGTCCTTTCTTTTCTTGTGACAGATTTTCAACAATAATGTTTCCACTTTGACAGGATCCTGCGATACTTCAACTACAATTCATAATACATCACAATCTTAACAAGTACATCACCATTATATGCAAACGTGCATCTCGCCAGTAATATCGTCCAAGTTTTTCGGAAACAGGAAAAAAAATTGCGAGAACGATAATCGGGACATACCTCTTTTATCGTAAAATCCTAAAAACGTAAGAGTCATGTATCCGCGGACACCGAGATTCTGTTCGTGTTTCTTTTTCGCTATTAACTTGTCCAGAATCGTATCGACCTTAAATCCCCGCCGTGACTTGTGACTTCTGGACATACGTTGCCGCATATACGTTAGGTTTCTATACAGAAATATTGGCTAAAAAAAAAACGTCAAAATTTTAATTGTACATCCAGAGAAAATTGATAGTGCATGTGCTTCACAAATAATTTGAATTTTCTTGCAATTATAACTTATACTTAAATTTTATACCTACCATGCGTACAAATTTTGCATACAGAAATTTTGAAAAAGCATATGAAAATATAAATCATCGATTGTGGCAGCTCCAAAGGAAGTAGGAACATATCTTAACTTACCTTCATCAAATGCTTCGTATCGTTATGATTATTTACTTTCGTATATTACGTTAGAAACTTTTGATACACCAGATTTTCAAAATTATACACACGTATAACAAAAAAAAAAAGACGGACAAAATGTAATTAACGCTTTGAGGGCAACGCAAATTAAAATTGTAAGCAAAGGACGGAAAGAAAATATTGTCTACTCACTGAAATTTGGTTTCTTGTACGGAGGAACCGGTAAATCTGCGTTGGTTCTGAAAAAATAAAATATTAAAGTTACATACCGAAACGAATAAGTTAAAATAACAGTACTATTTATATATTATTATAACAGAAATTATATTCCAAACAAATGGTGCTCTTCTCTTCGTAACTTCTCCAATAATTTTTACGCTAATTTGCGATTTTGTCATATATATGTATATAAATTAATTAAACATATCATTTGTAATTAAATTGATTTCTTTAATTTATTATACGTTTTAATTTTGACAAAGTAACTCGAATAACAAACAAAAAGGAAAAATAAGTTTATACAGAATGCATACCGAAACCTTGTTTTTTGAAAATTCCCGGATTTTTCAGGTATTTTTATTCAAAATTTTTAATAAGATTAGAAAATTTCTTAATACGACTTTAAAATAAAGTGGAGTGCAAGCAACGCAAATTATATATTGTAATTTAGTAGAAGACAGGAATTCCGCGAGTCTATATCAATTTTTTATAATTGGAAACACATAGAATAGTATAAGGAAAGCTCATTATAATCAGTGAACTACTCTTTTCTACTGAATATTATCTTCTACTGTCATTCTAATTTTTTTTTTATAAAAGCCCGCGAGACGCACGAGAACATACATAAATGTGCACTTATACTATACTTATTACTAATTTTTAACATTTTGCATTAAGAAACAATGTTTTAGGAAAGAAACAGAATTTAGATTTAAAAATAAAATTTCATTGAAAATCTGTTTAAAAAAAAATCTGAAAATTCTAAGTTCTTCATGTAATAAACATCTTGTTATATAAAATAACTGACAATTACAAATATAAATTATATAATATATATTTATAAGTTATATCATATTATAATTAAAAAATTTATAAATTATATCATTTATAAATTTAAATCATAAAAAATAATTAAAATTAGAAAAAAATGTTCTCATATTATATGAATGTCTATTTCTTAATTTTGCAAAAATTAAGCTTGCTATATAATTTAACAGTTCTACACTTGATCTTGTCAGAAATAAAATTTTATTTGTGGCCATATTAGTACGGAATATATTCCCCAGATGGCCTCGAGACTGATCGGCTTACTCGAATTTAAAAAACATCTCTTGGGATTTAAAGGTAGCACGACCGAGGCAAAAGTCGATCCTTCGATCAGGTATCAAAATGGGAGGTGATGAACGGGTTTTGACTCAAAATTGTTTGAGACGCCTGCACCCTAGTTGTTACGACGTTAGCAGGTTAAACCCCTCTGATCCCACATTTTTTCTTTTTTCGATATCATAAAATTAACAACTCTGGGGATCTGTCACGGATTTGCTTGCAAAAATAAAGTTTATGCACACGCATCTCATTATCATCTGGGAAAAAGAAATTGAAATCCGTGGATATGCAATATGACAAATAAACGTGCGTCTGCATATCTTTGTTCGTCAAGTCTCATCTCTCCGTCAATACGATTGTAATTACAATAAAATATTCAGCTCGCGTCTGAACTCTTCTCCGATTCTCTGCAGGGCATAAAAAAAAAGTTTCTTTTTTTTCTCTTCGCGAAGTAAGCGGGCAGCGAGGCCCGCCTGAGCCCGCCTAGCGTATACAAGGATATCCTTTCCTTTAGGAGGAGAAGGAAAACGCTCGCACGACATCCGGGGATCGCGTGCGCGCGGTCCGACGACCGCAAGCGGGAAGCGCGAGGCACGATGACAGGTGTCCGCGCGCTTTGGGAAGCGGCGGAGGGCGCGGAGAGTCCGCCGAGGTAAGCGAAGCGACGCGCGCCACGGCGGGCGACCGAGTTGACTCGCGGCGGATAGGGTTAGGTCCGGTCCGCGACGGCGGCGGCGGCGGCGGCCCGTGGTGGCGGCGAGATAACGGCAGGCCACCGACTCCGATCGCGCTCCGACACGTTCGCCGGGGGCGGGCGGCGTCGCGCGCCCTCCGCGGTTAGGGACCGTCCGGGGGAGGGAGAGAGGGGAGGAGAGGGGGGGTATCGACGCGGGGGTGACCGGAGTCACGGATCGCTTATCACGACACGGGGGGCGACGGCGACGCGGCGCGTCGGCCCCGATAGGCGACAAGGCAGGTAAAGGCCGCGCGCACCGCGGAGCGCCGCGGAGGAGGCCGCGAAAGGCCCGCGCGCGCTCCGCGATGTGCCGTTGATGTGTGGTGTTTTCTCGCTTACTTTCGAAGGCCTGCAGAAACAGCTCGTGGTCGGCCTGGATCTGATCCATACGAGGTCCCTTCTGCCCGTCGAGATCCTTCTCCCGCTTCTTCGGCGGCATTTTCGCGCGGCGGTCCTCCGTACACGACGAGCGCTTCCCCCCGCGTTAGCCACCAACTTCTCTCTCTCTCGTGGGTCGCGCGAAAGTTGCGACGCGACAACGACAACACCCGCCCCGCGCGAAAACTGCGTGCGGCGCTCCGGCGGCGGCCACCACCACGGGCGACTGGCGCGCCCTCTCGCGCGGCGCCGCGCGCCATCCCGTGCATTTCCCGTCGTCGGCCGCGCGGCTGCGCATCGTCGCGGACGCGTCGACGTTGAGACGGACGGACGGACGAGCCTCGCCGGCCGCCGCGCGCGTTATCGCGACGCGATTCGCGACACCTCGGGCGGCTCGAGCGGAATCACGAATCGCCAATGTGACAGTGTTCCTTTTCTTTTCGTTGCCATGTATATATCTATTTCTATCAATGTAAGTTATAACTTTAATCTCGGTTTAATTTACATTTTTATCTCTTTCTAAATTCTAAGAATCGGGAAAAAAATAACTAAAAGTTTAATCTACATTGCATGGTGGAAATGGACAGTATTCGTGTTTCTGGCTACGCGCGACACACGCGGCAGTTATTCTATCATTTTTGTTTCTTTTTTTTTGCGATTTTTGCAGGGAAAAGCGAGCGAGATAATCAAAGCGGCGCGTCTCCCGCGAAGCGTGTCTATTTAAAGTTGTCCAAACAGCTGACCGTAATGGCTCCACAATAGCGCGATATTTATCACGCGCGGCACGCGATATCCAATGAACGCTTCCGATTGAGAACATTAAAGCTGTATTGGATATTGAAATTGGATGGCCACAATTCAGGGTTTGTACGAACAGGTAGAGCGCGAATTCTTCTCGCGCAACAAGAAGCTAATCAAATTACCGCTTTTTTAACAAATAAAAATTAATTGGCTTCTGCGTCGCTTTTTGCCACGCGCGCCGCGGCGGCAAGCCATTTCGACGTCTTGCCTGCATTGAGATTGTTTCAGTCTTGTTTTTTTTTTGTATGTGTGTGCAGTATGTGAGCCAAGATGGCCGCGATAATCGCGTGAACGCAGCGAGGTCCCTTTCGTTTGATCTCCGAGGGGGCGAAAGGCAAAATTTTGTACGATTAAATATTTCGAGCCGCGATACGGGACGGGTCGTACGGCAACCGAGATTCCTTGGATCTTGGAAGTTGGTGTGAGCGCGTGCTGTGAGTCAGAATGACCGAGGAAGCGCAACAATCCGAGGGTGCTGCGCAGAACGACAGCTGCTCCGTGCAGAATGACACACAGACCAATTCGACGGATGTCGCGAAAACTAGGGATAACAAAAAAGAAAAATGTCGCCCGATAACGAAGGTTCGTTCGAACCAACATTCATAAACAGATACGAATTTCTCCCGTCGCGACGGGCAATCTCCTTTTGTCGGCTTTCCCGATGTTCTCTCACGACAGTGCGAAACGCGGCATAGGTTAGGCTGAATGATTGACAACGAGATTGGAACCGGCCGGAGTTTTACTAGTTTAGGCGAAATCTCTTGTAGATACGCGAGATGATTTCGGATTCGAGCGAAAGATATGCTGTGTACGCGCTCAATGAACGTTCTTTAAACGAAGATCTGACTTTCTTAAAATTTTCACGGCTCTTTAAAAATTAATACATATCGCATGTACCACTCGGGTGTCACCTCTCTAGTTTCGATCGAGGACTCCGCTGATTACTTTGAATTTTTATGATCCTTTTTTTTATAAAAAAATAGCATTATACAGAGATGACGGTGGTACAAATCTTATGACGTAAAAAAATGGCAATCAACTGGAATTTTCTTCAGTTTTACAAAGAAATATCCGGCTTGATTCTTTTTTTTTATTTTTTTTAATTTTTTTTATTTTTTTAATTTTTTTATAGAAAAATATAAATTGTGTCGAATATTTGCACTTTTTCTTTTTCCTTTTAAGATTATATTTGCTCTTTGGTCGAATACTAGAACGGATAATTATGTTATTATAAGATATTTTATATAATATTGATATATTTTATACATATATGACATATGTATATATAAACTGTTGTTTGTATTAATGATGCTTTTGAGAATAAAAAGTGGTATTTATACTTATGTAACAATGTATATGATATAATAATCAATCTCTTAATGTTGAAGTTAGATGTTATCGAAGAAAACAAATGTAAACATACTATGATATGTTTACACATGTTGCATTTTTACCTGGAATTATCTTATATCTTTTAAATTATTTTTTTTTTATTTTAAATTATAATTTTGTTTATACATGTTGCATTTTTATCTGGAGTTATTTTATATCTTTTAAATTATAATATTTTTAAATTTTTAAATATAATTTTGTTTGTACATTACATTTCTAATGGAATAATCTTGTATTTTTTAAACTATAATTTCTCTATGTGGCTAATATTGTAATGTACAATTAATATTGTTTGTATAACGAAGTATATAATATTTTGTTGACTGGGATTAGGTCGTGATCAGAAGACTGCCTCCAACAATGACTCAAGATCAATTCTTAGAGCAAGTCTCTCCGCTGCCGGAACACGACTACATGTACTTCGTGAAGGCCGACATGTCCCTTGGCCAGTTCTCGTTTTCTCGCGCCTATATTAACTTTATGGAGCAACAAGACATCTTCATGTTTCGGGAGAAGTTCGACAATTACGTCTTCCTGGATTCCAAAGGGGTGGAGTATCCCGCAGTAGTGGAATTTGCGCCCTTTCAAAGATTACCAAAGAAACGAGTAGGCAAGAAGAAGGATCTCAAATGCGGCACCATCGAGAGCGACTCGTATTACATAAGCTTCCTAGAGAATTTAAAGAATCAAGAGCTCGATCCAAGTGTAGCCCAATCGAAAACTGAGTTTTCTTATCAACCGTCAGACAGTGAGTGCTTCTCATTCTGTATATTTTTTCAAATAAAGAGATGTTACGAATGAACGTACAAGTGCGAGAGAGAGAGGTTTTAAAATTATGATTAATTGTACAGATACAGTGAAGAAGATTACAACAACTCCGTTGCTCGAGTATTTGAAACTTCGTAAACAAGAGAAGCAACGTCTTAGGGACGAGAAGCGTGAGGAAAGGCGACGTAGGGACATAGAACGACGGAGGATCAAAGACGATCCTGTTATCTCTAAGGTAGAGTAATCGAACTTGATATATCTTAAATGGCAACAAATACAGTATGGAATATGTAGGACAATTATTTTGCTTTTGTAATTATCCAACTCCATCAAGACAGTTTTTTTTTTACTACACATTTTCATTCTTTCATTCTTTACTGTATTTGCTGATACCAAATATTTTCGTCTGCAGCATGTATATAACGCGGAAGACGAACAATCACCCAACTGTCCCACACCTCGTCCCGCAAATGTCAAATTTGAAGACGCGTTTTTTCAATGCTTTGTCGAAAGCGCAAGCGCATATAAATACGGAGAAGAGATTTTTCTCAATAGATTTCTATGCAAACGTGCGCAAGGAAAATTGTATAAGACCCATGAAAGATTTTACGAGCACATTAGAAAGGCAAAACCGATTAGGAGCATGTTTGATGTCAAGAAACAATATTTAACTGGCAGTAATCGCAAAACTTATTTCTGTTTCCACAAAGGCGATCATGTAAGAAAACGTTCTTCACGTTTCTTCTTTAGCGAAAGAAAAAAAATTTGTTATATTGTTTTTCGTTTAAATCGTTTATCACGAGACACGATTGTGGCTCGTTCTTTAATAAGGATAGAATGTATATGAGATTTCTTTTCATTTGCGCTAGTAACCGCGAATTTCTTCCTGATCTTGACCTGCGAAAAAACTGTGTGGTACAATATTTACGCCGAAAGAATCGTATGCTACTTTAAAGTGGCGTGTAAAAAGAATGGGCTCAGGATTTAACTTAGAATTGAAGCCACTGCTGCATCGTGAGACATACGGACATACGAAAGATCGATGCTGACATTTGACGAGCTGGTTTGGTGATGGTTTTCGTGAAAGGATTGTTTATCGCATATTTGTCGCAATTAATTTTATATTTACAATTTTCTCGAAACTTTATGTAATTTCATACATTGTCATTTTGTAATTATTTTAATCTGTATCTAATTTTTGAAAAGAATTTTTTACAAAGTCTGACTTATGTATTTGATAATTGTGGTCTGGATTTTGTTGATAAGACGAATTCGCAAACGCTATGACGAAGAAATATGATAGGCAAAACAGCAAAAAGTCTGTAAGACAATAAAAGGCGATAAGTACATTAAAAAAACAGTGGTCGACATCAGATGAATTATTTTGGTTCAATTTTCGTGTTAATGTCCACTATCTCCTTTTTGCTATTTGCCTTGCATCTTGATAACAAACCGTTAAGAGGACAATGATATGAAAATCGGGCCGAAATGTTTATCTGATACCAAGTACAATATGAGAAGGTCAAGTCGTTGCATTCTTTTAATCGTTGCATTAAAATAATAGCATACAAATAATAGAGTAGATGTACAGTTTATTAATTTTTTTTTACAGGTTTTAAGAAATCCAGATTTGGACAAAGAGTCGAGCAAAGACGATAAGGAGAATAAAGAGGAGAGAGATAAGCTCTCGCCGAAGGAGTTGAAAAATAGAAATAAAAGAGACGAGAAGATACGAGAGAAATCGACGCGAGATCGAGAAATTAAACCTATCATTAAGGGATATAGAGAGCGTGTTGATGATAGAAATAAGGATAGAGAAATCAAGCAACGACGTTACGAGGAGAAAAAACCTTACGGAAGACGTGACGAAAGAGAGGACAGAAGAATCGATCTGCGCGACGACAGGAGGTATGAGGTGAAGGAAGAGTTTAGGGAGTCCAGAGACAGAGGAAAGGTGGAGGAAAGACGCGGAAAGAGTTACGAGAAGATGAGACAGGAGAAGAAGAAGTTGGCGGAAACGAAAAGACAGATTGCCGATGCCAACGGGGACGACACAAATCCAAAGAAACCGAAGGAGGAGCAAGATGTCGTGCAAGAGAAGGAAAATGAAAGTGGCAAGGAGTCTGTGTACAACGGTGATGATTTGAGTCATGGTAAAGACAACGAATGCGAGCAACGTAACACTGCCGAGGACAGGATAACGATGGACAGCACGGTACAAAATTACCGGGATAGTGTGGAAGAGGGGAACGGTTCGGTCAATGCAGGTGAAAAAAATTTATTCGTATAATTGTTTGTTACAAGAGAATTTACTTCTTCCCTCATTTTTCTTAGCGTTATCGATTCCAACACCCTCAGGAACGTCCTTAATAACGTACCTTTTGTACAAAAACTAGATAGGAGCTCTACTCTCGTCGTAAAAATAAGTACACATGTTTGACGAAATGTCTATCTAGTTAGCGACGCAACAGAGTCGATCTTTGTGAATTCGCTAAAGAAACGAGGGAGGGTATCTGTGCACGAATATTTTTTTGCGACAAATGTAACATGATGTAACATCGAACGCCATTTGCACAGATGTCAACGATGAGGACGATTCCGAAGATAAGGAATCGAAAGTTGTAAAGAGACGTAATTCCCTCGAAAGTGGCGGCGAAGGCGGTGCAGGTGATGGCAACTGTTTACGACGTCACAAGTCACTAGACGGAGGAGGCCAAAGTAACCTCCAGAAGAATGATAGCGAGGAGAAAGAGAAATTAGATAAGAAAGATCCACGGACGGAGCGTAGAATACGAAATAAGGTAAGAGCTTTCTTCCTTCAGTGGCACTGTAATTCGAATTGAGCCTTTGCCTTCAATATGAAAACACTTGCAGTGAAAACGCTTCTGTAAATCTTGATTTCCTAATTATTTTGTTACAATTGCCATTTTTTTACTTTCTTGAATGTGGAATTTATTTCATATTTTCTTCAATTAAAAAAAAGATTAAAATCACGTACGAGCATGTGGCTATATATCTCTTTTCCGAATGAAATAAAACCTTGTCCCCCGTTTAAAATGTTTTAAATAAGAATTTGAATTAAAATTCGTCTATTCGAAAGTAATTGAAGAATATTCGATGTTATTATCTAACTTTTCTCCAGGTTCACCAATAATTTTTTCGTTTCCAATCGTTAATTGTTCGAAAATTGCAAATTAATATTTTTATTGAAGAATTTTGTGTTTGATATACTCGGCATATCTATTTTTTTTTCACGATTCTCTTGAATGAGCCTCTTGAATTTCCATGTATTTCTTTCCATGCTATATTCATGAAATATACACTTGATTTGCATATAAAGTTTATAAAGTACATATTTCTCAAATAAGTACATTAACGACGGAGAGAGAAATTTATAAACTTTATAAACTTTATATGCAAATCAAGTGTAATATTTCACTCAAATATTGAGTGAAACTCTTTATTGACTATAATCGTTTGCAGGATCGCCCGGCGATGGAGATTTACAGACCTGGCATGGGCAAGTTTAGCAAGCAACGACTAGAACGCGAGAAATCCAACGAAGAACGGACGTCCCTGTCGCAGAGCCCCACGCCAAATCCCGGCGTCTCCTCCGCAACCGGCAAGCCTGGCAAAGTTGGTGCCACGGAAGTACGCTCGATGACATTCAAACGCAGCGTCACTCGCGACGCGGCGTAATGGATTCTCATTTTCAGTTTCTTATCACTTGGACGTACTCCACCGACAGACTCGCGGATGACGCTCTACTATAACCACTGCGCGCAGCAGATTAATATCGCCATGCATAATTTTTCTCATCGTACTGTATAAAACATATCGTCATCTTTGCCGTGTGTTAAAATGATGATTCTACACGTGTGTTAGATAAACATTTTATACACAGTCTGATTATACGTTTCGTTGGTTTCTTTTCCTTTTTTTTTTAGACGCAATTTTATTACTGTAATAATAAGGAAGTAATAAATAAGTCTAATGTATTGTAATGTTTTCGTTGCAATTTACTGAAACAACTACGAGAATATCAACTATATATTACTTTTCCGATGTTTGTTTTAGCAATCCTACGAAAGTTGTTAAAATTTTTCATTGTTTCATAAAACAAAATTTATTGAGCAGAAGATTCTAACAACTGAAAATGTTAATGTATATTTAGTTTGTGTTGTATGTACATAAACCAATCGCTATTTATTTATTAAGGCTCTTTCAGCCAAGAATGCGTTGATAATATGTGGCGATATTATGGGTGCCTTCCTTTTAGCGACATAAGACGATCACTAGCATCATTCAGTCTTTTTTTAACACTCAATAACAATAAAGACAAAATGATGCTTGTGTCGACTTTGTCACTAAATGGAAGGCAATCTATCACGGTAGAAATTAGCACTTTGTTTATCGCATTAGGCCCGGAGCGCATGAAATTTGACCAATAATAATCGATTGATCTCCTCATATTCGACTACGATTGGTCAATTTTTACGGCTGTAAATTGTATTGTACGGCTGTATTGTAGAATAGACTTTAGGCCTCTTCTAAGTCCTGAAACACAATAGATGTATAGTAAGCTTTAAGCCGTAAGAAATTGACCAATCACAGTCGAATGTGAGAAGAATAAATATTTAACTGTGATTGGTCAATTTCTTACGGCTTAAGACTTAATACTCTTATTGTAGACAGTCTTTTAAGCTTATATTAAACTAAAAATTAAGATTGAATTGGAATTTTAATAATCAAAACAAAGTTTACTAAATTTGAGATTGATTTTTTTTTTTTTTAATTGGTTAAATCCCAATTCAATCTCAATCTCAATTTTTAGTCTGATACGGGCTTTACGATTTTTTTATTGTAGACGCCTGCATAATACGCCAATCAGAAGTTGCACTTAATTATCAAGTACTAACAAGTGTAGCACTTGGTAGCTGAGTTATTTAGATTTCTAGTCGTGTGGATACGAGACTTAAGACCGGCCTGACCGGCCCATTGTTTTGATCAACTTTACCGGTTACGTGTGTCCTTATGATAGAAGTACGATTGAATATTTTTCTTTGTGCATATGATTATGTAGCTGCAAGTTTTTGTTTGGATAGGCCCTTACGATCTACATAAACTAGGCTTAAGGATGCATTTATGGGGAGTTCCCCCTTTCATAAGATGACGCAAACTGCAGGCAACTGCAGGGAACAATGACGGCGAGGAGACAGGAGATGCACGTTGGATAAGATTACGGACGTTTCGTATTACAGCTAAATCGTCGTTTTATAACTTTAGAATTCTTCGAAATAATACGTGACATTCGTGACTTATCGCGATAACTCGTATCAATGTAAGTATCCCATATATTACTTCGTGAAAGGTTCGCTATAAACAGAACATGTAAAAGAGACAAGTGTCACCAATTTAATTGTTATTCAGGCATTCAAATTTTTATATGAAATATGTAGTTTTACAATAAATGCTCGCAAGACGCAATATCTTGTGAATATTTATAACGTATGTTCGTGGAAAATTGAAAAACGTTTTAATACCCTTATTTTTTTTCTGCTTTTTGATTTTTAGGTTCAATTTGATGCTTTTATTATAGTATCGGTTTTTACAAAAATAATTACTTTCATCATGCAGAAGAAACAGGAGGACGAAGATTTTATGTAAGAAAAGTTACAATTTATATTATGATATTAAAGATACATAATGTTTTAACTGTTCTAGTGGCAAATGTAACTTCTAAATATAATTAATTTAGTATAAAATATAACAAAATATCATGACTTTTAAATATTACATAATATATGAGCAATTTGTAACAATATCTTGTATTGCATATTAATACTTTGCATTTTTTTCATACAAAGGAGACATTTATTTGTAATTTTAACTTATTTTAAAGGTTACGTTTAGTGTATCATTAAGCCATTAAATTTTGTCAACTTTCAGGATCTGTACGGCACCTGCATTAGCTCAAAGATTTAAGTTGCCACCATCTTTTATTCCACAAAGTTTACATCATGCATTAAAAAGTATACGTTGTCCGCAAGAGAATTCTATTTCCTCTTCAGTTCTATGCAACAGTTATATGAAGTGCATTAAAAGTTTGTCTGATGTACAAAGGATAACTGAACGGGATTACTTGTTCATATTAAAAATATGCTTGTATCTAATACAATTTGAATTAGATGTTGAAATGAAACAGTACACATTGAAAAATCATACAATTAAGATTTCTGACTCAGAAAAAAACTGTTTTTTAATCAGCATGAAAACTTTGAGTTTCGACTGTCCTGTAGTAATTAGACCAGAAGATAGTGCTATTCTTTTTGAATCTAGTACAAAAAGAAGTTTTTATACTAAAGTCGTGAATGTGGAAGAAAACAATGATATAATAATAAGGCCTTTTCCTCAGTAAGTTTACTATATTTTTTTTATTATGGCTTAATCTAGTTCTTTTTATTTTAATATATATGTTCTTATCTGTTCTTATTGGGACAAAGTATCATATATGATTTTTTCTTTCTTCTATATCTTTTATTTTCTTTTTTTTTCTTTTAGAAATGTAGTATCACAATGAATGTTACCTTGTTTTGAATACTTGTTTCTCTCTGGCGGAGTGATATTTTTTTATTCAAAATTCATTGAATTGATATGAAATGATCAGATAATCAAACTTAATCTCTTGCTTGAAATGCAACTACTTTATCATTAAATTATTCAATTTCTGCATGTTTCAACATTTGTGGAACTATCCAGCCTTCATTTAGCAATAGTCTAATAATGTAATTATGATACAAACCAAAAAGACATAATATATTAATACATAATTGTATATATTTAGAGATGTTAAAACATTGCAAGAGTCCTGCAAGGAGAAACAATTTAATATAAGCTTTCGAAGCCAACATTGGCCATTGAGATGCTGTCACTATGCATTAACGATAATGAGTCAACGCAATTGGATGGAGATTATATATCCACAATTGAAGACAAATTGCATAGATATGGAATTGTAAGTTTTAAAATCGAATATTTTATCACTCGAAGTAATATTGTCATCATGATTCTACATATATATATGTATGTATGTATATATTGTATAGTGATATCGAATGGGTTAATACTAATATAAAGGAGAATAAACGACAAAGGCAAGCGGTGAAGAAGATACTGAATAATACAGCTCGCCCTGCACCTTATATAATTTTCGGTCCCCCAGGTACGGGAAAGACCGCGACGTTGGTTGAGACAATATGTCAGGTAATTCCTCTATGAGATCTAACATTCAGCAAAGTGATGTTTACTTTTAAATTTTTCTATTTTTTTTTTTAATATTTGGTTCATAGATTGTGAGGCATTATCCGTCGAAAAATATATTGGTGTGCACGGTATCTAATGCAGCAGCCGATGAAATAGCCAAAAGATTAATTAAACAACAGATTCCAAAAAACTTGATATATCGAATGTATGCTCCATCTAGAGAATGGTAAAATCTTCTATTTTTGTTTCTTTGTGTTTTTTTTTGTTGTTTACAGATGCTTAACGTAGTTAATACGAGTAAAAGTTTGTCTTAAATTTAATTTTTATTCATAATAATCAGTTTTGCTCATCTGTAACATAAATATTTTAAAATGTGACAAAACTTACATATAAACGTGTAAACTGAATTTTGATTAAAAACCAGGTCGACTGTAAATGAAGATATTCAACCTTGCGCGAATTTTGTTGAGAAAACTACACTCTTTTTGTCAAAGGATTTACTGTTGTTGAAAAAAATTATTATTACAACATTAGTATCATCCATAAGGTATGCATTTAATATATTCTATATTTTGTGTATATGTGTGTATGATTTTAGACATGTAATTTAAATTTTATTTTTCTGAATCATTAAACAAAATTATAATTATTTTTTATATAATTATATAATTAGTAAAATTATTTTTATGTTGTTTAAAGATGTACTTCACAGTTATAAATTAATATTGTTAAGTTCTTAGATGACATCTCGCACTGTTTATTATAGATTGTCCGGTGTAAGTTTCTGGGAGAATCATTTTTCTTACATAATTGTTGACGAGGCAAGTCAAGCGACTGAAGCAGAAATGTTAATTCCTCTCGCGATAACAAATAAAGCTGAAGATGGGACTGAGTTTCAAGCACAAATTATTATCGCAGGTGATCCTTACCAATTGGGACCTGTTATTCGTTGCAGAAGAATTGAACATCTTCTCGGTAAGTTTTTTCCAAAAATGGGATTAAATGTCATCGTAGTCTGTATATATTACAATTTTTTAATTGTTTAATTTATTACTGTAATAGGAAGATCCACGTTGGAAAGATTAATGGACGATTCTGATGTATATAAAAAGCAGAATGGAAAATATAATCGAAACTATATAACAAAATTAGTTAAAAATTACCGTAGCCACGAAAGTCTGTTGTACGTGTCAAATAAACAATTTTATAACAATGAATTGGAGATCTGTGGAGGAGCCAATACGCAAATGGCATTGGACTGGTCGCAATTGCCCAATAAAAAGTTCCCTATGATATTTCAAGAAGTTATAGGCACAGAAGAAAGATCTCCATCTCAAAGGTTAATATATTAATTTAAATATATAAGTTTCGTTGCAATTGTCTTAAAGCAGGATTAAATCTGTATATAATTAGTTTCTTATCTTAAAAAAAAAAGCAAATTGCGCTTACTTCGTGAGCGGCTATTTTGACAATTATATAGTAGAAAGTTGAGAATAAGAAGTAAACAAAGCACGCGTGAAGCGCGCGTCTAATTTATTTGAACTCACATAAACATAACTATTTGCAGTGTCTACAACACAGCCGAAGTATTAGCGGTATTGGTATACGTGAATATACTGATGAACACGAAATTTAACAAACGCGCGATAAAAACGAGGGATATTGGGATCATAACACCTTTCAAACGACAACAGTTAGATATTAAACATCACCTAGCAGCTATGAATTTGAAAGGTATAACCGTGGGAACCGTTGAAACATTTCAGGGTCAAGAACGAAATGTCATGATATTGTCAACGGTACGATCTAAAATCTTCAAACACGATGATATAGAACATCTTGGATTCTTATCCAATCCAAAGGTATGTTTTTCGTTTTATCTCAGCTAAGTACGTCTCAACTTGCGATAATCGATAAGTTTTGATAACAGAATTGCCAAGTTACAAACTAATGTTCTCTATGTCTCCATGGCTCAGAATAATTCAAATTTAAACAAGTAGCAAAATTAGGGCAATTGAGTCACGCACGGTGATAAGTGCCAATTAATTAATATGTTTCATATCAAACGTTTGGGAATTTTTGAAAGGTATGAAAGGTTCATACAAAAATTCCCAAACGTTTCGGTTCCACATTCAACCACCTTCAGTGAGTATGATTATAATTAAATATCTAGTCGCATTATAATAAATAATGTACGAAAACGATCGCTTGATTAAAATTCTTGTCGATCAGTATTAATCAGTCCAGTGTATAAAATTTCAGTTATAGAGTCCAGCGTTATAATTAGAATGTAACAGAGCATTTTAATTAAGAAATGGATTTGTGTCGGAGGATAAAATAGATAAAAAAATTCTGTTGGTCGTCGGATGAATCTATAATTGATGGAAGGCAGAAAACAGAACTTCTATTTTCTGCCTTCCAACAATCACAGATTTGTCTGACGACCATCAGAGCTAAGTTCTCTTATCTATTTTAGAATTGTCAAGTCTTTAATATAGTCATTTCAAGAAAATCTAAGATGTCTTTTGATGAGACTTTGAAAGACTAAGTTTCTTTCTTCTGCCTCAACAGCCAAAATCACATGATTTTTCGAGCGTGCGCTTTAACAAGTCAGTCACTCTCACACGGAGTCACATATCATCCCAATGTAACCCATAGTAGGAACTCGTATATCATTTATAAATAACTTGTATATTAAACTCTCTTTTCTCTCTTCTTTACATGAAATTGGTTTATGTAAATATATTAGTACGTGTATAACGTTATTTGTAAGTGATGTATGAGTTCCTATTATGGGTTACATTCACTTTATATTTCTCATAATTTAATCTTCCACTCTGCAATCAACCTTTCAAAATTATACATTAACTATAAACAATTAAGGTCACATTTGAAATCCACTAACAATGAATCAATTGTTTCAGTGGCTGAAGCCATTATCCTTTTTTTATATGTAAAAATTTTATATATATATTTTATTTTATTTTATTTTACAGAGATTCAATGTTGCTTTGACACGTGCAAAAGCACTTATGATAATAATAGGAGATCCAAGTATACTCTGCACAAACAAACATTGGAAAGTACTCTGGGAGTACTGTAAAAAAAATGGTGGATACGTTCCCTTTGAACAGTTGCCATTGAAAGAGGATTTAATCATAAAATTAAAAGGCATTTCTGAAGCTAATTCATCGAATTCATCGATTGATAGCGACACGTCAAGTGCAACAAACTTACCTACCATGGAGCTTAGAAAGGAAGAAAGAGAAGCAAGAAGAGCATTATCCGGTGCACTTGTAAGTGAAATGGAAAGTTTGATTTTAAAGAAAAAAACCAATTGATATAGATATTCAGTGGGAGAATAAATTGCATTTTTCAAATGCAAAACATATACTTAATGTAATATTTTATTCATGTTATTTTCATCTTTTAAGTTATCCAAAGTTATCAATATTATTAAGTGTAAGAAAGCTAAATGTCATTTTTTTCAAGTTATCAAAAAGTAAAGGTATCAATTTTAAACATGAAACTGTTGACAATATTTAGTGTTAAATATAAAACATCATTGTTTTAAAATCATCAGAAAAACGAAAATATTTAATATTAAATATGAAACAAAAAAACACATTTGTTTAAGTTATCATAAAAATTAAAATATCAATTTTTGGCATTAAGTGCGAAGCAGTTGAATATTGTTTTATCTAAATGATAAAAATACTAGTTGTTCAGTATTAAGTGCGAGATATGCAGTTAAGCATCATTGTTTTAAAATTATTCAAAAAAAATATCAGTATTATTAAATATTAAGTGAAAGAGAGTTGACTATACAACTTATTATCACTCCGATGATATTTGTTTTATGAATCAGTTGTACGTTTAAAAAATGTTTTTTAAGATGAATATTTTCGGGGATGATATGTGATATGAGCACAATGAAATTTAACAAAATAATTTGACAACTTTAGAACTGTAAGATAGCAGTGCAATATATAACGTACAATCGATGTACAATATATAATGTAATTTATCTGCAATTAAAAAATGGTTATATCCTTAATAATAAGCAGTAAACTATTATAATAATAATAGTGAGTTTTGAAGATTTTTTATGTAGCTTTACACTAATTAAGCTAAAAGTACATTTTTTGTAAAATATTCTTGATCTTTTTTTTATCATGATTACCTTTAATAATAATGGGTTTTAAATCAGATTTTTTAGATAGCTCTTCGCACTGGTTGAACTAAAGTTATTTTTATATAAAATATTCTTGATCTTTTTTTTTTATCATGACTATACATTTAGTTTTAACTAAATAAATTATCAAATTCTTTTAATGTGTCTCTTGGAGATAAGTTCATACTGTGATATTGTAAACATTTCAAATGGACAGATGTATCAATTGATCGAAATAAAGAGACAGAAATTTGTAAAAAACTATTTTCAGGTAGCAAATGATTCAAAGACATGTTCCACTTGTCACCTGTATTGTACCTATTTGTATTGTATTTCGCCTATTTTATTCGTGCAACAGTTTAGCCTCATTTCCGTTAACTTTTTTTATTGACACCGTGTTGAACTGCGAATTCGTGTTTTACACTGGCAAACAGGATGTTCGTGAGGAGAAAGATTTACGCGATGGCGAATGCCAGTGTTATCCCGAGGTAGAAATTCGCGTTCGCCGATCTGGAGTATCTCCAATGATGCCACACGATGGAGGAGAGAACCGTGCAAAATAGTACAAAACAATCTGCGATGAATTCTTATTGCACATCTGGAAAAAAAGAGATATGTTAGAATAATTCGCATCGCTCTGAATTGTACGATAAAAAAAAATATCGTGAGTTCGATTAAATTTGGAACGGGTGCTTTCACAGCGGCAGTAGAGATATATAGAAGCCAACGTCTTCGATTATTGTCTTTCGTTGTGCTCCCAGCTTAAAAGGATCTATTCAGACAACTTGCATGTTGTATAATCATATACATTAAGGACAGAGGTCGGTAAAATAACTGTTGTAATTTATTTAAAATGACAAATATAAAATAAATTACAGAAACTTATTTAAAATAAGATATCACAGGGACCAGTAAAAAACTGATACGACTTATTTAAAATAAAAAATATAAAATAGATTCCAAAGCCATATTTTTAACATTAAATAAGAAATAGATTAGAAGAAATTATTTAGAATAAAAAATACTAAATAACTTTTATCTTTTTTTTTATTTAAATACATATTTAAAATAATGTTATTTTAAATACGACCGACCCCTGATAATGAAAATTATTTAATCGCATTTCTATTACAACAACACACGTAAAATGTGATTGGATAACTTTCTTTATGGTGCAAGTATGCAAGTTTGTTTTAAGTCCTAAGGATCCATCTACAAGAGTAGTATCTACGAGAGTAGTAAGTCGTAAGTCGTACAAAATTGACCAATCATATCGATTCTTCTCATATTCGACTATGGTTAGTCAACTTTTTACGGCTTTACTCCTATTGTAGACGGTCCTTAAGGGTG